ATACGGTACTGCACTTGTAGACGGTGGGCTCGCAGACCCAGCGCGATCAACCGCTCGAACATGGAAGAGCTCAATCCGGCGGCGGCTACATCCTTCGACATCACCACCGGACCCAGTTGGCAATGGTCCCCCACCAACACCAACTGAAAGCACAAGAAATGTCAACCAATTTTTAGCGCAGTTATGACCACAAAAACCGTATTCCCGTTTATAACTCGAAACATGCACAAACCAATAGAAGCGTCTTATTAAGAAACCTTTTTAGCTGAAGCATCTTTTTTAGCTGAATCTGCATTTTGCAAAAGCAATAGCGCTACGATACCATCCTTTCCAAAAACAAACAATCAAATCCAAATTAAAAGATTTTGCTCATACACACTTCCGATATAATAACTTGAAAAAATCAAAATTACAGAAGAGGGTATAAAGGAGAAAGAGCGCTAAATATAAATTCCGGTACTCGTACAAAACAAAAGCGTACAGTACCTGTTTACAGCCCATCACAATGGGAATCAGGCATTCCGGCTCAATAGCCTGTGTGCTTTCATCGATCAGCACCACTTTGAATTTCATCCGGCCAATTCGTGGATCTCCAGCGCCCTATAGCAAGAAACTCAGAACACTGAACAAGATTCACTGAAATAAATATACAACCAGTTAGCACTTACCACACACGTCGTACATACTACATCCGCTCCGTTGAGCAGCTCTTGCTCGACCTGGACGCGCAGTGATCGATACCGTCGCTCATCCTTATCCGACAATTCTCCGGTCTCTCCCTTGAGCAGCTGCAATTTCTTCAGTTCGGGATTCGTCAGCATCTGCAGATGAAGCGACAGGAACTGCACGGGCGATTCCACCACTTCGCGGCTCTTGGAGTAGACGCGCACCACTTTCAGACCGGTCTTGTGGATCTTTTCCGTTAGTTGGTCCACCGCAATATTACTGGGTGCGCAGACCAACACCTTGGCACGGGTGGCTTTTACCAGATGGTACACTAGTGTTGCTGAGGTGACAGTTTTACCTGTACCTGGCGGGCCCTGGACAAAACCAAAATTTGTACTTCATTTACAACACGTTTAAAATTTATACATGGAATTCTTCTGGATAGCTATCGTTAAAAATCAAAAATACAACTTCTAAAAGGCAAACTCCCAAACGGGAGAAGTATTTCAGCTAAGCAGCAAGAAATGCACAAAACAAGCACGGCAAAACCAAATCAAACTGACTTGGATCAAGCTAATCTGCGAGCCGATGGCAATCCGCACTGCTGACACCTGGGAAGCATTCAGCTCCGGCAGATTAGGCGCAGTGATCCTCCGCGGCAGTGTTACCGGGCGATTACTATTCGTCTCCCTCATGGGATAGCCCAATAGTGTACTGTATATGTAATGACTCATACAAGTCGAATCAATGGCAAACGTCGTCAGGGCATTCTTCATCCGGTCAAAAGACGTGGATTTCCACACACACTCCACGCGGAAGCCGACCGTCATATCCAGGGGGATATTCTTTGTGCCCAACTTCAACTGCAGCGAAAACTCATCGCCCAGATTGTCGGCAATCTTCAGCACATTCCCGACGGCATCCCAACCGTGATCCATGGAGCTGAGACGCAGTTCATCCCCTGGCATAATCTTGGCGTCACAGTCCACACGGGGCAGCACAAAGTAGGCAATCTGGCGTTTATTCAGACCGGTGTCCCAGCGGACAATCACGCTCTCGTACACCTGGGATTCCTTTAGCATGCGATCGGTGTCGGCTTCCTGTCGGATCAGCGGGAGGAAAATTCGCTGGTAGTGGTAGGCGTCTTCGTAGCGGATGACTATTTCCGGCAATTTCTACAAATGATTCTACCGATAATTTCGATGACAGATCGGAAAATCTCCCCAAAAAATCCGGATAATGCATGTTGAAATCAAACAATACCGCAACACTGCACTTGTAAAAGCTAGTAAGAATGTTTGTTTCAATATGAAGAAAGCTTCGCCAGTTGGCAGCCATTTCACTACCATTTCAAGCAGTAGTCGTAATATGAACCTTACCGCCTCCGGCAGCTGCTGCTCCAAATCGTCCACGGTGGCTTCCGGATTAGTCTTCCACATGTCCTCCAGCTTAAGCAGCTGCTGCGCGTTGATCTGCCGCTGTCGGATCATCTCCTGATCACTGGGTTGCTATAAATCAATCAGTCTACCGCTTATCCACACCCGCATAAACAAACACGAATCCTTCTTACACGCAACATCCACTTGGCAAACTGCCGATTCTCAATCACCGCCTTCCACATGTTGGCGTCGCCCCACGTGCTGTCCTTCAAATTAGCCGCACTGGCGCACGGATTGCGGCACAACAGCACCACCAGGCTCTCCGATTTGGCGGGAATGAAGCCCAGCACTAGCGAGTTTTTGTTGCCGCAGTTGTAGCATTCCAGACAGGTGTCGCCCAGGGACCGTCTTTGTGCAATTGGATTTCAAAGTGTTTGGAACGCACCATGTGATGGACGATGTGGCTACAAAAAAATCGGCTTTCATAATTTCTGGTTGCATCCAAAATTCAGTAAAGCTGCTACCACTTCGGATCATACGGAACCGTTATCATCAGAAAACGCAGGTACTCACTAATGCTGCAAACCACTCTCACCTTCCCTGGATCAGGCCGCGTCCATTGCAGAACCACTTTTTACATGTCATGCAGCAGGCCACCGCACAGGGATCACTCAATCCGCAGTAACTGCCAAATTACAAAATAGTCGTCAGGTTGCTTGCAACTATGAATTTTCGATTTACGTACAAAAGCGTTCGTACTGACAACAAAATTCTCACAAAATGTAAATAATTAATGAACAAGAAAGACGTTAATCGCGCGCAAAACTGAAAATTTCTCCAGTAAATTATAATCTATTTGGAGTCAATAAAGGGAAGAAATCGTCGGTCTGAAACCAATTATTGCTAACCTGCAAGCATGCTCCGCTTTGACAGATTTGAAGAAGTCCGTATCGTCGTCCTCCACCGTCAGCTCCATCATGCGCCGGGCCAGATCATGCTCCGTCGTGCCGTCGCTGGCCGTATCGTCAAAATCTGAACTTGTCACTGGTTTTCCATTGGGCAACCCGTTAGCCATGGGAGACGCCGGTCCGAAGGTGTGTCCATTCAGACCTGAGTTCTAGAGAAAGTACACGATAAAACCAAGCGCGCGCGCAATGCAAATCCAACAGAGGAATCACGTTTCCGAGTCACAAAACAACAAAACAAAAGGAGGTCGTTTTGGGGTATATCTCAGAGGCAACCACCAATAAGAACGTACAGACAAAACAGTAATACAAGCAAACAACTGAAACATCTGGAACAAGTGATTACCTTGAAACTGCCATAATAGCCATTCGCCAGCGGGGAACTGCGATCACCGTCTGGCCCGAAATTGCGCATTCCGTTGCTTTTGCCCAAACCATCCATGGTTCCATGGGATCCTTTGCCTGCGCTCATTTTTCTATACAAAATTCAAAAACATCACAAAATTTCGTCGTAATGCTGCTGTTCGCTGACTCAGGATCATTTTTAAAAAAGAAAATTACAAACTTCAGTTAAATCCTCTCAACTGGCAAAACTAAAAAACAGCTTTTTCAACAATCAAAAGAATTCGAAAATCGATCATTTTTATGTCGTTCGTCAGCCAGCTCTAACATCAGTTAAAACAACCGCCGAAGAGCTTCCCAAAACCCAACAAAAACATTAGTACGTAATAGTAATGCTGTAATAAAGAAATTTCGCCAATTCACCGTAGCATTTTCGGAAAAAGACAGTCGAGCTAAAACCTCGTAGCCGACGAACCAAGTCTGAAACGATACGAAATGGAGGTGGCTAGGAGGCGTTAAAATGGAAGCCATCCCCGTTCGGCTAGGCAAAACGCAAATCGCTGGCAATGGGACGAACGTAAGTTGCTCAGTAACAGGCAAATTAAAAAGTGTTTTAATATTTTGTAATTATTAAAAATAAATATAATAACTCAATTTTAATGATCCCGGTTTCTAAAACAACTCAAGTACTTAAGTTTAAAACTTTAAAACAACTAAATTCCAATAATAACATTACAACATAAATAGAAATAAACAATTTTTGATGAGAAGCAACAAAAATAATAGACAACTAGTCAACAGGCCTTTTCAGTTATTACAGCCGATAATCGCTTGACATACAGAGTAAACCCCCAAGAAAGTTTAGCAAATCTTTCTGCCTAAAAATTTTGAAATTCTTACAATTAGACATCAGCTGCTTGCCAAAAACTTCGGTTTCTCGGCAAAATAGTCACCAAAACATAAGTTACACAACTTAAAGCAGTAACTAAATAACAAAACCACATATTTTCGTTTGTTACTAATCTTCAAAATACAAAATAAAACTGAATCAACCAAGCAGCGCAATGTGCGCACGGATTTCGGGAGCGCGTTTTTAACCTGATTCCTAACAATACGTTCTCATGTTCCATCACAGGTTCACTGCACAACCGGCTTACCCTGTTGATAATCCTTTCCCACACTATTAATCCACGGGCAGGTGCCAACCACGCAGACGCGCTTCGCTCCCCTTCCCGGACCCTAGATTAGGGATCCCCGTCGCAGATGGATAAAGTTCGCCCTCACAACAAAATCCCAGTTTGTGATATCGCATGAGTATGACACAAAATTATAAACCAACAAAAATCTATTATATAAAGACGATTTTTTAACGTTTTAAAAAGTGGACGATGATGCAGAAAACAGTACTGTAATAAATTCAATGAATTCTAATAATTCCTGGTCCAGACGCATTATGTGTGGGTCGTGCTGGTTTGTGCTGAATGCTGATCAGCAACTCTGGCCCGCAGGTAACGTGATTCCTCTGACTCATCGGCTTTTTGTTGTGTATACATCACCCGCCCACTGCATTCACTCGCAGCATTTCTACTGGTTAGCGTCACTTTTCGACACAAATTACAAAACGAGTACTGTACTCGTACCGATGCTGTGTACGTGTAAATCCGAATATTAGTAACTTTATGAAACCAAAAGTAACAGTAAGTAAACAGTAAGATTTTTGAAAAAAATAGTAACAGTGAAATAAGACCACAGAACGGAGTAGTAAAAAGTAAGTAGGGCGTCTAAAACTCTAACCCCTCACTGCTTGCAACGTCCATCAAGTTTTTGCCGTTTCTGTTTGCAACATGTTTGCGTTCATGAACATTATTAAATTTAATAATTCCTTTCAAAGTAAGCAGTAGTAAATTGTGTGGTGGCTTACGAGTAAGAGGACGTTATTGTTTTGACGAATTGTTTTGCCGAACACTGATTGCACTTTTATGGCTTGGATATATTGATTAGCAGAGCGAAGAGAGGACGAAATTCAAGGAATTTGCACGTACAAGTACATGAGGCATTCATTGCGAATGAAAGAAATATTTCGTATAAAAACCAAAAAAATGGATTTTGAAGGCAACTCCCATGTTGTTGTTTCATATATATATACAGCGCAGTCCTTATAAGGATCTCCTATAGCTACGTGCTTAGTTGCAAACCTCGCACTATAGCAATGTCCTAATTAATCGTAAGTATTACGCAGACTGAACAGCAGATATCGCATTCGTACTATAGCTACTGTACTCGTACACAAGCTGCAATTCTAAACTCAAAGGTCACCCCAAAGACCACAGTCATCGCGTCATACTATTCGTTTTTTTATCGTGATAACGACGTGATTGATCGACAGTCAGTACCTCGTCTTAGGTCATTTGATCGGAGACGGTTCTGGGTGAGCCCTATGGTTCGATTTGTGAACGATAAAGTGAGTTGGAACCGCTGCACCATATCTGTACATATCAGTTTTTGCGTCAGTTCCAATTTACGTTAAAGGAAGCAGCTGCCCCAAAAATAGCAATTTTTTGCCTGGGGCTTCGAAGTAACACAATCATGGAAAATTTTACTAGTGGAAGTAATGAGTAATGGGTATGTAAAACGTCTAAAAGTGGTAATACCGCGTAACATAGTACAGACGTCGCTAGAACTGGTGGAAGTCCGTAAATTGACAATTTCTGTCTGCATGTAGCCGTTTCCAAGTCCAGTATGCAATACATAACACTTCATGCTTTAACACTTTCACTGTCATGTTTAATCGTCCAAAGCCTTGCGCAGCCAGTAAGTATACATTAGACCTTTACCCTATGACAAAAATCGTCATTCAAAAACATTCGAGCATTCGTTATAAATCTTACGAGTAATATTACACAGAAATCCTGTTACTCCTCTGAATTCCAGATTTACCTTAATAGTAATTCCACCTCGCGCTATAAGAAGAAACTCTTGTCCTTCGTTGACCAACTGACTGGTGGCTTCGCTCAGGTGTATTCTTCCTTCTGCAAAACCACCAAGGTGTCATTGCCAAACAACATCTGATTCTAACCAATCAGAAAACATCTATATGTTCTACCTTCTCCATGACTTTCCATGCGGCTGCAGGTGTTAATGGTGTCTCCAAACCTGTACGACACGGATTTATGGCGCTGCAGGAATGTCGCATACAGACCGTACGGTAAAACATGTCCACTACTGGCTAAAAATGTCCTGCTCGGCGAACTCAGAAGCGACAAAGCTTTCGCAATAACCAAGTTTAAATTTGCAATTATACTGGCCTACTCACAGACAGTATCTTGGCATCTTCTTCCCGATGACCCCGGCCACAATCGGCCCTGTATGAATGCCGATACGGCTCTGTAATTGTCGCCGCGAATCTGCTGGATTCGTAACCAACTGCGCCGTCTGTATGAACCGCAAGGCTAAACTGCAGATTATACCGGCGTGCAGCGCGCCGTTGCGAATTGGAAGGCCGCTGGCAATCTGCGCACCAAAGTACAGTACATCTTGCTAAACTGCGCGCATGACTATTAACTATAACGGCATTTTACAATGTAACAGTCGTTGATGGTCTCCACTTTGTACACATCGTAATGGGTCATCACTTCGTCAAAGCGGGAGTGAATAGTGTTCAGCAGCTCAATGGTCTCCCATGGAGTGCACCGCATCACGATGTGACTGAAAGCGGGAAGATCGCTGAACAGCAACGTGACCTGGTCGAAATGCTCGGGTTGGACGGATACCTTGTTCCGCAGGCGTTTAACAATTGATCTAGAAGGACGTACAATTACTCATTATGATCGTGAAAAACAGCACCGTAAACCGGGCGATTATCAAGCATTGCACGGGCATAAGTTCTTGTAAAAGGGCATCAGCTTTCTCCCTTTCAACGACTAGCTTGGCGTTTCGCTCTTCCACAAGCTCTTCTAACCTCTGCGCATGCATTTCCAAATGTCTCACAATCTGCAGCATATACGGTTTGGCTCTGGTGATGACCTTCTTCATGGCTTCGCCAAAGGTCTTTATTGTGGGATAATCATAGGTAGTTGGATTCGATAGGCACACATTCAGTAAGTGTCTAATTGGATCGCTAACCAGTTCGTCGGTTATTTGGAAATTCCCTTTCTCTTTGATCTTGTCCAGTACACCTATAGGCACAGACTAAAGCGTTGATCACATTTTATTTAGCCGAAACGAAGGCAACCTTGAACAGTTTCTTGGGAAAGGTTGGCAATGTCAAGTGGAAGTTTATTCGAAAGGATCTCGTAGAAGATCATGGCCATTGCAAACATATCGATTTCTTTCACATTTTTGTAGTGCTTGATCAGATGCAAACTATTGGAGCGCACCATATCGTGCACATCTACCGGCTTCCATAAGCAGAACAGCGCCTCTATTTCCGGTTCCTCATTCGGCACATGAAGAACTTCGTAGAACCTAGTGAACCCAGTTTGGGCAATTTTCAGGGAAAATCGGTGATCGACCAGACAAAAGAAACTAGTCAAATTTCCATGGAATTCGACACTCTTCTGAATGTACTCCAAACCCTGCAACCAGAGAGACAAAATTAATGTTAACCGGAAGGTTTTCTGCACGACAGTACTACCAAGGAACATTACATGAAAAAGATCCCAGCATAAAGAAAACCGTAGCTTTTCGTCCATCTTTTGCTGACCAAAACTGAGCAGCTGTCGCAATGTTCCTTTGGATGTGCACTCACTGATCACAGTGACAAAGGTGCTGGTCTGCGACAGTCCCACGAAATCGGCGACATTCTCATGCCTCAGCTGATTCAACTGCACATACAATCACCGGTGATTTAATTAATTGTATGAATACTAATATTTTTGGCATCTAACAAAACAGCGATATATCATAGCTAGTGCGATGATAAACTGCCGCTCGAGGCAAAATTCAAAGTGCACGTTTAATTGGATTTACGGCCATTTTTTTACTGGAATTTTCAATTTTCTAAAGTCAAGCAGTTTGACATGGTAGGGTTTTGAGTCTTTTGACTGTGGTTCGCAACCACCGCTAATTACAATTATTACATACTGGCAGGCTGTATATATATAATATGCTGTACGTACATACGTTGTACACATGGCGCCTTAGTTTGTGATTGGTGTCCAACGGTGTTGTCATCGCCGTAAATAATTTTTTTAGCGTACACTGGTTGGTAGCGATACTGCATTCGGACACCCACAATCTCTTCGTCGAGAGCGGTGTATCCAGCGGGAGTTTGAGCTGACAGTTTTTGGATTGGACTGGTCAGACCGTTGGCGTCGATCAGCCACCACAAACTGGAAAGGTCACTCTGCCGCTTAACGAATCTACAAATAGTACTTAAGTACCTTCTGCTCCATAGAATTAACCTACGAAAACGTCTTGCAAAACACCTTATTGCTGCAGCCAGGACCACTGCAGTCATCGTTAAAGCGGCGACGGATGCAACGCTGCCAATGATAATGGCTGACCCTACGATCCCATATGCGCATGGAGTGTACTAGCTGCAGATTTCCAAGTTTCAAGATTTAACCTGTAGGAGTGTCGCAAGTGTTGTTGGCAAAACCGCAAGGTGGTTCATCGGGAGGCGGGTCGCGCCGATTCAACCAGTACCACAATTCCGGATTGATATGGCCGAAGCTTTGATTAACGGGGTCGTATATCATGGCAGTCTGAAAAGTGTGTCGTATCAGGTATGCGTCGAAGTATAATTCCGTGCCCCTATTTCGGGTTTTGCTGTTGTAGTTCGACATTTTACTACGGGAACGCTGCTGCATTATCTGCGACGAGCGAGGAATAGTACCGATTTGAGCATGGTGAGATGCTCTGTATTTGCTGTACTCACAGAAAACGTTTCTTTGACTTGGTCCAGGCGCAGCACCACAATGTAATTAACCATTGCCCCGTTATGGTCCGTGGAAAAATTGCGAGCGGCAAAGTTAAATGTGCGGTTAAATGTTTTCCGGATGAATTTCGACTTGGACATGCTAAGAACGCTGGGATAGGTTTCGTCGAAAATCTACACCGCGTACGAATATGAAATTACGTACAATTACGCAGCCAGCAATACATGTTGAATTCATTTCATATTAAAACAAACCTGCGCAAACATCATCGTTGACTCGTATATGCAGATTTGCAGCTCGTTTCTCTGTGGAAAAGGTAATCAAAGCAAAGGTCACACTGGTTAACATATTTCGCTGATTGTGCATACCTCGTCACCCGGCACAGTCAGCATTCCAAACAGCTTCGCTTTCATGTCGCTAATCTCGTCTGTTAAATTGCCAACGTCGTCCCAGTCTGGATTGACCCCGGTGAGAATAATCAGGTTCTGGTACGTTTGGAAGAGTCGCTAAAAAGGTAGAGCCACAGCATTGACTATTACACTAATATTCGCATAGATACTGATAGCCAACCAATGACGCGTAATACTCCTGTAAAAGCATTAGCAGATACTACGGCGCGTACCAGGCTTTGGTTGTCGCGATCGCTTTCATTCGGTAACTCTGCCTCTTCCATCGCTGACAACTTCCACGTGATGGGAGTGATGCCGGGCCTTGTGGTGGGCTGCAGAGTGATGAACACCTGCAACATCGTTATCGTCATTTTTCAACAGCAATGCGCTGTTAGCGAAATTCCGTAGGTGGAAGTAAAAAGTTTGGATCGTGTGGAACCTGAGTGAGATACGTGCGTGTCGCTCGCTATCTTTTTCATATTGCGTTTACAGTACGTTACAATCCACGTTAATATGTGCTTGATACTATGTACAACACAGCGCGCGCGAAAGTAAATTATTGCTGTTTGAGGAATATTCATACGAGGGGATTCGCAATGTACAGTTTGAACCGAAGAAAACGTTTTGAATAAAATGTTTTGAAACGTCTGCTCTCGCATTTACAAAGAATCATCAGATCTTACGAAACGAGAAGGCAACAGGCAACTCAAACTAGCACTACGTCGTGACTTATTACAAACATCACTCACGTAATCACCCGAGGTCAGTCTCAAATCGTCGGCAACAATCTGAAATGCAAAGCTACTAATGCACCTGTTCTTGGCATTAATTTTATTGCTGTGGCTTTCCTTCGTCGTAAACATATATTTTAACGTACCAGAAACTTTCGCAAGAATTCTGGAAGCGTCAGGATTATAAATACTACAATTCAGAAAGAATTTTTTAAACAAACATGTACCCTGAAAATCCATCACATGTGGCAATTCAATCTGATTTGGTAACTTACTGCGACAGTGGTCTTTGTATTGTATGAGATAATCTCGAAAATTTTGATGACGGGCGGTGTCGATTCGCCTAAAGTACCAGGTGTATCCCTCGTTGGCCAGCAGTCGCTGCGTGTCCGGGCACTGTATGACGTAGAAATTGGAAAGGCCGGGAAGGTGCGAAAGGTCATCACAGATTAAGGTCACGGTGCGCCAGCTGTAGCGCTGGAAGAGCCGATGCAGGGCGGTGACCACATCCGAACCCGCCATGGAGGCAATAGCGGACGTAGTGCTGTAACGCCGCTTATTTACTAAGCGCGTGTCACCGGCAACGCTGTCAAGCACAAAGGCCATGCAAATAGGTTGCGGTATGCGCAATTGGTCAGTAGTTCTCGGTACCTTGTAAACAGTGGAAGATCCCATTCTGAAAAATCACAATACATAACGTGGAAAACCGATGGACAGGTTAGCTGGTGTATTTTTTTAATTGGGCTTTACGTGGGCAGATATTGAATTACTTGTATGTACCTCGGGCAAGATCACCAAGCGGCATACTTTGAGTTGAGCAATCTGCGGTAAAACAAAAAAACCATTTAGGAAATGCTAAATCAGATCTGCATTTTGTGAAGGACCGTATGGTGAACTTGATTGCGAAAAGGTTTCTGACTAATGCGCGCAGTTCTTGATGAAAATTAGTATGTAATAATAGGTTCCATTTTGAAATAGGCCCATTTTATTGCACAGAAGGAATCACTGTACCCGCGTGAGCTAAAACAGGAAAGTTTGTGCGGTTTCTTGTAGCGAAAATTTCGGGCTGGCGATCGTAATACTGGTCAGTAATGAATTCTGCAACATGCAAACACAGCATAATAGCAATGAATATCGGAATGTTTAATTTTGTAGCCCGTCTTGATACCGGTAATATGATCGCCGCCATCCCCACAAAGGTCATATCCCGGAAGATACAGCGGCACATATCGCATGCCGGCCAACGAACGCGGATAGAGTTGTTGAATGTGTTGAACGGCGACGGCGAACACCGGCAGTGCCTGATAGTATCCGTACAGCGGATTGGCGCCCACGTGTACCGTAACGAGAGTGATGTTCAAAGGGCACACCGGCCACACTGACAGCGTCCACAGGAGCCAGATGAATGCATCTTGTGGCCGACACCGGAGACGCCGCATCCTCCGTGTTAGCTCATCCACGCCAAGAATCGGGTGACCTCAACCAGATAATATTATTTATAGCGAGAGATATAATATTTCGTCAACCTTTATTTCGACTTCCTTTAACAGCACATAACAAGGATAAATATGACCAAGAGAAATAAAGGAATAACAACTTTTGTGTACGTGCGTGCGTCAACTAATGTTGCTCAGACGTGCTCAATCGATAATCTTTAATACCTATGTTATTTTCTTATGTACAAGTAGACGCTTTCCTCCACCTAGTCAAACACGTAGCGATAAGGGAGTATAATTATTTACTGTAGGGCACCAGTTCAGTATCTTTAGCCGTACCTGGAAGGCTTTGGCACCTGCCGGTAAAATGTAAGCTTGTGCCGCATCATTTAGATTTGGGAAGAAAGGTTTATGCAAATATCGGGACTTCTAAATTCGTTTAGCTGTGAGATTGACTCCGATTGTACAATACGTGCATAATTCAACTTTACTCAAGTAGATTGCCAGACTGACTGGATAGCCTTATTAAATAAGCCGGTTATTCTGGCGCTGGCTTTCTTTCAAAACAAGATGTTATGCAAACCCGAAACAAATTTAATTAAGAACTAGATCAATGAGAAAGCTACGGCTGTGTTTAGCTGTACATTGCAGAAGAATGCTCAGTCATACGATAAATAATTCAGGCAGAAATGACGGCAAATTCACGTGTTTCATCAATAAGAGATAAGCTTCCAGAAACAAATGCCACGTCGCTTTAAAAGCTAATTTCTTGGTATTACAGTGTTTGGCACCACTCACATAGGTTATCCCATTATTGAGAATAAAAAAATTCAAAGTATGCAAAATTTACTACAGTTGTGTTTGTCGCCGTACGATCATGAAACATTATGGCTTACCATCTTCCGAAATGGGCAAAATTAAAAATCCCAAGGCAGGAGGAGTATTCTATCGCTATTAAAACAGTCAGCTGACTGATGGTGTGGGAAATCTGAAGAAAGAGTGTTTTGAAAGGAACTATGAACCGAACGTTTATCGTATGAGGTAAACATACATTAAACATAAATTAGTATTCTATAATTAGTATTCTTGAATCGAAATGACTTACTTTGACAACAACCTTTTAGAATGTCTTGGTCCTGTTGGACAATTATTTTGTGAGAGAATTTGCGAATCAACGGTATATTATCTGGATAGAAATGAGTATTCCAACAGTTCGATCAATATCATAATAAAACCGCTTAGCATTTTTCATCAGCTGCCGGCATTTTTGCGAACTTGCTCCGTCAGGCGTCACATGGATCGTTTGTTGCAAAAGCAGTCAGGTTGACAAATGACAATGACGGCAAAAGCAGCCCGTAGCATCAACACGAATCCTCACTTTAACAACTAAAGGCTTTACTTCCGGCTGAAAGAGTAGTTAAGCTGGGAAACTTTGCCGCTGCGACAAAAGATCGTTTAATGAAATTCACATGTTACGCCGGTAGTGCTACACTCGGCGATGGATTAAATCATGACAATCCCGTTATATCCATCTCCATTTCGTGGTTAGCGGAAATTAACCCTTGGCCAGTATCATTTTGGGAAAACTACAATCAATGCCGCTTCAACTTATTTAATAACCGGTTGGCAGTAACTATATATAATAGTTGTAACGAGTGGCGAATGATGAGACAATGTAATGCGGGAGGTTATTACCCACTTGGGAAACATTTTCGGGAAAGTACCGGTACTATAAGATTTTATTACTGCTAGTTTTTCTAAGCGCTTGTATGGTTTCTGTAAATCGTAACGCTTTCGGAGAGCCGAGGCTGATATGAGGGTTTCTACAAGCGAAGTCTACTAGAGTATGGTGCGAGCCGTATTGATCGGCATTTATAAAGCCGGTGTATATCTACAAACCTGGGCATCGAAATCGCAGATTACAGATGCAAATCATCGTACTCATTGGCACTGCGCATATTTTGCTATGGTGCATGCTTGTGCGACAAGAAAACTCTAGTGATCGAGAATCTTATAAACATCTGCAAATCGCAATCGAGTGACATGAACGCTGCACCAACGCTCGGTTGCTAATAATATGGTTAAGGTCATCATTACTGACAATCTCAATATTGGCCGTAAAGCTTCAAACGGTCAAACGAACACGCTGTTCTTCTGTACGGTTGTTTCGTCATAAAACTCGCATGCTTTCGCTAATTTTGTGGCTTTATTAATAAAAACAGTTATAAAAACGCATATTGATTGCCGCAATTGTATGGAAGTTATTCTAAAATTAAATATGTAGATTGTATCGTTCCTCGTTAGCAAAGTACAGACCAGCAGGGACGTGTTACGTGTAATACTCGATTGTTTAAAGTTTTTAATGTGTTTTGTGGATCCGATTTACGGCCCTCCAAAACGGAAGAACAATGTCTTAACAGTCTTTTACAACAGCATCCAGGATGTTAGGTGCGGTTATATAAGTTTGCTAAACACCGTTCTTCAGCATCCACCATCTGCTGCTGTATCCTCGAAGCGGAGATTCTAATGAAGACCTTTTCGGCGCTCTCACCCAGCGCCCATTTCTGGCAGCAGTGTTCGCGCACAATCTGTTAACTGGCTGTTAATTCGTGGAACGCTTCGGCTAACTCGACCTTCTTTTGCTCCAGTACTTCCGGAGGTTTATCCGGGTGTCACAGGAACAGCTGACCAGGAAAAGGTAGCAGATTTCCGGGCAGTCGTTCATGCTAACATCTACGTACTTACATTGCAGTGTTGCACAAATTGGCTGACTTGTTGAGCAGCTCACCGGCTGTTAAAGACTGAGGTGAGTTTAGCCGGTAGATGTTCTCAGCAGACCAGTTGCCCGCTAAACCAACTTAAATCCAACCCGTTATTCGTTAAAGTACGTACTTCCTGGTCAGATCAAGGCGCCAATGACGCCATCGATGTACGAGGATATCCATTCATCGAACTAGTTCAAAGTCTCACAAGCGTACGTAGAAACAAAGCCTGCAAGTCAGGGAACCACAGGAAACGAACGAGTGGCAATGGTATAATCGACCGGAGCGTAGCGAAGGTCCTCTATATTCAAGACCAATGCAATGGTTGATTTCTGTCCGTTACGAAAACCCGTTACGGAAGTGCGTTACGGAAGTTGGATACGGAAGTGAGACTATGGCATCATGCAGCTGACCGGCATCATCCGGCAGTGAGACTACGGCATCATCGTATATTCTTTGCATCTCAACAATACACATCGGTCTGATCAACTGTAATAAATGGCTCCCGACAAAAATTTCCTTCTGAAAATTTTACTACTGTTCCCTCTGCTACCGTCGCTGAAATAGTAGGTCATAATGGTCATGATGGCGAAACCAAGAACCAGCATGGGTTTTCGTTTAGTTTATGGTATACACAGTAACCTTGAGCCGCGTACTTGTACGCTCTTCCTCGTCCGTGCGTCCCCTACCTTGTGCATCTTGTGGAGACCTTGTGGCATCTTGTGTATATCGCCAGATTCGCCACAGCAACGTTAATTTTGTTAACTTGTTAACGGAAGTGACCCAACACATGACTCAAAATTCGTGTGCAGACACGACGATTTTTACTGCTGCGCAAACAAAAACAAATTTGCACTGGCTTATTGCAATGTGAACACTACATAAGTCGTGATTGGTGATACGAAAACGCACATTGGCATTAAGGTAGTTTTTACGCCGAACCAGGTTTTTGTGTTGTCTTTAAAATTGTAAAATAACTTTTAAAAATTCTAGGCATGTTTGTCCAAATTTTAAAAAGACGATACAGACCTGGCTCGTTGAATAACTGATCCACATGTTCATGTGCTTTTTTATTAAAAATTTAAAGAACACCAGTTGCTATTGAGGCTTTTGGTACACCTCGATGCGTTTTAACATTTGGAGATTTGTTCCCATGATTTCAGTTCCGGTTACAGTTTCACTTCCGGTTGATACTAAAGCGTATGAATGTTGTCTAAGCGGTTCACCATGTGTGACTACCTGTTCTGACCAGCTCACCATGCGAATAGCATGACTAGACACATTTATCGGAAGCTGCCCATTCTGTTTCTAAACCTGATTTTAGTTTTGGACTTTCGTCCGTTCGTACGGGACGTAATAATAAAGTTAGGACTGGGATCTGGCCGCACAGTCAATTGGTGTTTCTCGATTGGCAGCTTTGTCGTGACCTTAACATCCTTTTCCAACCTGAACAGTCGATTGCTCCCTGGAAGCGCTGTATAAGCAACTCCAGTTGAGATGCTTGAAGAGCATCGTTTTAATACTCTGAACGCAAACAGTTTTTACGACTGTGCATACAAATTACTCGGCCCTTCCGGTAAAATGCCATAAAAACAATGCAAAAAGGTTTTTTGGAGAGCGCGAACGCGGAAGTTTTCGTATATGTGTAACAATATGGTAAAATTTCGATTCCCGGGTGATTTACCCTCACCAGGACCCGGGCGGCGGGCACCGGCTCCCGGCTCCGAAAACTTTCATTTTTTGCAGGAACACGGAGTAACCCTTGCGTATACTTAAAAAAATTATTTTCGTCAGCCATGGTTCAGTGGGCGTGGCTAAACTCGATTCCATTGCATAATACATGCAGCACTATGTGTCGGGAATACCGTAATAGAGTAGCGTACAATGTCACAGGTTTGCAACAGGTACGTGTTGTCAGTAGTCCGATCCTTTCTAATTCTTCTAAAAATTACTGCTATTAATAATCGAGAACAACTTAACAAAAATTGTGAAGCTAGTGATTAGTGATAACGCGTATTGTATTTGCGCCAACACACAGTCATCATGTATGATACTACGTATATCGCGGGGCGTATTTTCATTTCCCAATACAAACTAGCACAGCACTATATAATTCTTCTCGATAATCTGCTTAACAGTAATTTGTAGAAGGATCTGACATTGATCACCCGTATTGGTCACAAACCCCTCCCTCACATTGTACGGAAAATTAAAACGGTATTCCCAGTACATAGTGCTGTATGTATTAATTCACTGGAATTAGGTTTCGCCATGCCCACTTAACCATGGCCGATGAAAATACTTTTTTAAGTACTTACTGTATACCCAACGATTACTCTGTCTTCCTGCAAAAAATGAAATTTTTCGGAGCCGGTGACCGGGCCCTGGTAAGTCACGCTCCAGTCTGCCAATGCACGCTAACGTGCATTTTTCTAGTTATGTATTTTACATATTATGCGGCACAGGAAGTGAAGGAAGGGTATTCAGAAAGTGCATGCGCGTATAACCACGGTCCACAATGCAGCATACCGCATTACAGCAGCGAAACAGCCCATTATTTAATGAAGTCCTGTATCGGATTGCTTCAGTTGCTTGCTCGTCTGGTAATCTTGTGTCTGAAAGATTCGCTACTGTACATGTACCGCTACAAAATATGCAAATAGCTAGCTGGATCCATAAAGCGAAGTACTGTATTAGAGGCTGATTTTCGCAGTATTAGGGACCCAGAAAATGGCATATAAACCATGTTCATACTTTAAAGACTTCTGACAGTCAGAATTTCGAAGCCACGTACATGTATCTGTATCTGCTGAAATCATATTTTATTGTGGTTACACCATCGATTTTTCTTGTTGGATATAACAGCAAAACTGGTCAAAAGCATAAAATGTCTGCAAAGAAAAAATGGCACTAAATTTAACCGGTTTGAGCACGTATCACACAATTCAACGCATATTACTCGTATTTCCAATGAACGAAGCGCTTTCCCTGTACACCGGCCAGAGCGGCAACACCAGCGCTTTTCAACAAGTGGTCAATATCATACAAACGCGCAACAAAGTTAGTTTAATATAACCATTTTCAGGCACAATGACAATCGGCCAGTCAAGGACTTTTTCTTTACAGATCTTCCGTAGCGGCATCCTCCGACACCAGCAATTCGTACTCTTCGGCGGCGTACCGGTCCCAGTCGCTGATTGGCTCGTTGTCCTCACTGTCCACCTACACAAGAAAGACCACAACCAGTCACTCACATGTTTATAATCCGCACAACACGTCATTGCTGCATACCAGCGGATTTTGTGCAGTACGTACAATATTTTGTACTAGTGCAGTACTTGTAGTAGTACAATAATTCACTACTCTAACGTAACTTCCGCTAGGCGTTGCTGCAGTCGAATTATCTTACAATGTTGGAACAATTTCATCATTATGAAACGCACCACCTGCATAATTATAACACCATAAAAATATCTATATGAATACAAAAGAAAACTCAGCAATAAACTGTATCCACTGCACGCTTGATCGTAGTTAATCGTGAAGGCGCTTCGGGCGTACCTTGGCTGATGCGAATGGATCCCGGTGTTCGTGTAGGAGGTACTTTTCAATGTTGAAGAAGGTGTCAAAGAACAAGGGCGTCATACGGCAGCGTTTCAGATCGGTCAACAGGATCTTCTCCTTGTGCTTGGGATGCACCATATCTAACATCTACAAAAGGTCTCACATAAACATCGCTGCCGCTGATTCTGCGCAAACTGGTGCCAGGTCGGAAATATCGCTAACTACGACTTATTGCGAATTTGCATACTTGACAAGCGATGTCTTCGAAGGGCAGCGCCTCGATGCCCAATGCTTTCATGCGCTGCAGTTGTTCCACGTAGAAATACTCCAGTTCATACAGGGACAGCACACCGTCCCCATCCAGATCCATGCAACGGAACCAGTATTCAATACTGCAAAAAGTACGAGTAAATGTATTGTAAATCCATTTAACCACAGGATTACAAATTAAAGCATAAGCGCATTTATAGAAGTACACGTGGGTAGCAAAAACTTCTATCCTGAAGAAATCGAGATGACTGTGATATGGCGCTTTGAGATTGAACGATGTTTTCGTATGAAATACGAGTATTAATCGTAAGTAAAATTGAAAAGCCGTATAATATAAACCGTACACATTAATTTTCAGTTACTACCCTACTCGTACTGAAAATTCTGCGGAACTATCTGTACGTACATAAGCTAAATAAAAAGAATGGAATTCAATACTTATGATTCACAGATTTTAGCGTAAATTACTTATAAAAGAAAGGAAAACGCTTTATTTTATCAGTAATGTACGCTAAAACGCCGTCCTCTCGCTGGAAACTCTCTGTAAGGCATTTAATATATTTACAATTGTGCAAAAATGCGGCAGTGCAGTACTTGGTACGATAAATATAGATAAGGGATTGCCTGTCTCCGCCTTTGAAAGCCCCGTATATGGATATAAAAACTAATTTTGTGTTAAGTTAATTGTCTGCATTATGCAGGACTACTCTGCACGACCTCACGAAACATTTTTTGATTCATTCGTTTGCATTCTCAAGTTAGTATCGTCGCTCAAAGATGATAGACAAGTGGTTAAATGTTTGCGATCGACTGAAAGACTTCCACAACACCGTGTTACAAAATGCGAACAATTCACTGAACAAATCGTGATAAATGAACATTCAGACAACAATCCATAAATTAGCCGAAGCCAGCGGGAGATCACCTGTTGCGCCCCGCGTGTATCGTAACTACCGTTTAACGCAGCTAACAAATTTTGTCATGTTTTCCGAGCAGACGACGCCCGCAGTGAAATTGGCTATTATACACAGCTCGTCAATTATTTACTTTATCATACCTGCGCGGATGCCGCTTGTCCTCCTCTGAGATGAGAAACCACACGAACTCCGAATATGTCATCTTCCCTTCTTTTTGGTTGCTACCTCTGCACAGTTATAGCAGTGTCACCATCGCATAATACGAAGTATTTCTTAATTTATTATTGTACCTGTATCGTGTTAATTTTACTAAATGTTGCGAGTTGTGCCACACAAGCAGGAGAAAAAAAATTGAAACTGCAGATGCAAAAAATAATTTGAAGCTGCATTAAATCCGAATTTTAATAGTCACTGTAGCTTATAAGTAGCAAGATTTTAATTAATAATCGAGAAGTTCTACAATAGCTCGAGCCACATTATACTCGTATTTATTTTCGAAAAATGCCCAGAAACAAGAAATCGATGTAATTTAGCGGGTTTGCTGGAGTGCGCGTATGTAATTTGGAACAGCACGTAGCACTGGAGATTGACCTTAATGAGCAGGTGTCAAGTAAAACATTCTCACCTCGTAACCGCCCCCGAAAATATCCTATCAATCATCTTGGAGGAAATTGCTGGAAAGTGAAATGTCGCGCTGATTATAAGTTATTCGTTCTTATGTGTAGTCTTTCCGAGCGCATAACAAGCATCGCACTAGTCTCACCATGGTCATTATGGCGGGCCAAATCGGCCTTATCAATCAGCAGGTCGTGATCGCGGTCCAGTTCCCAGAATTTACAATAAATGACGTAAAAGTGCTCATAAGAGAAATATTCCGTTATCACGTTAATATCGTCTTCCAAATCCAGCGTCGCCAGCACCTAATATTGCCAAAAAAATTTCGTTGTTAAAATCAGAACTCATTCATTTACCGATACTTGTTCGAAAATTCAGTTGTTCTTTATTTGAATATTACAGTTTGCGTAACTCCATAAAACAGCAAAAATACCACTTGCAGTATCAGCTGATTTCTTGCCTGCAGAAAATTGTTGCGACGGAGCTCCTCAATCGTAATACTACCGGACCATGAGCGGTTCACACAGAAAAAGATACGGGCAATCACCTGCATGGGAAAATCAGTGAAAGTTCTTTGCGCATTTACATACATAATACCTACCCATACTCAAACCGAAATAATGCTTTATTATGACTTATGAGTGCTAAAATATATATACGATCAAAACATTATCTCCCAGAAATATGGGTAAGGCACAGTACTTACAGTATTAATGTAGCGAGCGTGAAATTCGGGGGCTTCCTTGAGAATGTTCAAGCCAGGATGCGTATCTACCACATCCTGCAACACGCACAGTCGGCAACCGAGGCACATATACCAACGCCAGAAAATATGGCAAAGAGCGAAAAATTAAAATTAGATATTTCTACTTATATTGCTGCGTAAATGCAGTAATAGCTTTTCCCCGTATAACTACTTGTTATACAGCGACCCTAAAAAGGAAAAAAAACCTACGATATGGGGTACAAAATGAGAAGTAGCCAACCTGAATGAGGGGTACAAAATCATTTGGCAGCAGATAATCACAACCGGGTTTGGCTAGCAGACTAACGAATCGCGACGCGTCGTCATAGCAGTTGGCCGTTATCCTGCATCAACCAGATTCCTCATAATAAAGGTCACCACTGACGACTGCAATTGCTGTATTGGTCAAAGCAGCCGCCTACCTTTTCCAGGTGTTCCATATCATATCAAAGGTTACGGCGGGCTCCTCCTTGGCCTCCCCACCCAGGGCGGCCAGGAAAAGCAGCCTCCGCCAGTAGAACGGCAGTCCCAGGACCTGCATCAGTTCCTTCATATCCTCCAACTTCAGCTCTGTCTTCCCACCGAAAGCCTTCTTGACCTTTTCCATTAAGACGTACTCGCTATCGGCCTTAGTGGTCGGTCGCCCACGGGGGTAGTGGAATTGCGGGATGTCCAGCGGTGCTGTGGTGGTGGGCGAAGTAACCTTAGGTGGACTGGCGGCCTTCTTGACCGGCATTGCCAACGGCAACGGCTCAATAACCTTTTCTTTCATCTTCTCTTCTTTGCGCATGCCGTTTTGCAGAGCCCGCATGATGTTTTCGGAAGCTCGCTGCACCTCACTGCGCGTCGGGGCTTTAAAGGCACCTGCTGCTCCCTCTCGGGGGGTCTCCGGGGCCGCCGCCGCTGTTTCCTTTGACTCTCGGAACCATTTGCGGTCGACCGGTTTGGGCTCGGGTGAGGGCAGGATGGTCGGGATGATGCGTTCGGTCTCCCTGAGGTCGATATCTTTGCGGGACGCCAAGGTTTGGGCGGAGCCACGGGGCGAGGGGATCTCGGTGAGGACCGGCATTTGAGGGGTGATGACGGCGGTGCTGAGGGCATGATTGCCGGGTTTGGAGGGCGGAAGGATATCCTGGCTGCCCACAGGCAGTGGGGGACTGGTAATGCGGGCGCTCTGCTTAGAGGGCGCCTCCAGTGTGATAGAGATGGCGCTGCTATTAGGCTTGACGCTGTCGGTCTCCCGGATGATCGGGATTTCCTGCCCAATAAAAACACCACGCATGTCAACGGCCTCCACATTTCAAATTTTCTTTGCTCGTGGTTTTCGATAAAACAAATAACACCAACGAAGAAAAGGCAGTTGTAGAAATTTTGCTAGCTGCATTTTGTGACACGCCAGTTAAATAATTAATTTGTAACATGTACTATATTTTTAGGTTATACTTCTTAAAAAGACTTCATGAAACGAATCAAGAAAAGAAATATGTAACCAAAAAATCGTGAAAACTTGGCATATGAATATGAGTCGGCTTTCGTTCTCACGGATGTGATGCAGCGCAATTAGCGCGTGCACTAATCGGCAAACAGCGACACTAAAGCACCGGCACATAAAACCAGTGCAATGACCTCATCACCGGCATCCTGACCTAATCAGATTACCTAACACCTACCCGTTCCACCGAGGGCGGTCGCGCGAACCCCTGTCCAAAGGGACTGCCCATCCGCTCCTCCATCATCATCCCCTGATTGGCCATCTTCCAGTTGTGCAGAGCAATGTGCGCCGCCGAGCGATGGGTGCGGCTGGCCGGCTGGTGGCTGATCTGCAGCTGCGGAAAGCCCTCAAACCACATGACCCGCTCGGCCACCGAGTTGGCGGTGGCCGGACCGCCGGCACCTCCACCGCTGCCGGAAGAGGTGGGGACGCCACGGGAAAGGGACCCGGCACCGGTTCCACCACCAGGATCATGCTCGGAGGTGAGAATGGTGGCGGAGGTGTTGGGGCCGGAGATGAGCTCGTTCTTTTGCGCCAGGAGGCGCTCCTTCAGTTGCCGCTTCTGCTCCAGGGTCAGCAGCGGATGCGGCGGCACCTGTGCGGACTCCATGTTGCTGCCGCCCGGGCTGTTAATGTGCATCGTCGTGGAGGTGGTAGAGAAGGAGAAGCTGAGACTACCTGCCCATCCAAACAAATTAAACTGTCAGCACTCTTTCAGTACGGTGAAAATTTTATGAGGGTAGTAAATATAACAAAAGAATTAGTGGCAGAAATTAGACACTGCTTAATTATTTTGAAATTTTCAGGGAATTCAGTTTTGGTCTAGTTGCTGACTTTCACTAACGAATACAGGGAATAAAAACTTTTTTTCTTTCGTACATAAATAAAATGTGAAACGGCTGACAAGAAATTCATTTTATCAATATTTATCAGACTGTAGAGATCGCAGATCGCCGCCACCAAACCATCGGATCGCACCTCACGCGCATGCCATTCATCTTGGTAAATGGTACCACTAGCTAGGTACTAAATCTAAACAATATATGCCGGCTACTTCTCCATGAATATCCCAACTAAAATAGCGCATTCAAACACCATTTACACGCGCGAAGGTCAGTTTTAGATCGCCGAAAGTCAATATGCAATATCGAGCAAGACACCAGCCGTGATCGCCAAAAGGCCCAAAACTACATCGTTACTTCATCGTATTCTATTTATTTGAATGGTTATTTCGATCGATCGAAATTTCTGAAATAATAGTTCATTATTATGATCATTATAAAATCTACGGAAAAGAAACTCATTACAAAATAATCGCCATCAACCGTCTTGCCGGCTGTTTAGTGCAGCTAACAGTAACAGGCAACTCACCTCCATGCGGCAGCCGAGCGGAGATCCTGGGAAAGTGCTGCCGTGTGGCGCTCACCGCTCCGGGCGGGCCGTGACTGCTGTCCAGACTGCGGGCCCGGTCCTGTGCAATGAAGATCTTAACGCGCTGCTGCAGCTGATCAGGCGGCTCCGAGTGGATAATGTGGTGGACAGTGTCCTCCAACTCCCCCGGCGGGGAACCGGCGCCCCCCGTGTGCACCACACTACTTCCGGTGGTGGCTGTGCTGCCGCTGCTGCTGCTGCGGGAATAACTGACTCGGCTGGACTGCGAGGGAGTGGGCGTGACATCTCGGCGGAAGGGCGTGGTCGAGGGAGAGTGCAGCATGGCGGCGGAGGGGGGATCTGAAATGCCAGTAAAGGTCAACGGGTATACGTGGTGATGACCGGACACCGGGGATGACTTGGCCGGATACCATACTTTCATTGTTTATTTGCATCAATATACTTTTACGGTATTAAAGCATTATCGAGTTACACAGGTTTCTTGTGTAAAAACATTCATTTTGCACGATAATCAAATGTGATTTCCGAATCGATTTTCCGGCGATTGAATCAAAAACAGTAATCCAAATCACAGAACTCAGCCAAATAAAATAATGTGATCACGCAAAACGGATATCCAGAATAACATCATAAGCTGAACAATTAGCTTACAAAATTCCCCCGCCCTCGTCAAACGTATAAAGTAACACACAAACTTTATGCTGATTGTCAAGTGAATGAAAACAACTTATTCCTCCGGTAAAGACGGATACGGGGATACTTTCCATCAAAGTTGCAAAACATTATTTAGTTCCACAAATTTAAAAATGATTTCCCGACATGCAAAAACGAAGCAGGTCATTTTTGCGGTGAATAACATGAGATAAAAAATGATTCTCAACATGCCTGGCCAATTAAAGTCTATAATCCCCAACTGCCACTTGCAAGCAGCAACTTCACACGTTGAGTACACACTCGGTCGCTGTGTGCGACACTGTTCTACTTTCAAGTGCGGCGCATGTACAGATATGAGCAGAAATATGGAAGAGATGGAAAAAAATGCTGCCGCGCCGCGACTGCACTCTTCCCTGAATTAGTATATTGGTGCCGACGTAACTAGTTGGAATTCCTTTGACTATTTTTACAGCGAGGATCTGTATACGGTTTATACAACGCCTGTGTGAGCACCGGAAAAGCGTTTTTCGCGGATGCCGTGCCATACACCGTTATCCGGCAAAACTGGTTAGACAGAATTTGACTTTAGAAACAAAATGCCGGGCGCGCGCAACAGTTTACACGAAGACGGAAAAAAATACGGTAGAATAGAAGTACCTCGTACTCGTATACTTATATGTGCGACAACTACAAAATCTGGCCTACATATTACCAACAGAAATATGCTCGTAATAGTAACAAATTTTAGCTTTACCATTTTTATTGCAGTTTTGAACCGGCGGTAAAAATAAACCTCTTCAAACCTCAGCCAGCCGAAAGGACTCAAGTGCATGCAATGGCGTACAAACACAGTATGCAAAACATGCATGCATTTATGCTAATGTCATTATGCCAGTAATAATATAGATTTAATTATTGAACTACTCGATATGATATGCATCTATGAATCTGACTAAAAGCTTAAAAAATAATGTAATACGGGAATGCACAAGCGGTAATCTTACCTATATATATATTATAGAAGTATTAATAAACCGTATACACGCGGAATATGTCTACAGTCTACACGCAGATTTTCATAATTTGATAGCAATGTCTTTATTCTTTTCAGATTTTGTTAGCAAGAGTTATAAAATAAAAAAAAAACAGCAAAAAGACGCTTCAAAAAAAATTTAAAAAAATATTTTTACTGTTTGTTTTTTTTTTTGTCACGTCGCAGCCCATATTTTTGTAAAACTGTAAGCATTTCAGAAGTATTACTTTTGCTTTGATCATGCGATAAAAAGTGCAATCTCTAACTGAAATTCCTTCGAAAAAGCATCAGTTTTTCTGAAGATAATTTTGGAAGTAAAAAGTGTAAAATATAAGCAAATGAGATAGCAAAGCTACTAGGTCTGGGACCCTGGGACTCTCTGGGTATGAAAAGTCAACTGTGCATGATCGGGAGAGAAATACAGTAAGTACTTCACAGCAGATTGACAAGTGCACGTGGTCGGTTAGGAAGCCAGCAGAGCGGTGTCTTTTTTCTCTTTTCTCCTCCTGTCGACATTCTCAACGCATAAATTAAGCAGCGTTGTTGTAGCTGACGGGTGAGCGTATGGCGACTTCGGTGTACAGTGTAGTGCTGCTTCCGTAATATTAAATAAACAACACCTTCTGCATGAGCCCCTGAATTGTCCGACTGCCGGCTCAGCATCTTCGGTGTATATAAATTTGTCCACGTAATCAGCTGCTGTCACGGCAGCCCAACCGGCATTTTAGCCCAACCGGTCATTCTAGATTCTAACTAGGCCGACCACAAAACTGCTGTCGTATACTGCTTTTTTATTTATATTATGTATAAAAATACTTACAACAACATTTCCCTCACCGGTGCACAAACAGAAGACGCTGCAGCATTTTATCTCGTAATCGCCAACCAAGCGCGAAGAAGTGATAATTATGCTATCATTTTTTATGTAACGCTCAATTAACTGGTAAGAACACGATTTAAGTTTTTTTTTGTTTCATTCAAAGTTAGAAACTTAGAAAATAGAAATGCTAATATTAATATAGATTATAGTATGTTAACTCTTTGAAAAATAAGGACAGAATTGTTTACAAATTGAATAAGTATATTAGAGAGATTCGCAGAACTGAGTCTGAATTTACTCGGCATTGCGAACACTTTTTTTCAATTTTTCTTGTTATCATATCAAACAAACTGCTTGATTTCAAACATATTTTGGGAAATGGTACTGTTATTAGGGTACCGTTAACTGCTTTACGGCACTGTCATTTATAATGAAAAACTAGTTTCAAGTGCAAATACTAGTTAAGAAAGTAATAATTGACCATTCTGGTCCGTTGCCGGTCGCCCACACTGGTCGCTCGTAATTTGTATGCGGCAGATGAAAAAGGCGGACGTGACGGTGAAAATAAAGGCTGGCCTGCTTGAATATTCCTCCTACGGTGTGAGCGTAACAATTATTCTTCAATTATCAAACATATCGCCCCATTCACAGCAGACAATCCGCATAACAATATAACAGACATTCGCGGAGGCTGGAAACACAAACTGGCTTTCGCAATTTTACAACCGTATGTATGTACAATTGTACATAGGTCTGCCAGTCAAAAGATCGAAACTGTAATCACGCTTCTAGATGCAGTCTGTACACAGCAGGACAGTACATAAAAGCTGAAAATTATTCTGGTTGCCGTTTAATTATGTTCTCATAATTACGCATTTTGGTGGTGTAAACAATTAATTCTAACAATTCATATCTTGGTCTTCTGTTTTCAAGATGTGAAGGAGCGTAAATAATGTTATGCAGTTGCAGTACTGTATTCTAATGGTAGAAGTACTTAGTCTTTTTTTAAAACCAAATAAAATATCGAAAATATGCAAAATATACGATTACGTGCAAACAATCAATAGATTTCGCATTTCGGAGCAACAATCTAAAAAAATCGGCAATAATCATTTGTAAAATTTATCGAGAAACGGGTTTCAATACATACACTTCAGCCTGTGCACATTTCCACTCACATGCCGCCATAATAATCCGTTAATGATAATTCGTCCAAAGGATAAATGATCATGTGCATCCGCCGTTAGCGATATAAACACTCTCACTACACCGGGGACTGCCCTGGGCGACTTAATTGAATGCCCGGCGACGTCAGCATTATGCCGTTAGCCGGCTCATAGTGAATATAATGCAACATTAGCTATTTATTAGATCGTTACGTAAGTGACGCGGAGAGGAGCAACTACCGAAGAAGAAAAAACCAAGTACGGAGTACAGCAGGAGGCGCCAGCCGACCAGCGTGCAAGGGATGTGATGCCGGGGATGTGTCGTTTAAAAAAGAGAAAGCCAAGAAATTACGGGAATGAATGACAGCGGACACGCACTCGCAAGACGCCACGATAGACTCTTCCGCTTGACCGATTCTGATTAGCTAACCATCCAACGGGAACAAGCACGGCGTTAAGCTAACTTCCAAATCGGAGGTACTGTGTTAGCCGAATAATATGTCTAAACATCCAGAAATACGAAAATTTTTAGAAATACTTTCTTCTGTTGATTGTAATTTGTACCCCATCCATTCGAAGAAAATCTATCAAAAAACTTCACTGAAAAGAGAATCATTCAGTATAGCGATAAAGCATTTTTGCAGCTAAAAAATTATCGAGTAAGTTACGATAAACTAATTCCTCAACGGGGAGGCATAAAAGTTTGTTTCAAATATTTATTAACAACATACTTATTGCAAAAAAATTGTAATAAAAATTATAATGTAAGGACTGCAAAAATGTAAAAATTTTTGCAATCGGTTGCTATATACTTATGCATATCATTAAATGATTAACGTTTCTAGAGTGACAGAATATGTAAACCGGCGATTATGGTTCCGGCGAATCTGTCAATGCGCATAGTGTTACTTCTGTAGGGCCGATAATCTTTATTAATTTTGGGTGACAAACTAAATTCGCTGGCTGCGCAACAAAAGCTGCTTAATGCGCTAAATAGACCGACGAACGGCGGCATTGTCGTGTCCATTACGTGATTGATGCGGGTACTGTGTGATGATGCGCGACATGGACACTTGATCCGACAATATGCGCAGAAAGGACACAGCATCCAACCCAATCAAGATGCCGGTAATTACCTATTGTTCCCTCTCAGCGGGATATTCCGGAAACAAACGTTCCGGTTTTTTATGCCCGACATTGCAGCCCTTTTCTGCGCGCTTCTCTTATCATTTAAGCGCATTTCCTTTTTACGTGGAATAAACTAATCACGCACGTTTCCTTCTAAAATTTCAAAAACATTCCCTAAAACGATACTACCGTAGCGGTAGATCCCTAAATGAAAAACTTACAAGAGAAGTAATGAAAACATCTCACCATCAGTATTGCTAACACAATCGCACCTGTAACATTTTTAGCCCTACGCATGATTTTAATATTTTTCAAACCCAAACCGCAATAAACAAAATTAAAGATTAATCAGATTTGTTTTACAGTCTTCTTAAGTTTTTGTCGTAGCATAGCGCAAATCTATAGAAACAAAAAAACAGACAGCGAAGGAAAACGTTAATTTATACTTTCATGTATACCTATATGGCGCCATGTACTGTACATATGTTAAATTATGCCGGGGCATAATTCGAAGAAAGCGAAGAGTCACCGAGGGAACAGCGACGTGTCTTGTATGTTTGTGTCTATGGGCGCTAGCTGCACGTTTAACTTTACTCTTTAATGAGGATGAGTAAGACGTTTACCACTAAACTGTCACCCAGATTTATCTGTTTTTTCTCCAGTCCTTATCGTCAACAGCACTACTAAACACTCGGCAGCAGCTACTGCGCGCAGACTGGCTATCAACAACAGCCACTACTGTGTACAACGCACTCGCCCAGAAATGACTACAACCGGAAACGAATGCAAGAAAGAAATGCGTGCATATAAAAAAAATTCTTTGAATGCCCCATTTTCACAGTAACTTCAGCGGTTATTCTAATTATAAAACGATTTATTAACAATAAAATACAAGAACACAACTGTAGAAAGAGACAGAATACTAGTTTGAATAATACAATTATGAATTATTACACTCTACAAAAATTTCGATAAAAATTGCAAGTAAATCTGCATCGTACGAAATTTTTTTACCAACGGTTCGAATAATTGGCTGAAATCAGCAAAATAGCATCAGTGTTCTTAAAGCTTAACTGATCATGACTGGATCGGAAGCTTAACAACGCCTTTAACTGGTCAAATTAACGCGGAAGTGTCCAGTGCAGTTGTTGTACGTACTTGATCGATCGGCAGCTATTGTTAAGCGGGTGGACACCAGTGCAGTAATCGGATATCCGATTCGTACAAGATCACACGTATGCGGACACACTTTTGCACCAAATCATAATAATTGTAATCACCATTACAACAGTTTGCACTTAAACATTTAAACGTACCTCGGTTCAAGGCGGGATTAAAGAAGGGATCATCATCAAAACTATGGTCAAAGGCGAAAGGATGACGGTAATCCTCAAACAATGCAGTCTGACCACTACTGCTATTCAGCGGCTGATCAAACTGACGGAAAACGTTATCAAAGTGGTTAAAATCCAACAAATCCGACCGGAATCCCCGCGAAAACACCGAACGAAATGGCATGGACAGCCGCATCGACAACGGCACGGCACCAGCCGTCGTCAAAGCATTGTCGGCCGCGCTGTTCACCTGTGAGGGTGAGTTGAACGTGGCTGGAGGCGATGGCATATTATTACGATTATGATAGTGACTACTACGCTGCGGATAGTGGTATGCGAATGATGGAGACTGATCGTATTCGTAGTGACGACTGCTACCGCTGCTGCCGTGCGGACTGAAATGCACGTGAAGGTTAAAGGCGGTGGCGCCCTCTGGCGAGCCGGCTGTGTCAGCGGAGGCGCGACTTATCGGCTCATTGAATGGTCGCCCGCTGGCGGTGGACCAAGAGATTGGATCACTGAACTGTCGGCCGAGGGCGGGGGACTGCGCCAGTGGTTCACTGAACTGCGGGCCGGGGCGGGCGAAGGAATCACTATACTGGCGCCCGATGGCGGTGGGCCGCGGCGACGGATAGTTGGCAGCCGGTGAGTGTGAGCGCCGCTGCGCCATGCATATCAGCCAGCGTCTTCACGTCGCCGCAAGAAGAGGCTAAAAATACATTTCAACCAAGAATGTGAAACATTTTTTTGTATTTTTGGTGTGTGCTGGCGTCGGCTTATTTGCGTCAGAAGGAGACCGCTTGGCAGCTGCTAATGCTGCTTTCAACTGAAATCATGCGGCAAATGCGCCGGCTACAGTAACTAACACTTACGAAAGAAACAATTAACACAATAATTATCGTTGTTAATTCATAAAAAACGCAAACACTGAAAAATATTTTAAAACACTCCTAATAATAATCGAACATTAAGAAGTTAGATTTTCTAGTGACGCTGAAGGTTATGCATTTTTCCCGCTTGATGCCACGCCATGCTAGTAATCACATGTGCTGATATGCTGAGCCGATTACGAACTATTCGGCACGGCGCGAAATTGCCAGAATCAGCAATTGCAATATGAGTCACTGATGCGCGCTTCTGCTGAAATGGTTTAATTTCCGCCGGATTGCGTAAATCTTTAATTATCGTCCACAGTTAATGGAGCGTCAATTTATTACCGTTTATATTTAGACTGCCCATCTGCAGATATTAAGAAACCCTCATACAGGCGATTAGAAAAAGATCCTAAGCCTGACCCAACAAATGTGCATACATACCTATATATAAGTTACGCTATATAATAGTAACAGTAGTAAAACCATAGAAATTTTTCGTTCCAAAAAGGGGTCCACGTTGCAAGGAACAATTTTGTGCACCGCGACTGAGCCGGAAACGAATGTACATGCATGCTCTGAGAAAAGCTGGATCAATACAACAATCAATGAGTTAAGAATTTCCTGAAAATTGTTATATAATAGAAAACTGTAAGACTGTTTCTCCATGCAAGATAAAACGATCGAAGGTTTTGCTTTAGACATTAGGTTTTATTGTTTAGTCATCGTGCTCAAGAAACGGACTTTTACGAAAATTCGAATAATCTCGAAAGGATTCTACAAAAACATTCTAAAAAGTGCGGCTGATATGAATTTCGGCATATCGTCGTGGAAGAGCAAATTGCCGCGTCAGTGGCGATTCATGTTATATTTGCCGTCACGGTCATAATACAAATGACTCGACCCAGATATGCCAACTGTGGGCATGTAATCAGCATCGTAATTAGCACCGGACACCCCGTCCATCTTCGCGCGTCGACTGCGACATTTTCACCATTCTTCCTGCATTTCCCGCCTCCAAAGGATGCCACAAGTGAAACGCATCAGTTATGGTGTTTTATCGTATTTTTTTGTCAGTCGGCTCATTAGCCGGTTAATCCGTATAAACAACCTCCAATCGGATTAATACTAGCTGCACTCACCCGCCGCGGCTGTACGCAAATATCCGCTCTATCCGCTCACCGGTCTGTGATCACGCACTGATCTACGGCTCAGGTGATAATCCACTTTGGCCAACCGAGCCGCACACACATTCACGCATTACCCTGACAACACAAATGCACACACGCGCTCAAACGCGAAATGCCGAAGCACTTAACAGCGTCGTAATAACCGTTAGAATTCCGGTTTTTATCGGGGATTTTACGATGCGGACGGGCATAAGAAACTTGAGCGATAAGCTATGAGAGCGATGCGTGCCGCCTTTTCGGCTAGTTTGAGGAAGAAAATCTTTTGCCAGTTGGGTAGCTGCGTGCAACAGCGACACTTTCAACGTGGAAACGGTACACTGCTGTCTCTTTTGGTTTTGGCAGCTTCCGTTGGCGCTTCTGTGGTGAGCGCGTGTGCCGGTGCAGATGGCAGGAAAAACAAGACGATCATCCGATCCGCTGTGAAATCTGTGTGTGTGCGTACTGTGCGAGCGAGAGAGACAGTGAGAGCCAGCAAACCGGCCCAGAAGCGGAAAAACAGATCGGAACGCGATGCGCTGCGGAAGACGATCGAGATCGAGAGAACAGCACCGGCATTGTCGACGACGCCATGGCTGCCGTATCGCGCACTTTCTGCACTGTTTTATTATTAGCTTCAGTCAAAATTTTCAATTAATATGCACAAGAAACCGGCCTTTTGATATGCGGAGAAGTGTGTTTAGTTTTCGTTTATTTCACGCAATGTTCAGATAAGGTCACGTTGTTCGGTTGCTGGAAACGGCAGCCAGTAAGTAAAGTAGCCATTATTACAGTACTTTCTTAGTTTCTGTTTTAGTGAATATTAATCAGCGCCTTACCTTTTTGTCCTAGTGTCAATATTATTGAAATCAACTATTTATCAATATTTATTATCAATATATATTTCGCAGATGATAATTAAGAAAAAACGACAAGAAGTGAATTATGATTTATTTCTTTCACGGTATTATGGGTCAATAATATCATAATGACTGCCTTTAATTTATCTCCTACATGCACCTTCCTCGAAATGGGTGACCATGGCCATCGTGGAAACCGGTCAAGTACGCACAATTATTCCTACTGTAGGTAGGTTGCCCGTTTTCCGGAACATGTGTGTGCACGTGTATTCCTGTCTTCTGATAATCCTTGAAGTGGAACATCGTTTCCTTGTATGTGGCTTTTCTCTTTAAACACGTACAGGACACCCTGAACGCGATATTCGCTACTGTCTGAACGAATGCAATGTACGGTACGAGTAATTGGTAATGCAAAATACGCTGAACAGCCTGAACTGGAATTCGATATAATACTGATTAAAAATTTTTTCGGATCTGCAGTGCTAAATTCTGTTTAGATAACAAATTGTCACTAATTACGTCCTACGAATCGTAGGATCGTAAACTACAATCACCAGGATTTTTGTTGTTGCGTTCAGGGAAGAAACCAGCAAGGCATTAATAAATCAAACAGCCAAACATGTCTTTTTAGGCAATGAAAGCAATTGAGCTGCCACAAACAATCACACAGAAAACCATAAAAATTAATACAAAATTCGCAATCACCATTTTCACCGGAACAATCCGCTCGCCAATCCTACCATCCCAACGGCAACCGCACCGGCCACCCTAGCCGCTCCATTCTCAATCCGTTCAGCTATCGTGGCCGGTCGAATTCGTCCCGAACCCAGCGGGAGCTTCAGAGTTTGTTCACCCAGGTTAAACGCCTCCCCGGAATCCAGTATCAGGACCAAGGGGACCGTCGGCTCTTGAGCGACCACACGGAAGGTCATCATGCCGTCCGCGCCCAGACAGGCAATGTCTAGACTGGAGCCAAGGTATTTGTAACCGCTGAAAGTCCAGTTGCGGGCACCAGGAAGGGGCCGTGGGTGGACGAGAAGCTCGTCGGCGCGCAGCCGGATACCACCATATCCATTGATTACAGCCTGTATAAAGCAAACATTTGGGCACAAGCTTCAAACTGTGTGATTTACGCCCCTGCTTACTGAAATCAGTTTTCTCGCCGCTACAATGAACTTTTCCCCGATTCGTACAGCCGTGCTCATTTCTATGCCAACCATATAAACAACAAAAACTGAAAAAGCCAATGCTTCAATGATATCAAAAAAAGGTATTACTTATCTGAACAACTCTACTACGGACGACCTCCTAGTCCTAGAGTAAATATTTAGGCCAACTACGCACTGTCAGAAAGACAAACGTAATCGAACGCCACCGCTGTACAACAACCACCCGGGTCACGCACATTATGCAGTGCAAAATCATGTCATCTACCGTAGATAACAAAAAAATTTTTCGAAATAATCCAAAAAGCTAACTTGTAAAAATCCACCCATTCCCGTGAGGAAATTCAGTGCGCCCTGGCCACCGGGATTCTCCGACCAAACCTGCCGCAGGCAATCTCATCAAACCACTCACTTCACTTCAGATAAATACAAAAACAAAAACTTACACCAAACGGCGAGACGATATTCTCGTAATTTTTTACAAACAACAAATCGGCCTCTTCGTGGCGCTCCAGCTCCAGATAGCCGACGGAGAACATGCCCCAAGTCATGGCCGGACCTTCCACATCCGTAATCTACATAAACTAGGCGACTCCTTATGAAGAAGCAACACTATAGAAGCCCGCCCTACGTTCAGATAGATGTCCAGATCATTGGCACGGATACTGCGATTCATCGGCATATCCAGCGGATACCCCAGAAGAATGACGTCCGCTAAACATTACAAACAAACGGATTAATTTACACATAAATGCAATTGTCATAAGAGTAATTATAAAACAAAAAAAATATGAACAGGTTATGTGGTAAAACAAAAGTATAAGTACCTTGTTTGACAAGTGCCGGCTTCTGATGATCTGTGGAATGTCGCTTCCCTGTAACAGAAGACGGCACGGTAACGCTTATGTTAAGGGATTTGGCCCGGTACATAGCGCTAAAATCGTGTACATTGACGGGAATTAATATTAAAATTAATACTAAGATTAAGATTAAAAATCTCTTACTAATCACTGTTCCATATTACGTAACATGACCGTCATCGAATTCTGGGTATTTGTGTTATTTAAAATAATGCAGAACGGTGTTGATAAAATGCAAAGCTGCGTAGCAAAATTTGTCCTCAGGTACTCCAATTTAACACACTACAAGCGCTTTGTTCTGTGCGTATCATCACCGCACAGACATACAAAAGCGCTATACATACACGCCAAATATACTAAACTACTCTGATTACCTGGAATGAATCCCTCAAATTCCGGATGGAAAACCCGTCCATCAAGGGTGTTTTCTAATATGATCAATTTGTTAGCAGTGTCCATCCATTTGGAGCAGTCTGGGTGGACAGTTCCGGTGAAAGTCGAGATGTATGCCGGTAAACTGAGCAGATCACCCGCAATTATTGCAACATCAAAATTATTAAACCGAGAAATGTTGTTGTACTTTAATGCAAGCTTGGCGATGTAATTCGTGTAGGCGGAATCATTGACGGGGAAGTGATATTCATCCGGCCCCATCACCACTGCAAAAACCAAAGGCATTCATACGTTTACTAACATCTGCTAAAAAATGCGACTAAGAGAATTCCGAAAAACGAATCAAATAGTAACATAAATAATTACTTTTTTTTCCACACTGCGGAGAACATCAACCGAATTGCGCGTATTTCGTCTTCTGCTAATACAACTCCGCAGTCATACGCTGTACGGTAGAATGATAAACCACGAAACCAGCAATCGGTTTTACTAATACAGATATACAAATCTGCCAAATCTGTATGTGCATTTTCGCGTTTTTTCATTTTATTAAACGTCGTAATAAACAACAAGGAGTACTATTCGCAAAAATTAATAGAAGGTGATAAGGTCGATAAAATTAAAAAGCTGAGTTTGTCTGTTATGATACTATTGAAAATGGAGAAAGCAGCAAGTGCAAGCCGAAAACACGCTTCGAAAAACATCGATCTCAAAACCGAAACTACAAAAGTAAGCGGGTACTTACTCTCGATATGACAATTCCCGTCTGTGCAGTTGGTGCGCGTAAACCAAAACTTAGCCATTTCAACGGCCATTTCTTCCAGATTTAATTCCTGAATTAGCTCCAGCTTGTCGTGGCTAGCGTAAAGAAGCTGTCGGAGCGACAAAGCAATGTCGCCCGTAACGTGCACTTCATATTCACCGGATTCTCGCCACGGACTGGTCTCTTTTCCTGTAATGCAATATAAAATTACTGGCATATCCTGCATGATTACGCGATTACTCCTGTTATCTAAAACCACTTCATGCATAAGCGTAAACCACTTCATGCAAAAGCGATCTGCAGAACGTAAAATAACGATAAAAACTGAAAGGCATAGCTTGGATAAATATACCAGAAAATGCAGATTCCCACGGATACTTGGCTCCCTGATATCCGTTCAAGATAGCGTTTTGTTTCGCCGGTTGCAGCATGTTAGCCCGGGCTTTAAGGAACAATTTGGCTTGAGCAGGATGAAAACCGAGAAATGGCGGATACTAACGGTAAGCAGATAAAACGAAATTGTCCACGTGATCGTACAGAAACAAAGGACCAATTTTAAAAACTACTCACCATCCACGTATCGGCATCCCAGAAAACATGACCAGAATAATCCTTGTTAATGGCTCCGCGCGCTAAGCCACCTAAATTCTTAACCAATCACTACAGCACCGAACTACGGAGTCATTAAGAAGAACAAAACGCTAAAACCTGTGATAACGTAACGTGAGTCATCATAGCAATTCCAACGGGATTAATTAAAATGCCATTGGCTTGGATGAAATGTTCAACAGAATGGAGATGCAAAAAAGGAGCGCAAATCGACAGCATATTCATTCAAAAGCAGCTTCTGTGAGAAATTAATGTATTTCAAAAGACATGTACAAGAAAATGTTATTAAAACTGTTAAGGTAAAAAACTCTATGATTAAAACAAATACCTGGGCTCAGTCCAATGAACTTGTTAATCGGATCCTCCTTATTCGGCAACGACGAAAACAGATAATAAAAAGCACCATAGAGAGCTTGGGCCAGCTGGAAATTCTCCTCGGGATCAACGTCAATGCGTCCTTCGTCCCAGAACGATCGCCACTGATCAATGTGAGACTCGTACAGCTCGCCGGCACTAAGTGCTAACGCCGATTTTAGCGCCTGAATAAAAAAACGTTTTCACAAATTCAATTTGCAATCAAATAAAATTTTTTATTTTCAGAACTGCAGTAAAGCAATAAAATCTTTAACTGATTAGATGGCATACGTTCAGTGCATCGTCGTGTTTCGTACTGGTGGACACAATCTGCAACAGTTGGAGGCTTTTCCCGGATGGGACAGTGAAATTCGTCACATCGCCGTTCCAGGCAACAGTCAGGTGAGAGAACGGCGTGTCTTCTGTTTCCGGTTTAAGATTGGTCCCGTCCGTAAATCTAATCCTGCAACGAAACCCATCCAACCATTTGCGCAAGGTAAAGGAAATTCCATTTCCCGCACTACCGATTCCGAGACAGAATAAATGCAATTTCCCATAACTGTCGAAGCAAGCTTGCCTTACACTGTTCCTCCGCTGTGGATCGTTTTGGTAGCCTCAAACCACAAATCCTCACTCAACAGCTGATCTTGATTCGGTACGCCCAAATACAACACCTCCACATCTCCAGAGGAAGTCTTCGGTCGGGATATGTGCACTTCGGAGACCAGCAGGCGATCGTAGCGGCGGTGTGCATAAAGTCGACGCTTGATCGTCAACTTGGGATTGCGGTAGACTTTCGTTTCATAAAATATTCCTACAAATAAAAAATTATGATCTGGTTATGATTTACTTACTTTAACCGGGTTAAGAATAACCAAATAAAATTAGGCACGTGCGCAAAACGCAAAACATCTAACTTAATAGCGTCTTCAGTAAGAAATTCTGATACATTACACTGTTAATTCAGTGATTTTTCACCTTTTTCGACATCTAAAACGTATTCTTCTTGCACCAAATCTGATGTGGCATGGCTTGTAGTTAGCTGGAAACCGACGAGGGAAGGAATTCGCGCCCGGCTGCTGGCGGTAAAGTTGCCATTGTACAATCCGTTCATATGGACCCAAGGGCTACGCACCACCGTAGCAATGTGCCCGTTTCCCATATCCGGCATGTATTTCGCTTCCGGTAACCTATAAACGAACATGTTCGATTAAATGAAATACTCTGGACTGAGCAGGTCCAAATCTAGACAACACCGATTTGTGTCGGTATAGCAAACGGTGATTTTGAAACTGCATTACTGATTAATAATCATATTTATGGCATAATTATGTCCTGCAGTTATTTCTTTGTTGTGCAAAACATCGTGATACCATTTCTAAATGCCCCCAATTTCAGCTCAGATTAACAGCAGATTCGTTTATTCATAATTTAGGCTTCGTTGCGTTCCTATTTTTATATTAAATTTTCTACATTTTGTAATGCCAGTAAATACATAATTATTAATCACATATTATGCCATAAAAGGAAGAAAATTTTAATATTTACAGTATATCTAGTGTGAGCAAATCTATCTTTTCTGTCAACAATTTCCTCAACGTTAGCCGGTATCTTTTGCTGCAAAAAAATCATAACGCTTGTCAAAAATCTGTTTAGACATACTTTGGTGTACCCTTTGCAACTGACGAAAAAAAACCTTTTTTAAAAAAAAACTGCCATGTGGAGCGTATTTTCACTTTGTTGACTGCTTGATTGTTCCCTTACGCATCGGCGCTCCACTGCCAGGGATTCCTCCCCTTTCCCCGCCATCGACTCCGCCCACTGGCCGTCCCCACCCTCAATACCACATCCCCGCGTCGCACCCCCTTCTCACGCTCCACCGGCACAACGCCCTCGTCATTCTCCAGCAGCAGCAGCGCTCCCTCCGGGGCACTTTGCACCGTGATGCGCAGCTGCTGCTCCGTGCACTGCACATCCAGCACGTAGCCCTCAAACTCCACCACGGCGCTCCAGGCCTCCGGGGACACCGAGGGCCGGATATGCAGACGGCGGCCCTGCAGCGTGATGGCGGGATGCATGACCAGTCGCAGGATGACACCGACACGGGTCAGCAGACTGACGCTGCTGGAGTCAGGCAGGATTTGGTAGAGGAGCAGGTTAATGAGGCAAACCAGCAGGGAGAGAGCCACGATGAGTTTAACGAGCAGTGACAGACTCTTATTCCATGCCATGGAAAGGGGAACATCGTTCGATGGGTGGCGCAGCCGGTCTTCAAAATAACAGGTTGTAATTGGTGAAAAAATGCTAATGTAAACAGTAAAAATATGTAAAAAGAGAGCAAAAGATCTGCGTACGCGGGGGCTTATTCCTGTCAAAAAATAAGTCATGAGTGGCGCCCGCGGCGGCCGCCTCGTCATCTGATTGAGGGTACATCATTTACAGAAGGTAGGAATGTACAAAATCTTCCGAAGTTGTCCTGTAAAAAATTTTTTCCGAAGTTGTCCTTTCTCAAATGATTTTGTACAAATAATGTTCGCAGAAGTCGTAAAGGTAGGGTTAAAATTCTACAGAACATTTTCGGGTACCGAAGAATGTTTACAAACTGCTTGCGATGCAACAAAAAGAAACTCGAGCAGGTTGATATGCGGACAGCGTGAATGCGCAGTTGCTCATGAGCGCAACTCAACAGCCGCGAAAACTTTTGCGCGAAGCATTCCCAGCCGGTATCTAGATTTTCGTAGCTCTTTTGAGTTATGAAATATGTTAGTAAGACTTTTCTATTGTTGACAGCAACCGTGCTTGCGTCAACTTTCCTGTACACGTGTGCGACTTTTGTGCGCCGACGTTTTTCCGCCAGGCGGAAGTCGCGTGCTAGCCTTCAGCTTGTACAATGTAGGTACAATCTGTACGTACCGACGATACCGTACAGCATAGACCCACATTCGTGGGAATTGATGTTGCGTACGTACAGCGGCACCAGTTGGCCTTGTCGTGCTCTTCAGTGGATATTTGCATTCCACCGTATTAACACAAAATAATCGCTAACCAGTAAGGTCGGCAGCGCCGGCCGTGTGCTTTGTGGTCAATGCGTATTTGCATTTAATAAGGATCCGCTAGACATTTTATTTCCCGTAACATTTGCCTCTATTTAGACTTAATTATAATGTGTGTTTGTGCTGGTTGGAGTGCGAGAACATTAGCTGTCGATTTTTTGATTTCTTTTTGGCACGCCTTTAGCTAGAGCTTAAACTCAACGATATCGGTATCCAGCGATGACGTCAACTGGCGCTCCGCCTCATCCGGCACATGCACACAGAATCACAATCTTTGTGATTCGTTGTAGAATTTTAGCGGACGTTAATTTTCAAGCTGCAGTGCGGAATTTAACCCGTTTAGGCCTTCGCGGATTGCACAAAATCCCATTCGATTACCTTATCTTCACTTGATACAGCAATATCGTGACTGACTGATTGTTATCATCTGCATCCTTGCACCCGGCGCACAACGCCTCCAGTCGACAGTTGTATCTTGGAGACCGGCCGATGCCAGAAGCTGTGATCGTTCTTCGTTAGTTTACCAACACCAATTTGCATAATGATGAGTTGGAATACTAGTGAAACCATTGCGGATTTACTTCTCAATCAAACTGATTCGCCTGCATCATCGGTTGTGCGGGACAAATGCGGCTGGATCCCGGCATATGGCCGCGTGCAACAGCATCCGCTGCGGCTGTTGGACATTTACTCGTATCCTTTCCTGCTTTTCCTCGCTACACTGGGCAATATCATCAATCTGATGGTGTTGACCAAGGACAAGCCCTTTGCGTCAAAAAGTATCTACTTAATCGCGTTGGCAGCCATGGACATGCTGTATATGTACGTTGTTATAAGACGAATACATGCAAACAAAATAAGTTCACTGACGGTAATTGGGTAACCTTATGTTAATTCTGTGCTCTGGTTTTAAATATTTCCTTAATTTATTTTAACTATATTGTACGCAGCTCGTATATTGCATATTGTGTATATTTTCGTCCAGCCTGCCCTCATCTTAAATTGTCGCCGTTTTTAATTTGACCAGAATTATCACTGAATTAATCTGCTTAAAACTATATACTCGTACTTACCAGTTTGCTGAATATAGGCGTAATATTCTGTCAAACTTCTCTTGGATAATAAATTTATTTTTTTACATAGTTAAAAATTTTAACTTAAAATTGTTTCTTTGGTGTCAGATTTGGGTCTACCGGTGCGTTTCTGCATTTAAAAGTAGAGCAAGTGCACATACTCTGTATGCGCTTGAACTAGCGTGATATGCAGAAAATAATTCTTGTGATCGTAGGTGGTGCGCTCTTCTATACTATGTTACGGGCTTTGCCCGGGAGACGGAAATCTTAAACATTTATTTGGATTCACTGACGGTAATTGGGGAACAAATCTCTGGAGTAACCGGCTTCTTTCAAGAAATCGTAAATACAGCTTCAACATGGTAAGCACAACTTGAAGTACATTATTTGAATTGTGCATATCCTGCAGTCCCAAATGCAGATTAGTTGACCAAGCGGCAATTTTCTACCGTACATTCAGACTAACAGCAGCCATAACATTAAGAGCAAAAAAGTACTGCGCGCGATTGTATGGCGTGTTTAGTTTTTTTGCTAATTCAACCGCCATTTAATCTTGCTATGACACTGAGATATTTTATTTTCAAAGTTATTTTGGTTAAATCATGTTAATGTTAATAATTAATATCAAGTACTTTCTATAGTGTGGGTGTACTTTCTATAGTTCTTGTTAATGTTAATATTATCAATAAAGCAAATGTATGCCGCGCAGAGAATTATGGTACGTATACGCCTAAGTCACCTATAAGTATTAGGCTATTACAGCACGTACAATATATTGTTTTTGTACAGAGGACTGTCTGTCTGTCTACATTTCGCATTTTTCCTCACAGAGGAAAATATGCGTAATCGATAATGAGTAATATCTGTACGGGTATTAGCGATGTTTACGTGCTTGTAACCCATTTGCGTAAATATCACAATCACCAGCTGTGCATTTTTATGGTTTATGTTTCCGAAAATTTCTTATTGTGCGGCGAAAACATTCCATTTATGCAAGATTGGGTCATTTTGGCAGCTCTATAACGCTGTCTCTCTGCCGGTAAACAGCGTATTAGAAATCACAATGGCCAATTGTCGTTTTGACAGGCTGATTATTGCTTTCACCATTGAGCGCTTTGCGGCAATTAAATTTCCGTTATGGCATTTGCGCCACTGTCACAGCCGGCGCGGGACACTCATCCTGACCGCCATCCTGACGCTGGCGGCATTGTTCGCCGTCAAATCCCTGGTGCGTCACTATTGGTACTACCACCACTTCCTTCGCTACCAGCCGCCACCGGCACAAGTGCCACCCTATCCCCCGCTCTTAGCCACGTGGTACAATGGATACCAAATTGCAAGGGTAAAGTAAAAATTAACGCTGTTTATTTCATCGCCCACCAAATCATAAAATAAAAATTAAACCCATGCGATTTCTAGCCGGTAGTACTGAAACAGTTCACAGAAACTTTAGAAGGCATATATAAAAATATCAAATACTAGCTATCAACAGTAACTTTGCCAGATTAAAACCTTTTGTTCCACTGCTGTTGGGCTTTCGTATGGCTTAATATGATTCGTATGGTGGTGTGGTCTTCGGAAGATTTTGGATAAATTTTAACGAGGAACCATTGTAAAACTCTCAGCTAGGAATATAATGCATGCTTTTATTTTGAAGAATCTCAACCAAATGACGGCCTTCCTAGTGATTCTCGTCCTCAATGGTTGGCTGGTGATCTCCGTGGCTCGCCAGCAGCGCTTCCGCCGCGAGAGTCTGCACGCCGCGGAGAGTAACCGCTCGCACATTGACTGGGGCGCACTGGGCATGTTGACAGCCTGCGTCTCACTGTATCTCATCACGCAGACTCCAGCCTTTGTTAACCGCATTCTAGAGCTATTGCACCATCACTGCATCCGGGAGCGGTCCTATGTCACGCGGACGATTCTGGCGTATTTGCAGAATTTTCTCTTGAATGTCAATTATTCCTCTAACTTCATCGTGTATTGCGGTACCAATCCCAAATTCCGCTTGGCGGTGCGGCGTTTGTTTGTGACCCCCGGCGTGGCTATTCTTCGGAAGGCGTCGCAGGATGTGACAAAGGTCACGGGAAGTACCCGCTTTTCCCGCGCTAATTCCGATATACGCAGTTTGCTGATGTTGCTGTATAAAGAGAAGCACGTGGATATGGCCGGCAGTTCGTGAAATAAACATGTACATTCTTGACCAATAAGATTTATGATGCTTTTCTGGGAGTTTCTGACATTTCTGTTTATAACAGTGATGTACTAGTACTGGATCAATTTATTGATAATTTCATTACAGTTGTTATCAATCAGTTAAATTAACAATTTATTACAACAATTAAATGATCGAGCAAAGTTCCGTACAAGTATGATCTGTATATAATGACCCCAGACATCAGTTTCTCAAACGTTAGAGTAATTTTAAGTGCTGTACGCTGGGAGGCCGAGGTCCACAGCAGCATGTCGCTGATCTGCTTAACGATATAACGTTTTGATGCCAGTAATCTGTATAGGCTCATCGAAGGAAGTTGAATTTTTATCACTTTGCGATTTATGAAATCTGTCGACATTCTCCGTATTATTTTAATTACACTTTACACATTACGAGAGTACCTACAATCGCAACCACACCACGAAAGAATTCTTGTAACTGTCGATCAGCATTCGAAACCACTTGAATCCGGTTGAATACCAGCACACCTCGCAGCAGTTCTCCTGTGGGGAAAGAATTGCCATTCCATAAATTAATATACCAGCCACAGATTATGTCCATTACTTGTGATTGTGACAATTTAGAAACTTAAAGTCTTTTTTCTGATACCTGAAACCGTATTTTTCGCGTTGGTATTCGGGTGATACTGAGTAGCTCACTCATTTGTTGTGTCAAGATAAGAAAGTCATAGGTGTGGACGGTGACCTTTGCTGCTGTTCTACTGTCCCCGGTAAGGATTAAACAGTACTGTATTTACAAAAGACATCACACAATACGTTCGAATGTCATTGCAGTAGCCGGCAGTATCAGAGCTTCCTTCGGATTTCATCAAAGCCAGTCAATCGATATGGTCAATCATTTCACCAGATCTAGAATGCGTCTTCCTGTGCCTACACCTAGTCCACCTGTACCTTACAATTAACGATGCTACAAACCCGGCACGGTACCGCCGCAAAACTGCTTCTCGAGTGGCCGGCAATGAGCACGCCATAAGAAGTCCGGTCTGCCGCCCGTCAGGCATCACCACGCTATAGTGACCCATACTGACACCATAATCCATATTATTATAGTCCAGTTTTCCATTCCGGCAGGGAAACAACCGTCCTTAATTAAATGCTACAGTACATTGTAAGATTTGCACCATAATTGTTATATCAATCTGCGATACTATTGTTTCAACAATATAATTTTTCCATTAAAAATAACTAAATAGCTTCATGCTTTAGATTTATTTTTGATTTTCGCAACATTTTGGTGTCATGCTGAATACAACATGTATCTTTAAAAAATTGTATTAGTAATGTTGCAGGATTTTAATATCGCGGCGCGACGTACAGTTGGTCGATTAATTTGCAACTGAATTCTACAGCGATAAAGTTGTTTAGGCAAACCTAAACATAATAATGATAGAGTTACTGGGTCTATTCTTAAAAAATTGTTTATCATTATGTAAACGTTTTTGCTGTACATGTCGCGCGCTTCGCGTTAACCATAAAGCAATGCAATGCATGGCTGTTACCGTTATCGTGACCGTGAACGTTTACGGCGTTAGTGGCGGCAGTCGTAAAGGAAGCTACAGTCCTGGTGTCCTTTCGCTGTGAGCAGGTTTTCCGCAATAAAAGACATTTGCTTTGATTAGCCAAGTACACAAACCGTTAAAATCCAAGTAAGACCACGTACATCGAGCAGACGGTTGTTCTGTTCCCGACGAAGTCAGTCTTTTCAGACACAAGCACACGGCCGGACATATGTAAACGTAATAGCGCGCATTGTTTCTTTTTGGTAATTTTTAGCAATCTGAGACAATTTCCCCACGATTTTATCTGGTACAGAAATGTTAAAATTCATTATGTAAACGTTGCAAATATAACCTGTTAACAGTTAACTTAATCTTGGACTGAAAGCTGTTTTCGCAAAAACGGCCACGGTGTAATGTAATTCAGCAATAGCCTATGCGAAGATACGGGCGCTGATTTCTTTAATTTCTCCTTAACCGAAGAAATGAGTACGTTGTCGGTATCTGGATTTATCGTTTTTCTGACACTCATGTCGGCGCTGCACGCAGGATATGCAGACCCCTTTTCAGTGTATACACTGCGCAAGTAAGGTCACCATGTTTTTTCGCCAGCGTTGTATCTATTTCCATAAATAGCGGCGTCTCATTGCTACATGTATGTCTGTTTAATACAAAAGCAGAATTCACCGTCGTATCTGAATGAAAAGTAAATGATTTTACTTAATATAAACAGCTTAACCCGACCACATCCCTATATCGGGAACGGTCACCTCGCCACCGGCATTTTCCATCCCTTCGTTTACATCCAGGGTCTATACACAACGGGAAATGACAATGACACTCGCCGCGTCGCCGTTCCCTCCTCAATCAACATCCGCTTTGATCGCAGTGACGCCGCGGACCGCATATACCGTCTACATATGGATAAAGGTCTTCCTGATTTTACTACTTAATCAGCATCGAGTTATGTTCTCGCACCCCATTATTCATGGCTTGTTGCACACGATTACGGCACTATCGAGTAAAACAGTTTGTAAAAAATACGTTAGCTAAACGTTAGTTAAAGGCCAAAATTCGAACAGTGTTCGAATTTTGGCCTTTAACTAACGTTTAGCTAACGTATTTTTTACAAACTGTTTTACTCGGGTATGTACTTCTACTGTCTACACAGAACATTGTCTTGTATAGTACCGATGCGCATGGTTTTTGCCGCAAAACACCAGTACCAATGCGCAATAATGTTAATTTCGATTATGATGCAGAGAGCATAGTTTTTCGACTTACGAGTAGTTCTCGTCCGCCGTAACTACCAAATTAACTCTTTAATCTTATTTTCACGGTGGACGATTATCCTGGTGAATTTAACGCCCTGTAATAACTAATTAGTATAGTGGGTGTATTTCTAGTAGAAACTGGGAACGGTTGATTTGCAGGATACTTTGAAGTGGTCATCCGAACGCCGACGCATGTTCTGACTCAGCGAATGTACTGTCATCTGTGGTTACCGGAGATTCTGATCATGGAGGTAGAAGTGATGCGGCACGCTAACAGCACCAACGCCCGGCTGGAGGTGCCCTACACGCTGGAGAATGTCCTTGAGTCACCGGATGTAAAGTTTGACGATGTGACCAGCATGCAGGAGCTAAATCAGCACATACAGTCAGTGTCACTCGCATTGGCACGGCATATTAGAATAAATATTGAATCTGTATTTTTTCTATTACGACTACAATTATAAATTTGGCTGTTAAAGATCGTATCGTTCCCGGAACTCAATAATTGTTTGAGTTCTTTTGAGGGTATAAAACTGATTTTTATTGCATTTCCGTATGCCATGTGGACGTTTTGTTATTTACGGGTAGGGTTCAGTGTCAAACCGGCCGGCGAGGCATTGTCAACATCTGCGTGGTCGGTGATATCCTGGACAGCTCCTTCATTCCCGATCGTGGTACGACGATGTCCCGCAATATCTACATTACCAGCTTCGACACGGATAAGGAAGCCGCATTAGAAGTAAGAGGTCACCAACAGTTAGCTGTGTACTTGATACTGCTATGGCTCTGCACAATAAAGCGTGACCTGAGCTACTTATTGAACGTCGCTAGCGCTGGAATAGTTGTGCATACTGGAATTAATTATAGTGGAATCGTTATGTGTACTGGCCGAAGCCTAATAAAGTAGTACTGTACTGGAATGAGTTTATTTAAGTACAAAGGACGCTCCAAAAGTAACTTTCCCTATTTTGCCTCCCTGCCATTTGAAGTAATAGACATGTGATATATTTTTCGTTGTATAAGCAATTATGTAAACTAATTAGAGAAATAAGAATCAAAAGATTTAATGAAGAACTGGGAAAACGAAAAACAAATTAGCAATACTACTTATACATTCATTTCCACGAGTTTTTTTGAAGCTCGTTCTTTTTATTACCACTTCCGTCCCTGTTGTAATTTCGGCAGCAAATTTAAAGTACCAGCTACAAATACTGTTCTTAATATTACTGCAATAACAGAAGGCTTTGAAAAATATACGGAGGAGAGCAAACATTTTTTTTCTCCATGACGCCGGAATCCCCCTTTTCAGCCTTCTTGCTGATATGAATCCGAAAGTTCTTAACATCAATAAAAAGGAAATTTCATGCGCAGTCATGAGGGTCTTGGACACAAATAACTTCCAGCTGTACCGACAGCAATATTGTTTTACAAGAAATTTTCGATTTTTTACCGTCTGGCACCTTGAGCAGCTCTGTGGTTTTTCCACCTAGTCATCGAGAGTTTCTACTTTTCTGGAAAAGCATTGCAAAGAAGTTATTTTGTTTCGTTCTTGGAATTAGGACAGAAAAGAATTCCTAATCTGATGATATTTGGTGCTTTCCGAAAATTGAGCAGGAAGACTGAGAAAAATAACAAAAACTGTCAGGGTAAAACCCGTGGCAAAGTGCCGATAACCTCGGACGGCTTTCTCGGCAGTTCTCCATTTGATTGTAGTTAGGTAGAGCTATATTTTATTTTGGTTCGTGAGTGAAGGACGTTTCTAAAAATATGGTTCATAAGAACTAAAAGCATTCAAGCCGGGAGATACAAAATAGGGAAACTTACTTTTGGAGCGTCCTTTGTATCATCAATCACCGCTTAAGTATCATCTAATTAACTGACAGGCCTGCGCGAAAAGTGACTTTTAAAGTTAAACTGCAGGCGCGCATATCTAGTTCAAGTAACTAATTTGGCAATGCTATAAGCCGGAAAATTATGTTAACAGAAATATGTACAAGCAAGGAAGGAGGCCAGTACCGGCATCCTGTGGAGTCGGCACGTGGACGCCTGGAACTGGCGGTGGAACCGCGGACAGATCACCTTCCAACCGCAAATGGCCGCTAATCAGACGCCCAACGCGTCCGCTGTCCATTTGGCGCAAGCGGTGCACGCCTCCATGTACTATCTCCTAAGCTCCATTCCCGAGCATCCCCAGTACGCCGAGAATTTCCCTGGATTGAGCAAAGGTCCGCCTAACATCTACTAGTATTTAGTAGCTATAGGAATCTCATAATAAAGATAGGAAACTGGCGAATTTGAATATTTGTCAGCTGACAACTGTGCACTGTTTTTTCAAAAAGAGTTTTGATGCGGTTGAATCAAATGGTTAGCTAGGAAAATTTAACTTCAGCTTATATTACAGCGACTCTTGCTAATGAGGATTCTGGTGTGTACATTAAGTCGCCGTCGCCGTAACCAGTATTTAATACTCGTACTTACGCCATAATACAGTATCTGTATAGATATATGGTGCGGCTGTTCCAAGTTTGACTTTTAACTGTACTGATTATTATGGCACTTTTATTCCGTGGCATTAATCTTCAACTACCAGTGGCGTTTCTATAAAATTCTAATAATACACATACTTTTTCGGGTCATTGAACACTCCCGAGTTAATTATAACTGACTGGTGAGAGTTGTTTAGAATCTGCAAACACCACCGCCACAATTGTGAGGCAGTTATCGCTACCGCGGTAATAAAACTGAAAAGATTGCTTTGGTAAAAAAATTATTAATAAGAAGAACAGATAATTTCACTAAATGTGGAAAACATAAAAGAAACATTTGTATTACGTATTCTTTCAAAATCTCTTTATCAGAACATCTGCCTGAATAATAATTAAAGGGTCAACACATAAATATGATCAAGGCTTGTTTTCAAGATAATTGAAAGTACCGTATTTCACCAGAAGAAAATAAAGACGGAAATGCATTGCATTACAGACGGCTTATCTAGTAACGACGACCTGGGGCGTATCCGCTGGGAACAGGAGCTATACATGTTCTTGCCGCTGCTGCTCTTCCATCAGGACACTGCCGAGCAAATTCTCAACAGCCGCCTTAACAATCTGGCTGCTGCCCTGGCCAACGCCCGGCCCCTGTACCGGGGCGCCCGTTACCCGTATGAGACTGCCTCCTCCGGACGGGAACTGGCTGCTAACTTTTCGCGAACTCTGTTTACCAGCGGCGCTGTGGCGCTAAACATGCAGCAGTATTTATACACAATGGGATCCGCAGCAAATATCGGCGGGGAGAATGCTGTTAGTGCCGCGCGGGCCATTGCAGACTTATACGCCGGTGCGACGCAGGCCAGTGGAGCTGTTGCAGGTGGCTGTGATTATTTAAGAGCACAAATTTTCACCACCACTTTTCTCTTATTAGTATATCGACAAACATTAAATTCTGGTCTCTTTGATTTCGTTTTTTCTAGCTACCAACTGCAAAAATCTAAAAAATATGTTTAAGTACGCACTTTAAGTACGCACTGTTGTATAGTTTCCCGGCCAGCATATCATCAAATTATGAAAAAAATATGGAAGCTGCAAATGGTGGGAAAAACTGACGCATAAATAACGTAAATAGAATAAGCGTATCTTAACCAGCAACTATACATTTCATCATTTGTTACTATAATTTTCAGATTATCATTTGCAGGTATCCAGAACATTAAAGGCACGGTGACCTTTAACGATGCGCTGACCAATGCACTGGCCATCGTTGGTCTAACCCTGCCCCAGAAACTGGGACCCGGTGTTAACGGAACCTACCAGAACGTTGCCGAACGCATTGCGGCGGATAATTTCCCCATGTTTCGCAACTGTCATGCAGCCAATGGGAATGCTAGCAATCCCGGAGCCCTAGCACCGACAGGTATTTCTCGTTCAAAGTACACCTAATAATGCTATAATGTTTCCCTGAATTCGAATTTCGAAATCAATCGGCATGGTGAAGCGGTGACGGAACTGAAGTAACTTACCGGTTCCATCAAGTTATCAATTCCACCCAGAATTCTAATCAGGAATTCGACTTAATACGCTTCACCATCAGCAAACCATGTGCCCCAAGAATCTAATTAGATTCAGCTATAAACATTCAGCAAAGCAGCTATTTTAGCCGTCCCTACCTCATTCGTGGTGTGGACATTTATCGTTAATTTTAAAATCCGTATACCGGTATGTGTAACATCTTCATCGGTGTATGAGGTAACAGAGTGTGCCAAAAGAAACACTTCTGTTGCTACAATCTTATAAAGAAATAAAGGAACTTTATATACTTTGAAGCATTGTGATACATCATAGTAGTTATTAAGTTTACTGGATGCAGCTAAACACATACAGAACCTCTGTATCTCCTTCATTTCAATAATCCTCCTTGATTTAAGCTGTGCCCAACCGAAAGAAAGACTTTTACTGCAAGTGATATCTTCTCTAAAAGTTTGCACTGGCCGTAATAAATGACTTTCCCAGCTCATTCGCCTTATGAGAAAGCAGAATCGCTCTTTTGTATCGTCGACTGCTTCAATATGGCGGCGAGTGCCCACTTATCCCAGTTTAGCCGTCATCCTGGCCGAGATTAAATCCATTACCAGTTTGTCAGCGCTGCAATCCCATTTCCCAGCGGCGGGGACATCATTTCGACCCGGCATCGTAATTGCCGTGTTTTTTCCCGTTGCCGCCTGATATGATGGTCGATGGGCACCATTGATTGCTTTGCCGGCTCTGAAAGAGAGAACAGCGCGTGCATAGATCTACACAGCAGTTTGGCTTTTGTGGTGGCGGATCATATAATTTGCAGAATTATCCAATTGACTCCCGGAAGTGGCGCGCGTATGCGCGCATATGGCAGATTGCACCGGCTCATACATCACAGTAGCTGTCACAGTGCTGTGTATATGCACAACATATACAACTTATAGATTATCCATACGGTGTGCGTATTTGTGGAATGTTAAGAAAACCCGGCAGTTAGCACAGGCTCGACTACTGACCCAGATTTAAGGCTGATATTTTACTTTGGTGCTTTTTCGGCTAACGTTGTTGGTCGGCTGCCGTGCAGCGGATGTGTACAAACGTTCGCTAAAAGTGCCGTGTGTGCTGTTTGATCAGATTACTCCTACGAGCCGGATGCGTTGCTGGTGTACTGGCCGGTGGGGAATCAGCGCTTTTTCAATTCAGGACTGCTCCTCAACGATCTCACCTGCCACAAGGTATGCTGTCACTGTCCATGTAAACTGTACTTGTTGTTTTCGTAATAACAAACATTTTTATGCTGTAGATTAAATCCAAAACATTTGTTTCCGTTCTTGCCTCGATAAATGGAAATATTGTCAGGTTATCAAAAAAGTCTTAAAATTTATAAAACTATTTGAGGCAAATATCCTGATTTTAGCAAAGCAGCAGACGAAAAAAACATTAATTTTTCCGACATTTTTCATGGCTATGCTGATTGCTGAAGCAGCGTTATTATTATTTCCATTCCTTGGTGGTTAGTGTAAAAACATCAACGACTCTTCTGCAGATTTGCTCGCAAAACTTCGTTATGATTCTGTTGAGAATACATACTGCAGGAAGCGTTTTGTTTGTATATCTATAGATGTTGTTGCATTTGTTAAAATTAATATTATCGTAATTCATAGAATTAATATGTTTAAGAGTAATATTAAAAAATTTATAACAATAGCCAAATACAGAGTGTATAAAACATTAGCTTTCAAATCACTTACTTAAGCAGTTTGTTTACTTATGATTTTTTCATTGATAATTTTTACGCGACTGGTGCCGGATTGTTTAGGAAGCGACTATTAGTCGAACAACTTATAATCTGCTGCGATTGACACTCTACCAAATCGCGGCAAAGTCGGCTAATACCAGCGGACAGATCAATCCTGATGTGTACGCGGCGGAGGAAATTAAATTCCAACAACTTCTTAATTGGACCAGTCGGCATTTTGGGGTAAGATTTGGGGATGGTTACTACCTGCTGCACTAGGAAGATACATAAATAGCGAGAAAATCACACAGTCGAAGCACAATATGTATCTTGTTCTGTTTCATAGCCTTTTATTTCATTGAGGCAGTTTTATCTCGAAAATTGAGAAATAAAAAATGTTTATGTAGCAACATGTTTAAATTATTTTAAGTAATATTTAACTGGGCCAACTTATGTTCCTTGTGTATTCATTGTTTTTTGGGATGCATCGTTGCAGTCGGCTCAGTTTCTTTACTACAGCTACTGCTTCGTTTGATTTCGGATGTTACGAGCACATAACACAGTACGTGTGAGAATCTCCGTAAATATTACGGTATGCGCCAGAGCAGCCGCGCACGGACGGCAGTTCGTGAAAACTGCGAGTGGTCGGAAGTCGCTATTTCTGCCGCTTAGCACATGTTCGAAACAGCGACTTTAAATACTGCTCATTCAGCTAATGATCTGTTAGCGAAATCAAGACCATAACCAAAATGTGCAGAAAAATGTGCTCTACAAGGAAATGTTAGCTGTCACATGGAAATCTGTTGCTGCAGTGACTTATTGCCGCCAGCGCTTTGCACCATGAAATTCGGTACTATAAATTATTAAAAAATTATAAATTATTTCTGTTATAAAGTTATGTTATGTTATAAATTATTTATTATGTTATTATTATGTTATGTTATGTTATGTTATTATGTTATAAGTTTTGTTATGTTATAAACTATTTCTGTTATATAATTATATATTATTTCTGTTATAAATTATTTATAATTATAAATTATAAATTATTTCTGTTATAAATAATTTATAATTATAAATTATTTCTGTTTCTGTTATAAATTATAAATTATTTCTTTCTGTTATTTCAGTACTATAAATTATTTCTGTTATTACTGCGCACCTGTAGTTTGCCCTGTTAGCGCTATGCTGAATTCGCTGTTGGTTAGACCACTCATACAGCCAATGAGCGTGTTTGCACCGGCTCCGCCCCTCTACCGCATACCAGAAATTGCAAAGTACAGTAGTACGTACATTTGCCGATTAATTGCACGGTACATTTGCACGCAATATTCACATTGAACCTCCTAGGTCGTCGGCAAGTATGCCTACAACCTGTGCAGCAAGCGGAAATATTTAAGTAACCGTACCGTGCACTTTCTCCATTGACTTTTACCAGATCATCCCGGAATCGATTGATTCCCGCTTAATCAGCGACCCGACATCCCCCGGGGCCAATCTCAGTCTCCCGGGCGCCGGTGCTCTCCTCCAACTGGTTCTTTTTGGTTACGCCGGTATCTCCTTGCACCCCGACCGGTTGACCTTAAACCCCCGACACCCCCCGGGCGTGGAGTCCTGGACACTGCGCGGTGTCGACTACCGGGGCTTCACACTGACCGTCAGCTTTCTGCCAACGTCCATCCATATCCGGGCCCAAAAGAACCGGAAGGAGCCGGTGCGGCTGCAGGTGCGCGTGGATGGATGGCTGCGCGAGGTACCGGAAGAGGGCGTGACGATACGGTGGGGCGAAGTGCAGGTGACGACGATTATGGAGAAGGAGGCTGAGGAGCACTGGGACCGGGATCCCTTTCTCATGCAAACCAATAGGTATTTATTTCTGGACTAAATCCGTACTGACTCTCGCAAAAGGGAGTTAAAAGGGTGCAATTATGCAAGCGTAACCATGCAGTGTCATTAAAGTAACGGTTCAAGTATAATGCAGAATCACAGCACAAAATATTTTTGTTTGAAACAGTTTCAGCAGCTATACACAAGACGCTGGAAATAGTTTACGATTAATTACACTCGTACTTCGTAGTTCTTGCGTTGACTACAGATATTTAATATTAGTTTATTATAACAATGCTTTGTTTGTTAAAGATTCTTTCTCCGTTCCGTTATCGGTACAGTATCAGTAATACCGATATACCGATATCAAATATATATTTAAAAAACTTAATAATAAGTCAATAATACCGTATTACTGGCTTATTATCAAATATCAAGTTTTGTAAATATATATTTGATGCACAATATAAGGTTAATAAAGCTGACGATGTTAGAGTTCTGCCTGTTTGGTATTGCATAACAGATGCTGTACAGATTCTACGAGTAGTGCTACTGGATGTCGGCATTCCCATAATTGTTATTGAATATTGTAGCTTGCCGACATCGCGTTTTCTGCCGGAAATCGGCAACGGACATATTGCCAGCGTTGTTCACGCTCCATGGCTGCACATGAATGGCCTCTATAATGGTGCCGGGTCGCGCAGCAGCCGAGCGCGGATTCCCTCGCTGATTGCTTTCAACATCAGCCTGCAGGACGCCACGCTCGCTAACCAGTCATTTACTCTCAACCTACGCGAAGGTCACGCAATATTCTTTTCGTTCCAAGAATTCACAAAACCGCTTAGGTCGCTCGATTTGAATTAAAGAGAACAATTTCGATTTACAATTTAGAGAAAAAAATCTAATATATTGTTAACCTGTACAACCTTTTTTGGACTAAATTAATGTTTTAGACAGCCAATAAATAATTAATTTTAACTGTGACCATCACATGCAATAAACTGCCAGTACTGCACTCACTAATGTTAAAATAAATTACTAAAATAATATTATTGTCCGCCTGCAGGCATCTACACGGAGCGGAAGCAATACGTCAATCCGGATGTGCTCATTGAGCGGGAAATGTTCGCCCATCGCCTTTATCCCAGTTTGCTCATCGCGCGCATTAAGTGCAACCGGACAGCACCGGCTTCCGGTGCTGTGCAGCCGCCGGCATCCAGCGATCTGCCGGTTCTGTTGCTGGACGGACTGCTCGATGAGAGCCAACTGGAGAGCGACGATATCGTGTTCAAAGCCACGATCCGGTGCGTTTCCGACACAACGTTTGTCATATTCTGGCTAATGAAATATAGTTTTCGTCCATACACGGTCTCTTTCGCAATCGGTATAAACTAAAAACAACGCCTGAACAGCTTTCGTTTCTTGTATACGAAAACCGCTGATATGCATAAAGTCGTTCAACGAGTTGACATTTGGTTTAATTCACCATGGCAGGCCAAAAGGGCAGCGCATCAAAGTCGCGCGGGGCGAAACTTTAATTCCGGAAACTACGAATTCCACCTTTTCGCCGGTTATTATGGCCTGGAACTCCAGTGTGGAACTGCGCGACTACGTGACTATTCCCGCTAACGGCCTGGAAATCATCCAGTACGTCTCCATCAGTTCAGATGAAGACGCCGCCGTCAGCGTATGTCTAATGACCTTTCCGTGACTACCGCCTCGTTCGCTGTTTTCTTGAAATTACGTGTTGCTGATTTGAACAGAATTTGTCGCAAGTCCTCAAATACAACTACAACACCGTTCGTGGCATGCACATTGAAAAGTGGGGCGAGTATTGGGAGAACGGGAGGATTACGGTGGAAGCGCAGGAGAATTTCCCTTTGGCACAGGCAGTTAATGCGGCCTTTTACTATCTGCTCAGCTCGCTGCCAAATTATGAGGAAGGCAACGGAAGTTTTGTCGGACTGAGTCCAGGTACAAATTAAACTACCTTTAATTATTGTTAAGTTTAAAAAAAACGGTGTTGCATTTAAATTAGGTGGATTGGCACGTGGTGCGCCCGGAGCCGAGATCGATCAGGATTACTTGGGGCATATTTTCTGGGACACAGAAATATGGATGGTTAGTTGTGCAAGAAATTGCAGAGTACGTGTATTTCATGGTGTGGTAATGGTTTATTTTGTAGTTTCCGCCAATATTGCTCTTCCATCCAGAACAGGCCCACTTGCTCTTGCACGCTCGCACACGAGTGTTAGAGGCCGCCAGAGCAAACGCGGCCAGCACTGGATATCAGGGTGCACGATTCCCCTGGGAATCTGCCTTAACCGGTACTGATTTCATTACTTCACTGTAATATTAAATTATAATAAAATCGAAAATCATAAGGAAGCCAGCTAATGAAACGCTTAAAATTAGACGCCAAGAAGAGGCATACTAAACAATGTAGCGGATGACCTTTATTAGGCAGCGAAGTAACGCCCTGGCCGCCCGCTGCGCAGTACCAACTGCACGTAACCGCCGACGTGGCCTTGGCTGTGCGACAGTATTTGTATGCCATCGCCGACAAAGCTAAGGCCATCCACGAGTTGCGACTTGACGTGCTCGTGGAGGACATCGCCGCGTTCTGGCAGAGTCGGGTGACCTGTGATAGCCGTGTGATAAACAATGACGATGTTGACCACATCTGCCACATTAACGGTAAATGGTAGTCACGTGCATCATGTGCCGACGTACTTTCGAGCACGGAAAGCTCAACTAAAGGATTTATGTCGCAGAGGTCATGGGGCCGGATGAGTATCATTACCCCGTTAACGATTCCGCCTTCACAAATTACGCCGCCAAACTGGCCTTGACGTAAGTTTATTAAAACACATACCTAGGTGCATTTTTCTGCGGATACTTTGTATATTTCATAGTTCTTTTGCTGCTTTCTCTGCTACGTACTAAATTATCAACTTTTGTCTATTATTTAGGGGCTCTAAAGTAAAAGCGTATAGCAAGCAGAACGTGTGTGGTCAACTGTCTTTCTGATCTTTGCAATTTACCCTAATACAAAGTATATACCACATATTTCCGTTCGCACATAGTTAGATGTTTCTTAAAGCAGTACTGATTTCCCGAATTTTTTCCCAGGCTTCCAGAGTACGTTTTACCGATAATCGGGAAAAAGCATCCGGATATTGATAAATGGTTTGCCACAGCCGAAGACATCACGATGACGGAATCCCGTTACAAAGGTCAACCGTACCATCCACAATTCAAGGGCTTTGTTCCAAGTACAGTATAATAATTATACAGACCTTTTTCGGCTACGAAGTTTGCTCATAAATTATATCTGTTGAACGCAGATGAGTGGCATCCTGCGAGCAGTAAGAAGAAGCCGGTCGTTAAACAAGCTGATACTATTTTACTGGGATATCCGCTGGACATGGACATGCCAGTAGAGATGCGCGCCAATGACCTGAACATTTACGAAGAGGTGAAAACCGAAATTGTTGCAACAGTGCCTGTTGACAAAAGTGACGTATGCATGGTTGGTAGCTGACCAGCCCAAACGGCCCGGCCATGACCTGGGCTATGTTCGCCATCGGACATCTGGAGCTGAAGAACAAAATGAAGGCGGACAATTTATTCAATCGATATAAGGACAATTACCAACAACCTTTTGGCGTATGTTCTTGATACTCGCATTATTCTTCTCGATAAAAGCATCCCGTATCATACTGGTCATAAATACTTACCGATCTAGAAGTGAAGAACGGTTATTACTTATTTCCCATTTCGTTTTGTTCTATTATTGTAATTTATAGCATATCAACCAGCAGAGACTTTTACTTTGTGACCGGGCTATTACAAATTATTCAAATTTTAGCTGAAAGTGGACGATTTACTCAATTTCAGACAGTCTGCATTGATTGTCGTTATCGATAGATCGGCTAACACGAGACTATTTTACATTATTTGCAGTGCATTCAAATTAATGCAAACTGCATACAGTGTGCAGTCAAACATTTTTGTGCTGTTTATTTCGTTGACAATTGCAACGTGACCTTTTCGATGCGTCTAGGTGTGGTCAGAAGAACCCGGTGGCAGCGGCGCCGTCAACTTCCTAACGGGAATGGGTGGTTTCCTGCAGGTCTGAACCCAGCGCTCACATGTAGCGGTAATTTCGTGACCTAATGTCTTACTGTTGCAGTCTGTTCTCAACGGTTACGGCGGCCTTCGTCTGCGTGAAGACAGTCTACATTTCGACCCGGCCGACCTGCCCGGCAGCAGCCGCTGGAGCATCCACGGTCTTAAATACCTCGGCCACACTCTGGACTTGACCTTTGACTTCCTAGCTGACACCATTAACGTCTCCGTCAGTCGGACGGTGGACATCGATCTGGTGCTGGAGACGGAGAGCGGGAAGATCTTTTTGCTAAAAGATGACACGCGCCTGAGCTACCGGCGCGAAGCCAGTACAATCCGCATGTACCATCCAGAGTTCGATGTCATCCGCGATCCGGTGAGTGGGGAGATCACCGGGCCCAGTAGTCTCAGTCCAGCGCAACTGTTGCCGTCGTTGTCCGTTTTGTTGGCCTTAATTTTTATGATTGTCTATTCCTTCCCAGAATTTTTTTGAGTACCGCCAGCTGAATGTCTCCGTACTTGACTGTCAAGCGTATCGACAGAGCAATATTGCAGTGTGATCTGACAGAACTGTTTTCACCGTAGTTTTTTGCTAGGCACTGGTTTATAGAGTTATCTTCTGTTTCAAGTCTTTTGTGTCTTTTTCTCGGATGTTTTTGTCTCGGACGTTCTACAATGGGCGTCAGAACGCACAGACAAACGAAGGGAAATCCCTTAATATTTCCACATATTTAATATTATTATAACGATAAAATTTAGTTTAACTTGTTAATTACAGTACTCACAAAAAGCCGATGAAGTTGATATTGAATTACAGCATTTCAAGTGCTACGCTTTTTAACAATCAACACTTGTCCTTCCTTTCTTTGGTGGCAAGCATGAGCAGTTCCAGTCACAAAACATTGAAAACAACACATACACAATAACATCCAATATTAATAGTTCCTACAAAATGCAACAGAAATACCCAAGTTAAAACAATTAAAAAGTCGAGAGCGTATTAAGTACAAGATCTGTACTACGCGCGGCGCCCCATAGTTTTGAGATCTCTATAACCATAAAACTTCTGGAAAAACGGACAACGCCATTAGATCCGGGATAGTTCAGAAGTGGCCGGCATGTGTTTTTTTATGAAAATGTCGAGCCGGTATCAAGCCGGCATCAAGACCAGATTGATCCAACCCATCTTAAAGGTCACCTTGAAACTTGGAAATATTTGCCTAGATACAATAGAAAATACCAATTGACATAATTATCACACTAATTAAACCGAAAAATAAGTAAATTATTATACTTATTCAAACACTCGCGTTATTCAAACATTGCTGCCGGTGTTGCCGAGCTCGAAACACGTTTAAAATCAACCGATATAAAATATAAAAATATCAAATATAAAATGAATACGAAAAATCACTGGACGAGTGAGTCACCGAAACACTATCACCGACCACTGAGCGGAATCTCTAGATGAGTAGGTGACCAAGCTACCACCACTGACCAGTAAGAAAAATCGGTAGACAAGTGAGTGACCGAAACACCATTACTGCCCACTGAGCGGAATTTCTAGGTGAGTAAGTCATCGAGCGGGCTTTGCTCTTGCTCACCCAACGGGCTCTGTGCACTGGACAGTAGTTGTAGCAGGGTCACATCGTCACCTAGCGATGTTTCTCCTTACCTAGCGATATTTCTTACTGGACAGGTTGAGCTTGGTCAGTCACTCACCTAGTGATTGAGTGCGTCAAAAAATCGCTAGGGGAGTACGTGACCGAGCTACCACCACTGTCCAGTGCCCAGAACCCGTTAGGTGAAAGAGTACCGAGATACCACTACTGTCCAGTGCACAAACTCCGTTAAGTGATCTAGTGACCGAGCTACCACTACTGTCCAGTGCATAGATCCCGTTAGGAAGATGGGTAACCGAGCTACCAATACTGCCCAGCGCACAGAGCCCGTTAGGTGAACGCGTGACCGAGCTAACACTACTGTCCAGTGCACGAACTCCGTTAAGTGATGTAGTGACCGAGCTACCACTACTGTCTAGTGCATAGATCTCGTTAGGTAGATGGGTGACAGAGCTGTCGATACTGTCCAGTGCACAGATCCCGTTAGGTAGATGGATGACCGAGCTACCAATACTGTCCAGTGCACAGAGCCCGTTAGGTGAACGCGTGACCGAGGTACCACTACTGTCCAGTGCACGAACTCCGTTAAGTGATCTAGTGACCGAGCTACCACAACTGTTCAGTGCATAGATCCCGTTAGGTAGATGGGTGACCGAGCTACCAATACTGTCCAGTGCATAGATCCCGTTAGGTAGATGGATGACCGAGCTACCAATACTGTCCAGTGCACAGAGCCCGTTAGGTGAACGCGTGACCGAGGTACCACTACTGTCCAGTGCACGAACTCCGTTAAGTGATCTAGTGACCGAGCTACCACAACTGTCCAGTGCATAGATCCCGTTAGGTAGATGGGTGACCGAGCTACCAATACTGTCCAGTGCATAGATCCCGTTAGGTGAACGCGTGACCGAGCTACCACTACTGTCCAGTGCACGAACTCCGTTAAGTGATCTAGTGACCGAGCTACCACAACTGTCCAGTGCATAGATCCCGTTAGGTAGATGGGTGACCGAGCTACCAATACTGTCCAGTGCATAGATCCCGTTAGGTAGATGGGTGACCGAGCTACCAATACTGTCCAGTGCATAGATCCCGTTAGGTAGATGGGTGACCAAGCTACCAATACTGTCCAGTGCATAGAGCCTGTTAGGCGAACGCGTGACCTAGCTACCACTACTGTCCAGCGCATAAACTCCGTTAAGTGATCTACTGACCGAGTTACCAGTACTGTCCTTTGCATAAATCCCGTTATATTAGGTAGGTGGGTGACCGAGCTGCCAAAGCTATCCAGTGCACAGAGCCCGTTAGGTGAAAGTATGACCAAACTGTATTACTGAGCAAAATAGAGCAGGGCCTGCTACGTTCTTAATGGGTGACCTATCTAGCACCACTGTCCAGTCTTAGCGTCCTTTTAGTTTGTAATGTGATACTCTCGTGGGTGATTTGATTCGGATGGGTTTTCGCTAAGAAAATTTAACAAAAATGATCTGTAAAGTCAAAGTAATTGCGTTCGACTGCATGAAACCAAAACATCCATTGTTTTACAAAATTTTTGTTATCGGGCTCTTCAGATTTATCCGTTCTAAGTTAACAATCCGTAAACCGGCCAAGGAGTTTAGAACCCAAGAAACGCGGAGGCGAAGCCGAGGCTGTTTCTTGTATATGATATTCCAAATGTAAAATTTAATCCCAACGATTCCCGGCCGTTTTCCAAGCGTTCATATCAGTTTTCGAAGCGGCACCCTGAAAAGCAAGCAATTAATTATTAAACGATTGCCGCACACGCGGTCGCTAGCCACATTAAATTTTCACAATTAAGAACATCGATACCAATTACGTATTGTACACATAAAAAATATATAGAATGTCCTTCACCGGTGAAACACATAAAATAATATATGTCCCTGGGCCCCAAATCACATAATTCAGAGACATACGATTAATATCCACAAAATAGGCTGATTAAAAATTCAAGGATTTATCAAAACATTTCTTATTACTGTATATCTATAGTTATACAAGTATGGTTGATGGCACAACACATACACAAGAAAGTACGTACGTACTACGTACCATGAGGAAAACTAGCGCTTTTCCACCGGTTCACCCCTTATCACGTGTCCGTCGAGATCGAGAACCGCTCCGGCTTTGTGTTGTTTCAGCAGATGCTGGGCTTCCCGCAGCACCCGATCTGTCTCATCCAGTAGATGCACAATCTCCACCATGCTGACGCTGACTTCCTTCACGATCGCGCCATGCTTTTGCAGTTTTTTGCTTTCCCCTTCACGTCGCAATTCTGATCAAAGACACCATAAGAAAGTAAAAGAAACAGTTGTGCAGAAAAAAATTCCACTACGAATTATCGATCCAAATTGAAATGCAACCCAAAAAAACCAAAAATAACGAAAACAGACAACCAAAATCTGAAATCGACGGGAAATAAACTCTCCGCCATATGGAAAAGGGAAAACTATAAGAAAACAATCGAACGGTTCAATTTTCTGTGTTTTCCGCGAGAAAAAAATTTAATTATAAATCAAATTATTAATCAACTGAATTTAACTCCGAGTTGTTGTGATAGTTTAACCAGCCAGGTTCCAAAAAATAAGATTATAATATCATTTCCAATTAAACTGACAATAAGACATTAAATGAAAAAAATTTTCAAGGACACTGCAACAACTTTGGAGAAACTCTGGGTAAGCGATCAGCAATATATCTCGACCCACGACTCTCTCTTATCTCCACTGACCGTTACGAATCTTTTGTTCCTGGAGTTCGACGCGGGCCGCTCCGAGATTCTTAGATGTGCGACTAATGTGGCGCTGTTTCCTCTCGGCCGTTGTGGCACGGTAGGCGTCCAGATCGGTCTGATTATCGTTCCACACCGGCTGGGGTTTGGGGCGACGGGCAGGCTGTTTGAAGACGCGGGAGGATGCGGGTTGGCTGCGACTGCGCTCACGTGCTGCTGCAGCGGTCCTGGTCTGGCGTGTGCACGAGGGAACACGCTGACGTAACATATTCAACAAATCCTGACCCGTCAATCCCACGAAAATGAGAAATAGTTCGTGAATAAGAAACAAAGCGCCTAGACAAATCAAAAGTAATTAATATTAACAATCACGCAGAGACTTAACAATAAGTTCTGAAATTTCACTACAGTACAGAGTATTATTCACTTTTCAAAACTCGCTTTCAAAATAATTTTTCCAAAATCGGTTTGGATTTTCGTGAAGCAAGAGCTTGCCAGTAGCCGAAGGCTAACCGCCGCAGTGGGCGGTTAAAACAGCGACACCGGTTAACCAAGGAATTAGGCGCTAGAACCACGGAGTCATGGCCCGTTACGCTCGGCGCTACGGCCATGATTCTCATGCAGAAGCTGAAAAGCTGCGCAATTTTCAAACCCGTCTAAACTTGTCCCAAACTTCGCAGTGTAAACTCGTTTTCGAAATCCGTTCAGCGTTTGTACATTTTTGTGCCCGCCTTGAGTATTCCTACACTGTATTTATCCGTCACATCATAGTGTTGATATTCATTCTTGATTCCTCTGCTATATCTGCCCAAGAATGAGTGACGAGGGGCGAGTTTTCGCCGAGGCCCTGGAGAAAGCCAAGAAGGTTCGCCAGACGTCCTTCACCGAGTTCCCCGCTGTGCTTTCCCCAAAAACTAACCTCCATTGCGTTATCTCTAGATCGCCCAGCAATTAGCCGGAGTGAAGCGCAGCGCAGAGGATGACGGCGGAGCGGCAGGAACTCCGGTGAAACGTTTCGGCCTGGGTGAGTTCAGCGATAGTCCGTCTTCGTACTGATGTTTTTGGTGTAGCCTGTTCCCTAGGTTAGCAGGGGCGGTGACGCAATAGAAAACAACCCGGGGAAGAGGTTTGAGGCGCGCCCGCACGCGCGGCCCGCCATGGTGTCGTAAAATTGTTTGGTGTTTGCATTGTGTGTTTTCAGGCGCTCCCGGAGCTGCGGGGATGAATGGGTATACTACCTGCTCTCACATGTGTTGTCAATTGCTCACTTGATACGATACACACATTCACACATGACCGTTGTTATTATGACCGTTATTCACCCGTTGACACATTGATTGACTACTACTTGGACGTGCTTTCACTGAGGCTGTATTCGCGTGTGCTGCATGTTGGTTGTGGACTGTGTCGGACTGACGCGGGGCCTTGTTGCTTGCAGGAACGCCGTCGGGTTCCCCACTCTGGCTGTACCAATTCAGGAGGAGTGGACCGTGCCCAACCGGATGGTGGGGCTAAGTAAGTGACCTGGAAACTGTTACTCTTCATAGTTGCTTACTTTGTCACTTTGTTGACGTGATGACGTATGTAGAGTGCTTTTTCCCCATATTTCTGACAGTTTTTCATTGATTTATTGTTTTTATTTGTTTGCTGTTTGGATTTCTCTGTCTTTTTCGTCGTTCGCTACAATTTTTTTCCGCTGTATTTGTATGTTTCTCGCTTAATACGTAACTTTGAACGAATTCTTAAAGTTTCTTACACTGGTAAGTATGTGGTTGTGTGTTTGCAGTTATAGGGAAAGGGGGAGAAAACATCAGTCGGATCCAGGACAGCACCGGAGCCAAATTGCAGCTGGGGCAGGAACCACAGGGCGACAAGCGCTCCTGCATCATTTATGGGACGCCGAGCGCCATCGCGTAAGTGCGAATTGGAGTACAGTAAATTATACCGCTCCAGTGGCGTGTCGAATTACAACTCTTAAATGGCCTGCAGTAGCATATTCTGACATCGACGTTCAGCGGGTTTTTTTGGACCACTGTTTCTTTGATCATAGTTGCTTGAATGATTGATTTATTTGCATGTGTTAAATTGATGAGATTTTTCTCGGATAGGAAATGTAAAGAAATGGTGAACGAAATCATTGAAAAGGAAGGCCAGCGGCATGCGCCCGTTCCGACGGGAATGATGGGCGGGGGTGGGCCTGGGGGCGGCATGCAGCACTCGCTGGGCATCGTCACTATTGAGGTGCACGTGCCCAAACACAAAGTGGGCCAGGTGATCGGCAAGGGCGGCGAGACGATCCGCATGCTGCAGGAGAAGGCCCGCGTCCGAATGTTCCTCATCCAGGAGGTGGAGGCCGCTTCCCCCACCAAACCCATTAAGATCACCGGGGATCCGGATCGGGTAGAGGTAAGGTATACTCTGCGGTAAAGTAGTACAAAGTTATTTTTTCATTTTTCATTGCTTTCGTACGGTACGTGTGCTGTTTGTTTTTGTTTCGTGTTATTGTTGATGTCTTACAACAGCGATTCAGTACTGACAACTTGGCAGTTGTTCCTGGTTTTATTATTTTTTTATATTATCTGATTTATCGCAGTACGGTTGTCGATCCCTTTTTTCTGATACTCATACGGTAGTTTGCTTATAGCAATAGACAGGATCCGAAGAAAAATGCACGCGGGGGCTAACTTACCATTTTCCATAACCGTACATTTTAGACGAACACAGCATTGAACATATGTACTTACATTCATATATGTAGTACTCGTACTGTAACAATTAACAAGAAATGACCATGGCTATTGTATTTTCGCATGCACCAGCAACAGTTACCTATGTTTTTTTATCTAATTGTAAGAACATTACTAAGTTGCTACTTCTTGTGAGAATATCTTTATTTCTTTGTGCCCATGTGTTGAACCATTTGGAGGCTTATAAAAGAAACGTATTTACTGCTTTCAGGTTTTGTGTAGTATGCAACGTAAATTGAAGTTGCACAGTGTCCTGCTTTGGCAGATTATTCCCTGAAGTTGCGGAAATCGTTCTTTAGCTTGGTTGTACCGCTTCCGCTTGTGACGTAGAAGTTAACAAATCGTTAAAGATTTTCTTCCTGTAATTTACAGCACCACCATTATTGTAATGCCGATTATGTTCTTATAGTTTGTATTTATCGCTAAATTGATCAGTTGTTTTACGTTTTACCTGCGAAGCTAACACGGTTACTCGTACAGCACATACCTAAGTTGCATTTTTCTATGTCACGTAGCTTGCGCAGGCAGAATGGTACAATTAGATTTACATCTTTAAACGGTATGCTGCGAGTTTTCAGCAATTAACTCTCAGTAAATGTAATAGAAGTACACATTATTGTAGCGATGAAGATAGCGCCATAGCGGTGATCACCAGCTCACAACATAATTACTCCAAAATGCAAGCCACAACTTTTTATGTTACCATTGTTGCGCACTGTGGGCGGCAGGCTGACGTCCGACACCGTCAGCTACAGTTTATCGCTTGTTCGCACGTTTCGACAGAATCATTCATTCGCTGCTGTCCAGTCTGTCCTTACAATTTACTGCCTGATTTTGACGTGAGTTTTATGAATCGTGTTTTGGTTACGTGTAGTACGCCAAGAAACTGGTGGAAGACATGATCAACACACCGGATGTCGGCGGACCCGGCGCTGGCCAGGTGCAGGAGCAGATCCGCGTACCCAAAGCCAGCGTGGGCATTGTTATCGGCAAGGGCGGCGAGACCATTCGGGATATCCAGAATGAGACGGGCGCACGCGTACAGTTCATTGGTAAGGATATATCAGTTTAGTCCGCATATCCTTAATTCTTATTTCCGCTGTAAGCAAAATTCGCTGTATGACTTGGAGAACCGCGATGTACCTACATACTTAGGCTCTCTTAAAGTCTCTTTGTTAGCTGGCTTTTTGCTTTAAACGTAGGCCGTAGTTAGTGCTTTCTTGTTCTCCAAACTAAGAATTTTTCTGACCAGCGGATGGAAATTAACACAAGTAATATGAAAAATGTGGGTTTACTACTGAATAATGCTATAGGTTTGGATAATCCGGCGGAGAACGACAAGACCTGCCTGATCAGCGGGAAGCCCCTGCAAGTGCAGGAGGCCAAGCGTATGGTGGAAGAGCTGCTGCAGAATAGTACGCAGATCATGAAGAACCCTATGCAGCGCAAATTCGATGTAGAGGAGACCTACCGCGTGCCGGCCACAAAAACCGGAGTGATCATTGGCAAAGGTGCGAATCAGTCTGAAGGCAGAAGGACAGCGTTCGAGGCTGAGATATCGCAGACACTCATTTGGGTGGCAATATTGTAGGTGGTGAAACGATTCGGCAGATTTGTGAGCGCTCCGGCGCCAAAGTGGAGCTGGATCGCAATCATCCAGCCACGGCGGAGGATCGGGTGTTCTGGATGCGGGGATCACGCATGTGCGTGGACGCAGCCAAGCGGCTGATTGACGAGAAACTGGCAGACCAGGCGGTAAGCACTAAGCAGTTCAGGTTTAAAGTTCGCAACGTTGGTGGATAACGTGCAGTTGCTTGTACTGTTGTTGGTAATTAATGTGACCTTTGTCTTGAAACTGTGGCTGACACTTAATTGGATGGCGTCTGTATTGCAGAGAAATTACGGCGACGGGACAAGTCGACCACCGGGCGGCGGGTTAGTAGGGTTTTTGTTAAATTGCGCGGGATAGGAACGCAGTTGCTATGGTTATATTTGACAGTCGATTGGTCGTTGGTGCAAAGTGCAAACAGAAATTGTTCGAAATTTTCGAACGATTTCTGATAGTGGCTGGCACCAAGTACAGTACATTAAATCGAATGTTTCATTGAGAGAGATTGGTAGATCCGGATTTGACAAATACGCTGATGTTCTCGCATACGGCAAGGTTAAATTATTAGAAAAATTATTTCACACTTCTTTTCGAGTTTAATGACTTTCACTAACAGTATTTCGAGAAAAATCGCTAGGTTTGTGTGCGTAGTACTCAGTGCTGAAAACATGCTGCATTAATATGTTCAGTTTTCTCCACCAGATTTTGCTACATTAACCAATGTTTGTTTGTGCCCATCGATCAACTTTTACAATGTTAATAGGGACGGTACATGCTATAGGCTTTGTAAAGGCACGGATTTAAGTGTAAAGTTTTTACCCATTTACTAAAGGTAGCGTTTTACGATGAAGGGATAGCAGTGTTGTTTTGATGCTAAATAGGGGTGGCTACTACGACGGCGGCGCCGGCATGAACTGGATGGATCCCAATGCGCAGGCCGCCGGAGATCCTTCGGCGGCATTTTGGAACGCCTACTGCCAGCAGTACTACTCAATGATGGGCAACATGCCCGGCGGACCACCAATGCCCGGAGGGCCAGGCATGGCACCCGGGATGCCCCCGGGTGCGCCCTTCATGCCGGGTATGCCGCCTGCTGAGCTCGCTCAGACAGTTCCCACGGCCGTCCCCGATCCGCAAGCGTCAGCGGCATCCTACTACTACCAGGCCGCCGCCAACCCCGCGCCCCAACCCCAACCTGCCCCCGCCTCGGCGGCGGCGGTCACCACCACGGAAGATGGTGGTCAGGATTTTAGTCGCGCTTGGGTAGGGATCGTTTGGTGTAGTGGTAATTTCGCATTTGTTAGAAGTGCCAAGAACTTACTGTAGTACTTAGTTGTAGTATAGACTGTATAGGGAGCACTATTTCGGTTTTTTTTACTGTTTCACGAGCACCTGGAGCTGGAAGGGCTCATGCTAATTTAAGAAGTACTAAATTTTATGTTAATTTGTTAGTTTTATTGTACAGAATTTTTTAAGGTGGTGGTTTGATGTTAATAGGTTTTTATTGATCTGAAGCCAGTTTACAATCTGGCGCTGGTAATTTTTCTATGATGTGGAGTTTGATCAGGATAATTTTCGTAGGTGGAGTATTATCGGTCGGTGGGTCAGCATAAGGAAGCCGACGACCTGGAAGCCATGATCAAGGCTAAAGAAGCTGCCGGCCAGTGAGATACCATCGATACAAAGACCGTCTATGGGCGGCATTGTTTTTGAAATTTTTTTTCCACGAAGCGTGTCAAGAGCGGCATTGCACCAGACACTTTTGTTTTTTCGTTTGTTATTTATTGCACCGTTTATCTTGCAGATAAACTTCGCTGATTTTCTTTTGGAGTAAATCGTGAGTTTCTTTTTCTACACTGAATGACTAATTTTTATTCTGAGTTGCATGATTGCACTCGTTGGATGCACGCATTGTAGTGGTTTACCGTATTCTGGGAATCGTGTCGTGTGGGGAATGTGTGAGCAGTGTTATTCCATTATCTGGCATCTGTATAAATTGCTTCCGTTCAAGTTTGCGCCGGAATTGAATGCTTTACAGCGTGCAGTGGCTTGCCTGTTAAGTTGTTAACTGGTTATTCCATTTTGTGTTTGTTGTCTGTATTTAAGAAAAGAATTGTTTTTCGAATAACCATGTAACACATACTTTCATTTAAATTACGGTATAGATCGATGCCACTAATAGTAAGCGAATCCCACTAACCAGGGCAGTATTTCCGCCTCCAAATTCAAAAAATCTCATTTTTTGTAAAAAGGTAGTAGGCTACCGTGGTATATCTAAAAAAATATTTTCATCTGCAAAGGTCGATTGGGCGTGGTCTAACATAAATTAAATGAGTACATAGTACTGCATACTATTATTATGCAGCACTGGCATTTACCATAATAATATTACATTAATTTTGCGACCCCTGGACCAGCCGTGGACCCTTCCTGGTTTAAAGCACCCACATAACTCCAAAAACGCTTCCGGTAGTCCCATCTTATCTGGCAGGTGCTACATCATACATCTTGAAAATTTCCTACCTAAATGCTTCCTAATAGTTCGTGAGCATATGGGCATACAATACAAACAGCATGAAAATTAGCGAAGTTATTGAATTTCCGAAATTTAATAATTTTGCTGCGATGGTCACCGCACACGCGCTATAATACGCTCGGCATGTGGAAGGATCCACGGGACGTGCAATGCCCGCAAAAACGATATTGCGGAATAAAATGCAATTACGAGTACTTAATACTACATCTATGTAATAGTATGTGTATTCTGTACTCATTCAATTTATGTTAGACCACATGGTCCACACCCAAGTGACCTTTGCAGATGAAACTATTTTTTTAATCATACCACGGTAGTACACTACTTTTTTACATAAAACGAAATTTTTTGAATTTGGAGGCGGAAATAGTGCCCTGGTAAGTGATTTGAATGCCACTAAATGATATGTGATAAACATAAAAATTTGCATGTGAAGTTTAAACTTTGAGCTCATTGACGAACATTTACTGTACTCTCAGGAGAAATGAAACAGGCGTGATCAAATCGTTGTATCCGTACGAGACTACGAGCATAGTGAGTGTCTGATGGCAAATTGTCGGTGACCGTTTATTGCAATCGCTGTATAATTCGCGTAAAATTTCATTGCGAAACCATTTCATTACTTCGGTTTTTCTGGTCGCACATCAATGTGTTTTAAATTAGTTTGGTCTGGACTTCACCTATACATATCACATATGCACCGCCAAAAAATCAAAAAAACTATAAACTTTCGATAATTGCCCGAGTGAAAGGCACATGTGCGTGTATGGCGTTAAGTTTTCTTAGCATAATAACAAAACTTCAAACAACATCAGCGGAAGCGTAAGCACGGGAAAGAACAACGGGTTGAGCATCTGCGGAATCACACATCTTTACAGTTGGAAACTGCTGTTTTGTCTGGCTTCGTAGTGAAGGACGACTACACCATGGCAGACTGCGGGTTAACGCGCTCCTCCTTGACCTTATCCAGCGACCTGGAAAACGACGGACGATGAAGCTCCACCCTCACGGTTGTGGTGACGGAAGCGGTGTGCGGTTTCTCACACACCGAATTTCTCTGAAATTAATAAATTATTTTAATCAGGTAGCTAAATTTTAAATGCACCAGCCATCTGTTCAATGAACCCAAGTAATAGCAACATCAGCACTGTTTCTGAAAACAACTGAATCGGAACTCTGAGAAATACTTGTGCTCAAGTTTATTCGAAATTTTTTTAGGACGCAAGATTAACCAAATAAATACGATAAATACTTTAAATTAACCAAATAAACGCCAAGAACACTCATCGTCATCCGACTGTTTGTGGGCGTAATTGACCATATCTTGAACTACAGATACATACCGGTTCCGCAGCGGAGAAGGTGGCAGTGGTTCTAACAACTACTTGGGTTTCTAGGGGGCCCGCTGCTGCCGGTTGGGACGCCGTTTCGTCCTCTTCCATGATAATGGATAGGTGCCGCTTGAGAAAAACCAAAGGGTCAGGTGTACCCGGGGGCGGATGTTCCGGGTCATAATTGGCAATCAACTGCAAAAATCCATTCAATCAAACCAATGCCTTCACAAGGTCCATGACGGACAGACACTGTACTTACGTCCGGACCTGGACCCAGGAGCGACAGCACCACTGGCTGATTGACCAAGCTGTTTAGTAAGACCATCCCATAGGAAATAGCCAGGATCAGGAAGAAATACCTGCAACATCAATCACTGCGATGGAAAGTTTTACTTCGTCTGAAAAATTAGTTGCATACGTACTGAAAAATAAACTGAAATTTGGTGAAGTACAACGGAGCCGTGGCGATTAGCGATGCCACAGCGCCGTGCACGATCGATCCGCAGCAGCGTGCCATGGCGCAACGCACACGCCGATCCTTCCCGCCGAATCCGCTGAGAAAGGCCGCACAGATGGGAAACGAGATACGCCATGCTACGCCCGTCGCGTACACCAGCAGACTGGCCGAGATGGCGTTGAGGTCAATCCGTAGCCACGCCATACAGCCGGCGAGTCCGAGGAGAAACACCACAGTGGTTGCGGTCTGTAAACGATAAAAAGTTTTGTCGTCCAGTTTGGCTGCTGTATTAATAAAAACAGCAACTAGAAGCGCCCTATTTAAATATGAGATGCAATAAAACGACAATGTAGGAAAAACCTATAGGAGACAGCAGCGAGTGGCCATCGATGTCTTACCACGACTACGGCAGCCCACAAATTCATCAGCAGGACGGACGTCGCCATGCACAGCACGGCCAGCAGGATGCCCAACGCCAGTACCATATTGAAGCGTAGATCGACGTACTGTTCCCAGTAGGTGAAGAGCTGGCCGCTGGGGAAACTGGGGACACCGCGCTCTGCAAAGACCTGCGAGATGGATTGCACCTGCTCGATGAAGCCGACTGCGTCGTCCGTGCTGTTCAAGCCGGACACCACAAAGGGCATCTGGGCATAGTGTAGCGCCGCTGACTCCGGGATGTCGTAGCTGGGATCTTCAGGGTCGTGCAGCCAGACGACGGGCTGCGGGTGGAGATGCGCTTGGGTAGCAGCGTAGCCCATGGGATCGTTGGACACCCACGCGCTCATGTAGCTGTAGAAACCGTCGGGATTGATCCGACCGTGTTCGTCCACCAGAAGCACTTGAGCAACCTAACGTCCAACAACAGCATAAGTTTGAGAGAGGGCAGAATTAGTAGAAACGATAACGCGCAAGTCATTCCTCCTAGAGAATTTTTTGTTTTCAATGTATAGGTGTTAGATAAATACGTGACGTTCGGTGTCGCAGTTCAACGTTTACAAGAAATTATGACGCAACGCTGACCGGCACATTACTTGCTCGGATGTTGTGGCAACTCAGTGAACTCACCAATCGATGATCTTTCAAAGTTGCAGCACGGAGTTTAAATCCCAAGATGGCGTTATCACTGGCATTTTCATACCATCGTCCGTCACCAAAACAACCTTCGCGGTAATCATGCTCAAACGAAGCCTCGATATCTAAACACCCGAAACAAGACATTGACCGATGGCTAGCCACAGATAGCGCTTAGTGTGACGGCCATCAATCGAATTTACCCCTGCCAGCCTGTGACTACGGATGTACTTTGCGACAGTTTTTACACAATTTTGCGAACAGAATAATGTGTTGTACCTAGGAGCCAGTCTCGGAAATCGGCCAACCAGAACCGCGGCGCCCCGTCTCCCACCGAGCGGACCACGCCTTTCACTCGTGACACGGCGTCATGCAGGGCGTAGAGCTCTTCCTGGTGCTGCTCATACGCGAAATCCTCCTTCGTAACCAACACCGCTTGATGACGGTGGAAATCTCTGGCTTGACTCCGGAAATACCGGTGTTCCAGCGTATCTGTGGGGACTAGCTTCGCCATCTCTAAGCCGGCTTCCATGCGACGGATGCCGCAGACGCCAAAGCCCACCGTCGTGATTAAAATCCCGACGGCCACGAACTTGACCACACCACACGGAAGAAGGCGCAGATATGTCGTTAAAACGCGATCCCGCAGTGTTGACGTGCTTAAACAGCACGTTGCCCCACCATCTAAATTGATTAAAATATGGTCTTTTATTTTATGACACAGTTTTCACGTGGTTCTTCTTAAACATGTGGGTTCATGCAGTTCTGTGCAGTTGGACATTTGGCAATCAAAATCTAAATTTGTATACCCAAAAACAACATGTGCATATACATCTACCTTCATGATCCTGTCATTACGAGTCGAGCAAATAACATACCGTTCTGACGGAGACTTGGACGACCTTTCACAGCTCCAATGCCTTCCCGGAAATACGATGACGAGAATGCAGACGTTGGCGGCACTTTCTTCGGAATAAACCTAAGGAATATATCACATGAATTCTCGTAAAGGTGACTGCTATTTCGTTTCTTGCTTTTAAACAATGAAATCACATCAAGTACAAACGTGGAAAAGCAGACGTACTGAGTGTAGCAACAGAAGAGGTCACATCGTTTGCTCGGTCGTCGCTGTTGATCCAAATATATCACGGCGGGAAGCAACAAAAGCAAGGAGACACCACCCAATAGGACGACAATGCCCATCTGTAAAGAATTGCAAAGTGGGCAAAATACATCGGCATTCGGCATCCAGAATATGTTTCACCAGCCTACCTGGATGGAAAACCATCTCAATGCTGGTAACGGAATCGCATAGCCGGCGAAGAAGGCCCCGCTCATAGCCAAAGTGGAGAATAATATGGATGCCCCATTCCGGGCCAGGCATTCGGCGCCGATATCCTGCGGGAAGAAAACGTGCGTGAGGAACATCCTGATTCGATCATTCATGCAGTTAGCCAAAAAACATTTAGCCACACAGATGACATTTTTCGTACGCTAAAGATTGGAAAATAAAATTTTTTATGGATGTTTGCATTTCACGAAAACTGTTTGCGACAGTTTGGAAAAAAATAAATAAAGCAGTCAGCTTTGTACAAATTTAGTAACAGAAGAATGCAAAAGATATAAGAAAAACTAGTGACGATATGATTTTTATATAAGGTTACGAACCTTTCGCTCTACTCGATGATCTCTGACAACTTCCGTAATTGAACTTGTCATCTGCAGAACATGCTGAAGATGCGTAACAAGAGCAACCAATGGAATAACCTGCAATCATCGGCGAAATATTGTTCAGTGTTATCAATGTCAAGCAATTCCCGGTCAAAGGCACCTAACCTGAGTACTGAGGATGTTGAACGATAAGAAAAATGAACAATATCCCATGCCACCCGCCACCGTCAGCGAAATTAACAGCGTCCCGGCCACCGCAACACCGCTGTAGGAATCCACCGAATCAGCACAGTTGCGGCTTACTACACCCATATATACGACCTGCAATCATGCTTGTTAAATAACGCTCAAAAGTCGATGCTTATAAAACGCTTCAATCTACTAATACCAGCAGCAAAAATACAAGAACGAACCAAGGTTTAGAAAATTGTCGACGAAGCACTAACCGCTAGCAAATGTCCGGCTATGACCAGAAATAAGTTGACTTTGGAGCAATCCACCAGTGTCGCTGCAAGCGCTCCTTCGGCCAATAATCCAATGGATGACTTTGCACGGGTATTGTTTTTCTTCAGTTTTTCTTCCACTGCGGCGTGGTACTTGGCCTGCCAGGTGGCGATGACCTTTACGGCCATTTCCCTTTTCCATTCGCTGCCGTCATAATCACGGATCGGAGGACTCATGTGTTCATACTTGAGGAAGAGGCGTTCTGCATCTCCAATGTGGAATATCGTCTGAATTGCCGATGCACTGTAACGTTTCGTAACGTAACGCAAATATTTCATAATTATTACTAAAACAGGCGCGGACTAACGACGTAGCTGCTCTTACAACGCCCATGGAAATTTGCACACTGCAGCTCACCTTTGGATGTGGCCAGATGCATTGCGCGTTACATTGGCCAAGAGCTGGTCGGGCATCCAGTGTCTATATTTGCTACTGATGCCATAACATCCGTTCTGCATCGCATCCGCCACATTGGGCGCTATTCCCGAGCGCTTATTGGGCGCAGCATCCGGGCATTGTGCATCGCGTGGATTTAGACACGGCTTTCCGACGTAACCTTTTTCCACTTCCGCCTGTGTACAAAAGCACGACGCTACAGTTTCAAGATTAACATTCCTAAATTCATGAGAAGCCAATTTGACACATAAGTAAGCCAAAGTAGAATATCACTCGCTAAAAACAATTTAAACTATGAAATAAAAATATAAACAGTCGAAGCCTGAAATTTCCGTTTCAGAAAAGCGCTGAAACGCGATGGGAACATTACGACTCTGAATCAGTGCTGCATGTGACAATAATGATATTCACAGTAACAGCTACCTTATCCAGAAAGTCCACCAAGGGCTTGGAATTAATTAGCGGATCCGTGTTGTTTTCCAGCGTGTGTACAAGGCGCTCCAGATCGAGAGTTGCCCAAGTGGCATCGCGCCCATAGACCCTAAAGCACACAAATCATAATATTTAACGAAGGCAGCGCGAGCTCGGGAGTACAGCCTCTTGTAATTACACATAAATGGAAGTAATTCGGTAATTAATTATGATTTCCCATGAAGAAATGCCTCTACTTGCCGCACGTGTACAAAATGTCACGGGCACTTGTCGTATATGCGATGAAAGAAGTCCATCGACACGGCGGTCGGGTTAACACGCATATACACCGGCTGAAGTGACCCAACATACCAGGTGGTCAAGTTTATTGGGACAATGTCAGCGCCACTCATTATGCAAATGCATGGCCATTTGCTACACTTTCTCATGGCCACTTTACAAAGCGCTGTGGTGTGCGCCGCTTGGCATTGCATTGTTTCGCTGCATTTACGCCCCGAATTCAGCGTCTTTACAAGCCCGTTAAATGGTTTTACTTTTACCGCTGCCCTATACCGATAATATAACTGCATAAATTATGCACTCACGGAATCTGAACGGGTTTTTTCGGTCCGAGAAGCTTTGAGCCCTCCCAAAAGCAGTCCAGCGGGGTCACGATGCTGCACGGGGTCAGTTCTTCCAGTGCCTACGGAGAAACAAAAACCACTGCTACTGCAAATCTAATCAAATCAATTTTTAAAGGCCTTCAGCAGATAACACTTGCTGTGTGGTAGCCAAACACACCAGCGTTTAAACATTTTTGCGTCACCAGAGCTCAGTTAAAAGATTAAATTAATATAGTTGGTATGTTCCCTTACAATAACGGTATGTTGGTATGTATATGAACGTTTCCTTACGCTGCTTAGGACCGGACTTCGTTCGTCGAAATTGGGAAAGTCGAGCGTTTGGCAAATGTTGCTCCATTTGAAGGTGGTCCAGTACATTGTGACCTCGACACTGAGGGCAATTCGTGCCAACTCCAAGTGGAAAAGTAACGCTTCAGGAGTAAGAACTGACGGATAATCGACACTGGGTGTCTGAAGGAGGACTTGCGAATTTGCACCGGTTGAAAAGTGGAGCACATCATCGGTATACTGCTGTTCCGCTTCTAAACGCCCGCCCTCTGTTGAAAAAACTAAATTAGCGTTAGTTTGATAAGCATGCAAAAAAAAACACTGCAAGACGAGTGCATGCATTTGGGAACAGAAAACGCTGTCATTTGAAAAATAATCTGCTTACGTGTGCTTAGGATGATTTATTGAAGCGAATGATTGCACAGGTACGCGAACTTAATCAACAACAACTGCGGTTTATGCAGCATCAGAACGGCCACATCTTATTTTCTAAACTTGTGTGGTATATGTATTTTCGGGAGCGCCTGTCAATATCCGGAACAATCTTATCTTGTCATCCGCCAATTAGACTACCAAACCTTTCAACGCCTGTTTATTCAATTGCAATCTAAATATACTTAATGCCAAGCCTATTATTTCAGCGGCCATATGAGAAAACATTCGATCTGTCCCATATCAATTTCACCCTTCCCCGTCATTTGCGCCTTCGCACGTGTTACTGCACTCGGCCACGTCGCAGCGCAGAAATAAGAAATCCCAGTGCACAAGCTGCAGACGGCTATCATGATCATTAAGACCGAGGCTTGCATTGCTTCCATTACTTCCTGAGAAGCTGGACACCAACATAGTGGCGATGCTGGAGATAGTACAGACCGGACGCGTCATAAAACCTGTTTTGCTAGGCGCTGGTCGCAGTTCGCACGTCGTGAAAGGGAGCAAAATGGGTGGAGCACGCACACTCGAGGAATAACAGAAATCTTTCTTCCGCCGCGATGCCCTCATCAACGAATCCCTTACCATCGGCCCACCGCTATTGTTATGCCGATAATTCAGTTAACATACCCATTTGATGCCGGTTCGCATTTCGCACATAAAGCGCACGACGCCATACTGTAGAATTTACGTAGAGAAATAATTCCGCTTTATACCAACGCAAGCCAATGCTTTGTGCAGCAACAGGTGGACGACATGTTTGAAAGGATCTATCATCGACGCCAACCACAAGACGATCGTTAGAATCAGTTAAATGAAACTCCGCTTCAGGACACCGGAGAACAAAGCCCACTCTAACGACGCGCTGGATAATTACGCGTGGGTGGCCGCGCATCGGATAAGAAGCCAATTTGGTGTGGTACGGCCGCTTTCAGTAGCGTTCCTGCTCTTACAGCAAATGACAGCCATATGGCCGCATTTGCATTAATTAATAAATTTAAGTACCCTACCAACAAAATCGCAAATATGTTTTCATGCACTTAATATAGTGGCCACAATGACTAAAACGGTATGCCCTACGCATCTACTAAAACTTTTCAGCAATTGCAATTAGATAACGTACGCAAATGCAGCTGTAGTATAAATACGTAAATGTTGTCGATATATGCTTCCACAACTAGCTCTCAGTACACAAGCATAAAAATTTCATTTTCACTTTACTGTGATCAGGACCAAATTTTACCTTCCATCCAGAGTCTATCCAGACGGGTTTCCAATTGTATATTGGGCAGTCCCAAACATCCTAAGCACAGTATTATCAATCCTATCACCAAGACACATCCGGCATGGCGGTGTGCGAATTGTCCAACGACGAAGAAGCACCGGTCAATCACAGCACGCGTCCGCAACGCCAGGCGGTTGCCCGTTGCCCTGCCCTGTGAATTGACAATGTTATACACAGGCCGATATTTTAATCCAGCAGCCTCGAATTTCCATCATAATGATACTATAGCAAGTCATCTGTCCAGTTTGTCCGGACCAGTAATTGATGAAATTATGGACATTGGCGGGTGAAAAATGTGTCATTGTGAATCAGTGATGGTCAACATTCATCGCCTGTGGGAATCTGACTTGCACAGTTACAGACAGACAAACCAGGCGCATCTCAAAAGTGAGTGATATCACGATATAATTGGGCAGAAATTCCGTGTTATAATGAGCAAACTGGATGCGATGGATGCTCGTGCATTGAAGAGGATCAGGAGCGGTTTTCATAATTCGTGTTTGATCTCTCAAGTGAGCAACAAGTGCAAACATCTTCATTCTTCACCCGCTGACATGATCCGACAAAGATGCGCAAAGAGGATGAAACGACACGCTGGGCTGCCGTTAACGATGCGGTTACGCTACGTTAATAATGCACTTCCAATAAATAATCACATCGTAATCACACAAATCCAAGTTGTGGGAAAGCGAAAAACTGTCACAAAATTATGATGCGAAGAGAAACCATTTCCATTGGGAGTTATCATTTACTGCTTCCAGGAGAGATGAACGCATACATTAAGAAAGCGCCAGATGTCAAAACTGACGTGTACAGTAATTACGACAGAGTAGCTGCGATGTTAGGTCATAAAGGTACTTGTACAAAAAAATCAAAAATCGTCGTTTGAAAGAAACAAAATTCAAAATGAAATTGGCAAAGTTGAAGTTGAACAAGTTTGGAAACAGAGTCAAAGATAGTTTAGAAATGACCAATGAAGTTTAACCATAATAATCTATATCTATATTATGTACACGTACCTTACTCGTTTCAAGATGCTGTCAGGGGTGCAAAATTACAGTACATTGGGTGTGCATTTTAGTATGCACTTATTACTACTTACCTATTGGCTATTTTCAACTTTGTACCGTTAACGATATACAGATTGCGCTTCCTTACTTTGTCGATATACTCCAACGCCTTTCTGGGACTGAGATATTCACAATTTTCGAGATCGAAGGGTTCTTCCAGATTCCAACACGAAGTTTCTTCTCGCTCATTATCTAAAGCTTCACAATCCCTCGCCGCGGGATTGAATGCCGGAGCACAGGGAACAACATTGGGTTGCAGAGGAACACCTTGTAAACAGGTGTATGTTGCATCGGGAACGCCGTCCGCAGCGGACGCCATAATCTCCTCAATGTTGCCGGACATATTGGCTTGCTGCGGCTCGAACACAGCGCGTAATCCAGTTAATTTACTACGCTGATAACTACCATCGAATTAGCTTGATCAAACAACAGTACAAGTAGCCATTAGAGACGTCTGTGTTCGTGAAATGAGAGCGACCAGTGGCCGGCAAGAATAACGATCAAATAAACTGTTCAAATTCAGTTACTTACTGGATTTTGAGCCCGTAATCACAATGCAAATATCGAAGTGTGGAGAAGTGTGCATTTAGTTGAGGCGAAGCATGATGTGGTAGTTAAGCGCAACGACGGAGAAGTAGCCACAGTCTGCCGACGCTCTGGTCAGTTACTCGGTGTTTGTGACGGGAGGGAAGTGGGCCTGCGAAAGGGAGAATGAGGCTGCTCTGTCAGAAGGCTGAAGGCGGAGTAGTACTGCATTCTCTCTGCGCTGTTTCGTTCAACAAAGAAGCGAATTCTTCGAGCAACAGCATGGTGCTGCGATATTCTACAGAAGCACTATTCATCCTTCCAAGAATATTATTATGCTTTTCGCGGTTGATGAAGCTGTGCCAATATTCTTAATTCATAACGGGATGTTGCAACTTGGGGGAAAACACTGACAAATCACAAATCCAAGACAAAATCCAAAAAACATACAAGTATACTCTCTAGTGGAGTTGGTTTTATGTCGCACAAATTGCTTGTGCTAAATTACCGACTTTAACACGCTACCAAAAATAAGCAATTTGTTGTGGTCAGTATTTAATAAATACATGCTAACTACAGCCGTGCGCAAAGTACACCATCCGGTACTTATTCGAATTCACAAGTCAGTAAAAATAGCCTATAAATACAAAAAATTGTATACATATGTTAACAGTTACAGTAATCTGCCCATATGTACATAAAGTGGACCGTGTGCTGTATGGAAATTAAATTAATTCTGTCTACATAAAAGGATGTGGTATAACAATAATGCAGATTCCAATCAAACACCGCAGTACCCTTTAGGAATTAGGAGCGTAGACCATGGTCAGTCCCGCATCTCTTTCCAGACCGCCCGCAATACGTCCCTTTTCGCCCGAATTAAACAGCCATGCTGATTGAGACCTACCGCAGCCGGCGGCGCCACTGCTTATTGACGATTCTCGCCAGGATGGTACCCTGTGGCGGTTGGCAGCCGTGCGCCTACGGTGCGCCGGGAAGTCATCGTAGGCCCATAACAACAAGCGCTTATCCCGGCACTTTTTAAACAGCGCGCGTTCGCAAACCATGTTGTTGGTTAATTGGGCAGATACATGAAAATTTACAAAAAACCATCCTCTGCAAACGAGGAAAAAATGTGTGATAAAAATGTTTACGGTATTTTTAAATTTAGCGCTGGCGTTGTGGCCACTTTAATGCATTACCGCCTCGAAAATTCTAGCACACGAACAGAAACAGAGCGAATGCATAATTCTCCTGTTGGCGCACTCCAAAATCCCTGTTTGTTAGTGACGTCAAAATGACACACTGCCAGTCTGCAGTCTCGACGAGAATCACGAATTAGCCACTGAATGGCTGCCTGCACTCGGCTGGCGTGCTCAGCGTCTGCAAGCGTACGATGCGGACTACGCAGCGGGCCCAATGGCCTTTCGTGGAGGCTGTCTAGGCTGGACGGCACAATTACTTCACCTTAAGCGCTAAACAAGATGCACAGTAGCACTGCTACTGGCACAGGATTATAACACTTCCAGATTAGCAAAGCACTCAACCTCTGCAATTCTGGGAGTTCGGATTTTACAACACCACTTCCCACTAAACTAACAGTCATAAGCTCAGCTACCGGCATTTTTATTATCGATCGCTAACACACAATTAAAGTACTTAAAAATACCGATTTTTAGAGGAACTATGTGATGTTATGATCTCCAAAATCCAAATGACGATCGGAAGAGTGCAACTGGCAGCGACTACGTAATGTCAAAGTTAATGCGTCCATAATTGTATCAGACTCGGTCACTCGTACCAGATTTTACAAGATTCTAAATCAGGCTGAAGAATAACTGTCATGTCGGTTTTCAAGGCGTTCGGTCAAATTTTTCCAAGGAAGTTTACACATAGATATAAGCCTTATTCCAAAAAAATTGTCCGCACGGTTTTTTGCCGTTTAACTGCTGGCTATAAACTGGCTTTCAATAAAAGAAAGAAACATTCACTGAAATGCGTACGCTTACGCTTAACACTCACTGCTCCAGTTTCTTTATTCATACTAAATGTGCTATTTCGTTTAACAATACTTACATTTTGTATGATGCTGTGGTTGGGATCTGCTGTTAGCCGTTCATTTTTTGACTGGACATCAGCATGGATAGAGATTTTTTTTCTTCGAACTCGGATTTTAACCTGTGCTTTTGAGAACGACAAAACGACTGAACAACATGGCTACGCTGACCTTTGGTCTTTTGAACGCCATTGAAGATGAACATGAGGTGCCCTTTGGATTTATCGACGTCCACCACCGTTAACGGAAACGGAGGAGGGTTATACTATTCGGAGCACAATCCATGCGGAGAAATCCTTTTATGCCGCCTGTGACTGCTCGCCCTAGTCAGCAAGTGGAAAGGCTTCCATTCGGGAGACTTCATTCGTACAGTATGTTACGTAAGAATGATCGCGGATATGGACATATCATTGCGTTTGCCGCTCACTATCAGAGGAATCCAGATTACTGGGTACCGTCGCAATGCTACGTCGACAAAACTGGTCTTCGTTCTGTAATTACCGGTGAGCCTGGCTTAAATCAAGGGTGCGGCTCATGGGTGCAGAATGGAAAGTCCGCTGAGTCCGGTCAGGAGCACAGGCTGCAGGACGTAAGGATATGGTTAACCAGTTAACGTACTCGCCCTTGGTTTGTCCTATATGGAGATTTAATGGAAACCGGCGTCTGACAATGAACTATCGAATCTCTACTGCATGGTCGACCAGAATGACGGGATAGCACATCAATGAACCCATTCCATCGTTTCGCTTCCCGACAATTTGCTGGCCGACATATTGTTGATTCACGCTGCTCACTAACCGACTGTTGGCTTTTCTGGAAAATCATTCCGACGTTTATAGGAAACCATTAACCATTTCGTTGACCGACAGCTTACTTGTCGGTCTGGTTCTGAAGTTTAGTTTTTTTAGCTTTTTGAGTTTTTGTATATCCTAGGTTTCTTGGGGTTTTTTCTTAGACTTCTTAATTTTCGTACGACTAGTGGTCTTTCTAAAGTAAGGTTTCTTAGCGTTCTCAAGTTTTTTATGGGTCGACAGATTGTCAGCAATCGTCGGTGTTCAGCATGTCGTCGTACGCTGAGATTTCTGTCGATCGTCGTTTTGTCGTTTCAAAAAGTTGTCGGCTAAACGTTTTGTCGGTCAGCAAAAAGACATAAAACTAGTTATCGGTCGGCAAGATAGTGGTCAGCAAATTTGCTTGCATCCATGAAAAAAATTGTTTGCATGTGAAAGGCTCCGCAGTGCGACTGCGCAGTATGGCAAACAAGGTGCGGCAGCTAGTGAGAGATGCAGCACATCGCCTGTTCAGGCTGTTCTTGTAACTGTTCCGTCAACGTCCAAGCTCGCACCAGCACCCGGCGTTGCGCGGTGGCACTGATTTTGTGTTACTACGATGATCCTAACTCCAAAGATGTGAGATGTCGATTCGGACGAAAATAAGATAAGCCTACTGCACGAAACTCGGTGTCTACTGAATTAATTTCGCGTTCATGTCGCGGACCTTCCCGTCTGACAACAAGCGGTGAGATTCTCAAACACGCCAGTTCTACTGCACGAACACTGTACAGTGTAAGTTTACTGTATATCGTACGACGTGCGCTGAATGAAATTTACAGCAAAGTAACAAAAGTGACTATTTTAGTTTTCCAATGACATATTATTACGACGTCAATGGCAATGGCATTAACGGCCGTCCGAGAAAAGATAACTACCCTATTTTAGATGAAAATTTGCGAGTGCTTGTTTTTTTCGTACTAACGTACCGTGCGCGAGATCGAAGGAAGCGCCGGAAAGGGAGCCCCGCTTAATTCGCAGGCTCTAAAGCCTTGCAAAATGATAGTTTCATACTTACTTTTGTTCATTCAACTTTAAACCTTATGGAACATGTATTCGCCGGAAACTACAAGACTGATACTGCGGCGACCATGACCGCGGTCACGTATTACCAATAATGTTCTGTAATGTGTACGTACGTAATTGCAACTTTACACTACTACGTATTTACTCCCTGTGCACGGTTTATCAGAGATGGCGCGACTGCACTGAATCTAACGAAAAAGACACGCGAATTTGTGTTTTGTATAATTCTGGGAATTGCTCTCACAAACCGCTAGCGAAAAGTGGCAATACTGATATTAGCGGTTTCTAGAGTCAGCTCTGCTAGGCGGCGTTCCAACGTATGCACGTTATACACATAGGTACTCGTACAAATATAGATATAAGCGCATCTTTGTGCCTTTCCAAGAAATGCTTCTTCATGAATTAAGAATATTGTGAACAACCGGAAAACCAACAGAGTAACGCCAGAGCTTGTCCGTTCGCAACAGGAAAAGTCATATTTATTGTAGAAACAGTTGTACATATTCAAAGTGAATTCCATAGTCTACGGTAAGCGTCATCGTATAATAAGTAACAGCTGTATTGTAATAACCCTGAGCGAATACAACGGAAAACACAAGCCCACCTTTTAAGTTTACTCATGCCATCGACTACACCGGCCTTTTTATCATCTATGCGTACATTAAGTTTAATAAGTCATCGCGTCAGCGCGCAGGTATTTTTCGACACAATGCAATAAAAGAATAAAACTCGTACAGAAATGCAAGCCTTGGGCGTCTGAACAGGCCGCTCCTGGTTCGTAATGCACCGTACTGCCGCTGCCTTCCGGCTGGTTTTGGCGTGAATGACAACGACGAAAACTGAATCCAAGCGTTCGTTTCAGTGCGCTGCATCTGCTGGTCGAAACGTTAATCGGTCGGTCGGCATTTTCGTGGATCGGAAGTAAGTACCTTTTTCAGTTTCTGATCAAAGTTCTTGGTTGTCACTGATTGCAACTTGCCGGGCACCCAATTGATTTTTTACTACTCCGCTTCCTGAACCGGTAAGATTAGAGAATTGCCATTAAAAACCGTTTCCGGTAGAACAAGCCGATTAAAGTCGCACAAAGGTGTAATGACCAATGACTTTAATTTTGTATGATTTTGCATTTGCAATTTTGTAAAAAATATAGATATTTTATATTGTTAACAATCTTTCACATAGCTTACAATGTACAAAACAATGAAATTTTGATAGTCTACGTTTGACCTATTATATGGAAAAGAGCTATTTCGATAATCTGTAAAATATTTCACGTAACAAAACCTATATTACATGTTATAGTATGTACGTACGGAGTAGTACTTTTAATCAGGGTGTTCTGTGTAGCGCAAAATGCCGCTAACCTGTACCGACATCTGCAAGTTCATCGCCGCTTTTATTTTTCCACCACTGGGTGTCTTCCTGGAACGAGGATGCGGCAAAGATCTGGCTATTAACATTTTGCTAACCATCCTGCTATGGCTCCCAGGGATAATTCATGCCTGCTATATTATTTGCAAGTACTGAAAGTTACGGATGTCTTGCTGCCATGCAATTGCAAATAAGGACTTCCTGCTGCCGCTTAAATGCGGATTCCCAAAATAGCCTATCCATGTGCATCTTGTCAATATTTGTACTTGTTACATGTTATTCATTTTCACGCACTTTTAATTGCAAAATTTGAGAAAATTCTAAGCTATATACCGTAGATACAATATAATAACGTTACAGTGTAGTATGATCTTTCGCTCGAGAGCTATCGTGAATAGACTGGAAGCCGGTTTTATAAACCCAGATCTGTTTCTTTACCGTTAAAACGTAGTTTTATTGGTGTTCACTTTCAGTTATGCAAAATCGTGCAAATTATGCGGATGGATTAAAAGTTTAGGAAACTGGTGTTATGTACACCTTTCCAATCGTTTACAACGATCATGTTAATCGTTGTTTACCCTCGTCTTATAAATTATGTAGACACGCAGTACTTACCCACATAAATCAAAATGCTTACTCGTGGAAAAACTGCCCGGGAGAAGTGTAAATACACGCACAGTTTGCTGAGAATTACGATTTTGTTGAGTAAATTGTGCTGACTTCCGGACTCGTCGGAATTCAGAACCGTTCGTAGTGTTTGCCCGGTATAAGCACTGTAACTGCAACGTTAGCCACGTTGTCACTAGACATGAACACGTTTGCATGATGCATTAGTACTGTTATGCTATCAGTGCCGACGTCTGAATATTGCAGCTACAGTACGAGTACAGCATTGTACATTGTAAGTATGTTTCGACACGCCACACAAAACTGACCAGTGGCCAGCACGATTATATTTTGTTTGTACTTGTACTTGTATAAATAAAAATACGCTAACCTGCACGAACAGTGCGGCCTTGATTCTGCGGCTTTCGGTTTCTTTTATGCTTTACAAACTTATTGTTAGCTAATAATCAGCGAGCATATTCCAGCAGCTATTCTGTGGTTTTGCGGCTCTTTATCACAAAACTACAAAATGAAAAACAGCATTTGCACTGTCCGCTTCCGTTATATCTATGTACCGTTATGTACCGTTATGTTATGTACCGTTATGTCTATGTCAATGATTTTATAACGTTGCAGAAGTCCTTTAACCGATGGGGTCTCACCTTCGGACTCGGCTCTGTACGTAAAATGTTGTTAACAAGACTGGCTCTACAACAAATTTAGTGCGTACTTTTTGTGACTTACGTTTCCTGTATCTGCCTCAACAATCCGGCTGCAAAATTTTGAAAGTTTTTTGAGTTTCTACGGCTTTACAATATTACTTAATGCATATGATGTCTTACGTACAGACAGTATATGTACTCTGTACTTATGGACGAGAGCTTTTAGATAATTTTGGTCAAGGCTCCGTACATATAGATATCTATATATATATATCCATGTACCATCTTTGATCCCATGTCCCATACGATATATTTTGCGAACTTTGGAAGTTAGAAATTGCAACAAAGATACCTGGAAGTTGTGCGGTCGTGAATCTCGAGATGAACGGGAACAACAGCTGCGGCAGATAGGAGCTCAGTGGCTCACTCACAAGTCAGAAAAAAAGGTTGACCGAAGAAAACCTTTCGCTGGCTGTGCCTTCGCGCACGGCATTTCGCCGGTCAAATACATAGTATAAATACATACCGGTCAAAGTATCCAAAAATGGATGTTCTGAAAAGAAAGCACTACTTTCCCGGAAGAGGTGCGCACGAATCGCCGGACGACAGTCCGATAGAGTTAAAAATGCATGATAACAGGAATACTCGTCCAACTGTATATACGCGGAGGCTGCTTTATATAATATGAAGAACATTCCCTTCATTTGGACACCCATGCGCAGATAAATCATACAAATCGTACTTCAATTTTTAATTCAATGAAAACCAATACTAAAACATAAAAAATGAATGGATGAATAGTAGTATGCGGAGTCAATGGTGGTGTTGCAAAGATGGCACCATTAATTACCTTGCGGAGCCTTCACTCTTTCATTTACGACACATAAATCACCTGCCCCAACATGTCTTTATTATAAAATGTATTTAAAATACTTGAAAACACGAAAACTAACAAGTTATCGCGCAGATTTGATACTGTATGCTAAGACTGGGTACCGAGTAGACGTATTTACTCTAGTACAAGTGTATCTTTCAAAACGAACCTCACTAATATCTCATAGACAACTGATATACTGCAGCGTCTGCATTTTAGCAGCTCCACAGCTGCTGGAATGGCTGGCGAAAGATCATGAAACTCCAACCAGGCACCCACGCGCTACTACTGACCTTGACCTTATCATCAGGCCGATAGCGATCCAAGCCTCAATTAGCGGTCAATAACCAACAGGCTTTACAGGACCGCGAAACGTTGCTGTTCTAGTAGAAGATGTCCTTGCCGTCTCCTATACAAGACGGTGCCGAGTCGCCGACTGACACACTGTGAGGTCAATGAAATTTGTACTGGCACGCATGACACAAGTGTGGTGGTTCAGCCCTAGCTCATGTTGCTGTTTTGTGCCTGCACGTTTAGCAGATGGGAAGCGAAAATTCATGATAATGCGAATGTAGTTGTATTTTGTGCAACATGAATGACTAGATGTAATTTGACTGACTACCGTGTCGAATTATATACAGGCTAATACAGCAACCGTAAGAACCGTGCGTTATGGAGCGGGACGAGAAAGAACTATGCTACCAAATGCTCAATCAGACCGGTCGCAGCTTTTCAATGGTTATTGCCACCCTTGGCGATCAATTCCAGTGCGGAAATGATGCTGAATTTTTACTACGTTACGGACTGCTTTTAGAAAAGCTACTAATTAAAAATTACTTTCCATATTGCAGATACTCAACGTGCATTTTCTACTTGGTTATACGCGCACTGGACACGGTCGAAGACGACATGACTATTCCGCTGGACACCAAACTTCTGCTGTTGCGCACCTTTCAACAGAAGCTGTATGTTCCCGGGTGGAATTATCGCGATAGCCGGTCAAAGGATGCCGTTGTCCTCCACAATTTTCACGTGGTGAGTTTCTATATGTGTCATTCAAACTTAAATCTTCAACTGACAAGTGAATTTTGCATGGACATGTTTTACAGATCTCGTCGCAGTTTCGCCGGCTGGATAAGGCCGTCCAATGTGTTATTAGCGACACGTGCCGGCGCATGGCCGCGGGAATGGCGATCTTTCTGGAGAAAGGTTTCGTTATTGACACATTTCAAGAATGGAACGAGGTAGACTGAAAAACGCACACATGCTGTATCTTTCGGGATGCTGATATAGGTTAACATACATGTCGACGTATATGCTCGTAATCACAGTGTGACCTTTTTTTGGTAGTACGGTCGCTGCGCTTCCGGCTTGATGTGCCTCGGTCTGACCCGTCTTCTGGAGCCATTTAAGCCGATTTCTTCCCAACGCGAACAGTTGGCCCATTCCCTGGGCCGCTTTCTGCAGAAAATGAACATAATCCGCGACTTCAAAGAGGACACTGATGACCGGCGCCGTCTATGGCCGCGGGAAGTTCTCGTACGCACCGGCAATACGCATCTTACTGTGGACGATCTGCTCCAAAGAGCAAACCAACAAGCAGCGTTGCGGTGTCTCAACTATCTGATCGGTGATGCCTTGACACATCTTCCGGATGTGCTGCTTTATCTGAACGCGATCCAAACACCCACTGTCTTCCCGTTCTGGGCCATCCCGCAAGCAAGACTTTTGATAGATTGTCTTGAGTGTCGACCGTTTTGACCGGGTTATGTGCTTGTAGGTCATGGCCATTGCCACACTAGAACGTTGCTACAATAACCCGCAAGTTTTTGAGGGGAAAGTGAAGATTCTTCGAGGCGGAACAGCTATGATAGTACAAAACTGCACTGACATGGCAACCACAAAGGACTTATTACGAATCTACGCACTGAAGGTAATTCAATATTATCATGACTAGTTTTGTCGAAGCTGTTTAAAAAAGTTGTTTCAATTACTTTTCTCCAATAGTAAAGCCATCCTTCTTGTAGATCGTGGCCAGAATGGAGTGTGCAGGATCGAGCGATGAGGCTAAAGATTTTCTGGCAGTTTTGAAGACATCCGGCGTTTTGTACTCCGACTGATATTGGAACAGGCTAAGCAGCAGCAGGATTTCGCCAGTCGGTGCCGGAATGTCGATAGTAATGACTATTAACATGGAGGTATTTTGTTGTAAAAGCATTCTGTATAAAAACATCAAACTAATTTGAAGTAATTTCTTAACCTCACTATGGATAAGTTAGTACGGTACTTATACATACGCATTATGCAGTTGATTAATCTGGCCAATTTTCATCCGCTCCAACAATATTTACTGGTACCTTAAACTCACTAATACTCTGTACTTCGCCAGATTCTAATAATATACAATATTATTATTAATTCTCTAATATACCGTAAGGTACGTACGTACGTAACTGTACCATTCAAACCAGTTAGAAGTTGTTTTAACCGTACGTATTGCCTAAAGAGACGTACGATAAGTACTTATCACACTGTCCAGGGTCCAGGCACCAATAAAACTGTAGGACAAGTTGCACGATCAATCCTGCAGCGCGAAATTTGCTCACTTAAATGATGTGCTAACTGCTAAGCAAACCCTGCTTTCTGCCAGGGTAAACTTAATACGGTACCTTGTTCGAACAGGTAAACAAACATTATCGACAGTAGTAATTCGATGCACATCGCCATGAACACTTGCGGTGCCGGTTACGAAGAACCAGTTGAAGATATCATCCATTTTATTGATTCATCGCTTTGCACGCAGTCCACTTAATTTTTGCAAGTGCAAGGTTAACAAAATAAAAAATACAAAAGCCATTTTTGGAAAAGGATTTACCGAAAGAACACGCACACGCTAAAATAAAAATCATCTGCTGAAAGAAATGACAAACCACGGGAGAGTGGACGAACAGTATAATTAGGAACTAGTTCCGCAATAAATCGCAAAATATTAAACAAGGAATGTTCATTGCACAATCCGATCATCCACAGTCCACAAGAACGACGTCCAAGGAACTGTACAGGGAACCACTGAAAACGGCCATGTTGGACTGTCTTCCGGATCAGTATTTGCAGATAATGTAGCAGGCGTGGATGATTCCCGGGATGAATCCGAATATCGTCAACAGGATGTTAATGGCCAGATCTTTGTTGCAGCCGCGCTCCAGGAACACGCCCAGCGGTGGTAGGATGAACGCGAAGATAAACTTGAAGATATCGGTGCAGGTCAACGGCATTTTCAGCTATAAAATTTAAAAGAATAATTTCACCTTCAAATTCACTTATAAAGGTAACATTACTATTTTACTGTTATTTATTTATTTATGTAAGTTAAGTTTATGGCTTCGCTTTTTCGAAATTTCGAATTCTGCAAAATTACGATAATTTCACTCACCTGTTTGGCGCTGGAAAATGGGATTCAGATACAAATTCTGGATACACAGATTACGAGAAGGTTTACCGCTATGCGATTAATCCAAAGAAAGCAGATCTCGGATTAATTCAGATAGAACTACTGGTAAGTAAACGTATCTCAGGAAAAATTCAAAAATGCGCAAGACTTCGAAACACCCAGTCAATCTTGTTCTGCTTGGAATATAGTACTTAAACTTTCCCCGGAATCACAAAAATAATACAGTACAAGTGAAGTCTCTTCGGCTGTTAACTCATCGGTCTGTCTTGTTAACAAACATTTTATAAAGCTTCCCGGTGATTCAGCATTTGGGAATCTGCCGACAAGCCAGATTGGTCGGTTCACTGATAAAGGTGTAAGTACGTGAGTACGTGATAGTATCGACCGGATCAACGCGTATAAAATTAAACACTACAGTAATTTCTTCTGTTGAATACAACCTAACGTACACATTCATATCCGGTTGATACCTGAATCCTGATCTACTCCGCTCAACCAGGCATGAATGATATATTAAAGGGCATCAGTACAAGGAAATACTTATCGTTAGTAGCTAATGGTAAGTAGACTCGTAGTAGACCAGCATTTAGGGTATACTCGTATTAAAAGCGGAGTACACTAACTGTAAATAACAAGATGAGCACGGATGAATATTGGCTTACGACTGGGCAGATAGACGAGTTTAAAATTCAAAAGTGCAGTGTGTTCGATGAGACAGTAGTTATGATTTCATAGTTAGCAGTTATGCCTGTATTCAAGGAAGCAGTAGTTATCAACAGATGGTCTTCAGTTTATTATATTTAACTGGTGACAGGGAATGCCCTGGGGTCAATTTGCGTTTGTGTCAGCTGAAATTTTTCCTGTTTCTGCGTTTAGATTGGTGACCAGTCAACAAGCGGACGTTTACTGGCATTATATATTACGTTAGCAGTTTGCACTTTTTCTTATGAGTTGAGGTCGATTAGGCCAATATCTGCTGCGAGGTTCTTCAAATGTTGACTTTTCGCCATTAAAGTTTCTTTCGTTTGTGCCTCGGCTGCTCGTTTTCGTTTTATTTTAAAACTAACTGAATCATTCGTTCACTCGGTATGTGGTCCACAAAAAACGCAGAAGCGAAACCAAAGCTGTTTGTTGTTAAACACTGATTTGCCCGTGGTGAAAAACAAGCGCATGTTAGCCCTATGGCATCCATGGCAACAAGCCTTTGAGTGACCACTGGGCTTATCCTACTTGTGAGAGTAAAAAAACCACTAGCTTTGTGTTACTCTACGTTTTGAAAAGATTCTGTGAAAATTTAAAGCTGCAAAATCGGCTCAGTGGAAGCCGAGAACATAGGTAACAAAGAGGACAGGCAGAAAACCTGCAAGAGATGTACAGTATTCATATAACAACACATTTGGCGTGGCAAGCGTAAAATCCATAAACCATTCCTCAGCAGAAACAGGCATCTTCGGATAAAAACTATTATAGTTAGTATCCAAAAATTCTGTGGTGTTAAAATCATTATAGCGTTCTTCCCAAAGAAATGGTAAAATATGCAATAAACAAAAACGGAAAATTCTGTGCAAAGTATTGTACAAAATAAACATTCAAATCACTGACAGAATTCGTTCTAGGATGTCCAACTCGGTTTTCGCTTCTCGAAAAATGCGCTGATTCCTTCCTGGCAGTCATCCATTTTCAGGTTCTTGAGCATTGTCCTTTCCCCGTCCCTAGCAGAAGCAGCAAACAGTACAGTCGCCACTACACAAACACTATGATACAAATACAAATACTACCAAAATAATATCAATCAGTATTCGAAAATCACCTGTACGCCGCAGTTCGATCCATACCGCGTTGCCGGTTCAGAAACTCTTTCCCGAGTCTGACTACCGCTGGGCTCTTCTCACAGATCCGATTGGCAATTCGAAGCGTCTCCTCTTCCAGCTGACTTTCTTCCACAACCGATGTAACAAGCCCGCACTGCAGTGCTTCTACGAAAGTAAGAAAAGAAAGCAATGCACACGCTGATGTACCAAAATTCAATCTAGATAAACTGCTGTATATCTTCTATTGTAGCAGACTTTCTACTCTAGGTGTTACAATACAGTATTAAGTTTACCCTGTAAGTTTAACAGCTTGCTTGAAGTGTAAGTGTAACAGCTGTTTCATTGCAAATGGTTAGCAGTGAGTATTCCATAAAATACGGGCAATTAATAATCAAATGGATAGAATTAGTCTCTACCAATAAATTACAACGCAATAAACACACCCTGTGCGGAGATGGAATCACCGGTGTACAGCATTTTCGCGGCTACCTTCTTCGGGATGGCACGTATCAATGGAATGCTCGGCGTCGAACAGAAAAGTCCGTTACTGACCCTAATAAAAGAATTCGATTGTTTACTATTAAAAATCAGTTACATAATATTCATTTACCCCGGAGTGGAAAACTGTGATATTTTGCTGGCGACCACCTGTGTTATGAAAATAAGTAATTGAAAAACTGATGTAATGCACGTGTTAAGCATAAGCTACCGGCCGAAAATACATACAAAAATTACATACAAAACAGACTCCCACATAAAACTCACGATCACATATTATGTACATTACCATAATTAAAAATTAAATAAGCTGCAATAATTATTAATAAACTAAAAACAGGTTATCTGGGCAATAAAAAGTCGTACAAATGCAATTAAATATTTATGTTACGCTTGCAATATGCACGATGAAACGGCCAGCGAACACGAACCATATCGCAGCTAGCAACAAGCTGACATCCGGCTGCGGCAGCAACGCCATTTACCACGGCCAAAACGGGAACAGGAGCATCCTCAATAGCACACATTAGCAAGGTACACGTGCTGAAAACTTTTTCGTGATGCAGTTTTCCTGTGTCCGTTTTCTACGATGAATAATTTCAAATTTTTGTACAAATCCCAAACAACAGATGAGACATTTCAGCAATTAGACTTCCGCCTCTCTACTGTAGAACTAATACACATTACTGAGGTAATTTCGCCCCAGCGGTGGTAGACGTGACGACATCAGAAATATTCTCGCGGTATGCAACGACGACGACTGGACGTCCTTCAAATTACTTATTATTATTGTCTTACGGTTTAGTATACAAATAGTTCTATTATCTCGCATTTCCTGGCATCTTTTGCAAAATCCCGTACCAGTTCCTTCAGATCATGTCCAGATGAAAAAACCGGTCCGTTGGCTGAGAGAACGATGAGCCGCGGATAATCTTTATCGTCTTTCAGATGCCGTAAAATTTCCTCCATCATCTCCAACGACAGCGCGTTCCTGCAAAACAATTCGGTTATTTGCCTCTTTAGTTCATGTATAGTAGATTTTTTGTGAACTTATTATTACAGTGCACCTCTTTCTGGGATTATTGAGAACGATTCGCTTGATCCCATTCTGCGAGGACACCAGACACAATGCGTGTTCGGAGCTCCGAGGAGAAACCGCGGACGGCAGTGTTTTTGACACTGGTTGAGTTGCAAACCCACAACGCAAAACCGACATCGGAACGGATGTGAAAGCGCCATTTTGGATGCTTCTGCGGACAGGGGAACAATTTGTTGGATAATCGTGAGGGTTGACATTGTCAACTTGACACTGCCAAGGCACAATCTTTTCGCGCTTCACAGGTATGTAAATGTAGCTAAAAACTTACGAGTGAAATGGTAATCGCGTCCTGAATGCAACAGTTGCGGTACGGATGACGCTTTTGGAAAACATAGTCATGGAAGACGATAAGGGATAATTATCACACCTTGCAGGAGATAACGTAAATACTTGGTTTGTATGAACTTTGCTTGTATTCATACGCAATCCGCGATATCTCCAGTGTGAGCTGTAACCGTAAAAGCAGAATGGGCTGTGAAGCACTGCAGACGTACAATATGTACGTATTAATGGAAGTATTTGTAATTAGTTACCGAAGAACAGTACAGTAAGTAATTAATTGTTTGAAGCATGAATGAAGTCAACACGTTAAAATTTGAAAACGAAAAACAGCTGATTACTCGTACGCAGTGCGTACTGTACCAGAATGTTTACGTAACCGCCTCCGCCGACGTTGAGGAATTGTTTTGTAACTTTTGTTACAGATCGTTACAGTATCTGTATATTTCGTTATCATGGCTCATAAATGTACCGCCCATGGCGCTCACACAGTTAAAACGTGCGAAAAGATGTTATCAGCGAATAACTTTCCAAAACAACTAAGATTTTCATACTCGTAGACATATGTAATTATATAACCACCTACAGCGTTTGTACGAACATCGAGTATTTTTGTTGAAAGAACTATTACATTTCCCAAAAAAGATTTCGTAAACGCGTACAGATACTCGTACTGCGGTAATTTAACGACAGCATATCACCACAAAAGCACCGGAATCAGACACATCACAGATTCACAGGTAGAAAACCGAGAACGGGGACCGGAAAATGGGAGACAAAGCACAAAATTCCGAGCAGTCGCAATCAGTACATACACAAAATCTGCATCACTCCCAGCGTCGTGCACACCACCGACAACACCTGCGGTCCATAGGCGAAGTAATCCTGTGCCAGCCCACTGATAAACGAACTGGACAGCCGGCAGAATGATCCCACAGACTGGCTGGCGCCCATCAGCGCTCCGTGGTGGTCGGGCTGGGGACTGCGCTCCAGTAACTGCGTCATGTGGGCCAACCGGCTGAAGGGTGCCACGAAGTTGACCAGCGACAGGCTAAGAATGTAGATCCACACGTTGGTGGTGGTGGACGAGGCCAGGAGGCCCACGCCGGTCAGAATGGAGGTGTGGAGCATGAGATGATTGTTAGGATACCGCGACATAAGCGAACCGGAAGTGCAGGCCGACCCAATTACGCCGAGAAGGGCTTGCAGAGAAGTCAAGTAGCCGGAGAGCTGGGACGACATGCCGAAGTGCTCTTTAGCGTGCTGCACCTATCTCAACCCAGAAAAATAAACTGGAATACACAAATATAACAGACTCGCAGAGCTGCATCGGCGAAAGAAACCGACAGGTTAGACTTGGACTTGGACAGCGACGCTGAGTTAATTAGTGGTGTTAGCTCTTAATTCTATATTCTGTTTCTCTTTAGTCTTTACCCATTACCCATATTATTATAAAGTGTTTACAAGCGCCCGGTGTTGTTTGCAAAACCTGTAAAATGTTATCTTCAAATAATTCAGCGGAAATCTTATTTTTTCGTTCATAAGTGTATTAAGATTGACAGAGCGTAGTTATTTAAAACATGCTACACGAGTACAGGGCACCTAACTTCAGAAGTAGATTAATATGATCTTTAAAAAAGCGACAAGAAGTAGATTAATATGATCTTTAAAAAAGCGACAATTTACTATCGCGAAGTAATTTAAAAAAATGGATTATAGTGTAACTTACGTAATTCACCCGAAGAACCATGACACTGAAGGAAATGAGCAGCTGCAATAAGAAAATATCCCAGTTGTGGTACAGCGTCCCCCCAAAGTGTCCCTCCTGCTTTTTCTCCCGCTTGACCGCGTTGCCGCGCACATGTACCACCGGCAGGCAGGTGGCCACCACCGTGGCGATGGTGAAGAACGTCATGGCCGTCAGCAGAGCCACCATCTGGAAACCGTTTTCCTGCTGCGCAATATGACCGCCCAGCAGCGGCCCCAGGACGAAACCGGCGTTGGAGATGGTCATGAAGGTGCTGAAGCGGTGCGCGGCAGGAGTGTCAGGGCGTCCGGAGTGTTTGCCGTGGGAATCAGCGGCTTCCTCGGCGCTGTGCAGGTCGGCGAGGTAGGCTTTGCACAATGTCTGGGTGTGCTTGAAGCAGCCGCACAATATGCGACTGAGGAAGAGCAGGGGCAGCCAGAAGGAGAGGGACAGCAGCAGATAGCCCAGGGCGCTTAGGAGTGTGGTGAAGAGGAGAATGCGTTTCCGCCCCATCCGGTCCGACCTGGGTTAAAATTGTCGTCAATGAATAGTTTATTAATGCAGCAGTAAGTCTCAAGAAAAGCAACAAAATTAACCGAGCGCAAGAAACATTTCTCAAATTTTTATTTAATTTGCTGCTTAAATTTCATGTTCTAAAAAATAAAGCAAAGAGCTTGTTATCGCGATGCTGGCCAGGAATCCAATACAGTCTAGGAAAGTTGTTATTATTGTAAACTCACTGGTTCTCATTACCAGTTGCCCACGGTTGGACTGGAGAATAACTGACACACTCCATACAAGGAGCCCATCAGTCCGGCCATGGTGAAGGAGGATCCGACGTCCAGCGACTGCTGCCGGATTAACGGCGTCAGCATGGACACGGCGAAGAGATCGAGGAAGGCAATGAGGTAGATGATGCGGGCGCTCCACTGCGCTGTCTGCGAATCGCTTGACGGATTCGCACGGGCAGGTTCCTCATTATGGAGCTTCTCGTTCAAGGTGCTGGCGCTCTTTTTTCTCCGGTAAACATCCGTTGAAAACATTATCGCAGATTTCGGATTACTTTAGAGTATGGGTGTTGCGTAACAATCTCTACTACCTAATTGTAAACAAAACTGTAAAAACATCAAAACAATGAGAATTTTGTTTCCAATTTTCCTGGATGAACAGCACGGAAAACTAACGTAACCAGCTGCGAGAGCTGGTTGGTTGGGATTAACTTTTGCAATCTGCAGCCACTTGTTAGCGAAAAGATGACACTGGAACGGCGTAAAAAATTTCGTAAAAATTAGTGCAACAAAAAATCATATGATGATAGGAATGGGAAGAAACTACTACTTTGCACATTTGGAACTTAGAGGTTATCATTTCGATTTGCTTTGCGTACGCGTGGTCATCTTGCCAACGTCGCACTATAGCTACCATTTGCCAGTGGTTCTCATGGAATGGATTGCGCTAGTGTTAATTTGTAGTTGGCCGCTACCATGAACTTCCTCCATTACAAAGCACTATAGACTAAAGATGTTATAAAAAGTTCAGTATTTGTCGCTACTGGATGAAGGGGCCGGTACCACTGGACAGGAACACTGTTTAGGCTGAAATAGCTTCCGTGTCCAGTTGAACCGGCCCCTCTCTGTATACAAGTGCATCCTGGTGGGGTGGGACTGTGGGACTCCGACTCAGGCCCGTGGGAGAACAGTTAAGGTCGCTCCGAGTGGTGGCTTCGTCTTCTGCCGAAAGCGTTTAGATCGCTCCGATCTGCTCCTTTCGCGCTGCCTTAGCATAGTTAGCAGTTAGTAGTGGGCTGGATAAAAATAAAAAGGGATAAAGAGAATGGTATTAAACAAATTTGCAAATGGAATTTTAAATGTCGTTACCTCGCGCGCGTTGCTAAACGAGTCTGTGTCTGAAATTAAACTGGTCAGTGAAGTTTGTAAGTCTTATACGTAATATTAATGTATACAAATTCAATAAATCTGAAAATGAAACCGTTGCCTGTAGCAAACTCTCGGTTGATAGTTAAGCACTAGTTTAAGATGGAGGATATAATTACGTAAATAAACAACCAGCGTTGTTTTTGGTGCGGCGTACATTGCAGTATACTCGTAACATTTGGTGGTGCTGGTACCCCGCACGAAAGTGATGCGGAAAAACTATGCTGATTTGGTCGTGTTTCTGTATATTTCCAATTAAACTTTGCGCAAATTTGAGTGTTGCTATAATGTAGTCAGTTGGTCGTCTCTAAATCGCATCCCAGGTATGCGCTCAGATACGGACGTTTCATCGCTTGCGCACATTTTAACAGCTCTTTGCAGAACGTCCAATTTTCCAACGGAGCTGGCGCGAAATCCGATCGACTTCGACCATTGAATTTCTAGCCAACTGGGCTTTTAATTGAAGGAGAAAAATATAATAGCATAGATTTTTTAAAAGTCGTTAGTTTCAGAAATCGTGCAGAATAAACGAATCCAGAATGCGCACGTTCGCATTCTGACCGCATCACTTTCGTGTGGGGGTGTGCATATACCTTATACCTACTCTGATTAGGATTTCGGTGACCTTTACACTTCTAACCGGTTGGAAGTTTTACTATCAGTAAACTACTGTTTGTGACATTCCGTGGAACGATAATTGTCGGCTTGCATTTTACTACTGTTATTTGTGATCGATTTTAAACAGCCAGCTGTATGCGTTTTTGACTCTTGAACCGGCGTCCGCACTATAGTCACAATTATTCACATAGTTCATGGAATAAATAATACCTACATTTTCTGATTATGAAACCAGGTATATTTCTGTGTTGTTTTCCAGGACGTTGGGCAATAACAGCGGAGGTGGAGTTACATGCGAACGGACAAAACACCCAGCCGTGGAGGGCGCAGGTTGGTGAACTTGCTGCGCATCACTCAAGGTTTCATCTGTACAGTAGCCAGTAACAAACACTGGTGAGTAGTACTGTAGCAGGTAAACTGATGAAGCGACAAAGTGTGTAATCATATCCAGCCTGCAGCTAATTGCGTGAATCGGCTGTTAGCGTTGTCGATATCAGCTTGAATGAATATCACCTCGTTCTGCGGTGCTGACCGGCCACTGCAGTTTGATTTCGACGTTCGCCAACACACAGAGTGCGTGTAATATAGTGTATGGATGTTGTTGTGCATTTTCGGCATTTTCTGTTTATTGTGGCGGTTCGAAGGGTTTTCATTTAGTGATGATGTATGAATGATGGTTGACCTAATTAGGCTAACGCTGTGGTACTTCCGGTATTCCTGTTGTGATCGTTTTCGAGGATTGTTTATCATGTCCTGCTGAACGTTATTGGATTATTTTGAGCTTTGACTGTCTTCTTTCGAGGCATCGTATTTCCGCTGTTTTGATTTTAATTTGCTGTTATTTTCCATCGTTTATTGGTGTGAACAACGTGATTTGGTAATTGTTACAAGTACTTTCGAACCGGTGAGTGAAACCTGTCGCCAAAAATTGCTGTTAAGGTTATGTTGATTAACACGAGCACGAATTTGGATTTATTTTGCCGGTTGCGTTTTCAGGCGAATACTATACAGTTATGTATCAGATGATTTCTATCTAGTTCTCTTGATATACTTGGGCTTTCTTATTAATTGGATAATTGATTATTGTTTTCGACGACAATTAAAGTCGTGGATAGCATGCTAAAGGTAGCTGCATAAATGAATGTCTGTTAAACGAAACGTTTCCGAATTCATTATCTCTGCGCTGTGTGTGGCGTTGATTGGGTACTCTGCCGGTTGATGGAAGTTATGAAGTAACCTGTCGCGCGACTGCTCAGGTTCAAGGCAAAAATTAAAATAATTTGCCTTCATTTGTAAGCAAAGCGGTTGGCACTTGTCCAGCTGTCCCCACAAATAACTCGTCTAATGAGTCGCAGCGGATGCCGACAGAAAAAACAATCTGCAACCAGACACTTATGATCAGTACTTTTGCCGACTGTTAATTGAGCAATAAGTGATAACCTCTTTATAAAATAAATGAAAATTGTTTTACTTCCGATAACAACTTAAAATGCCTTCCACAGTGGGCAACTCTTTTTTGCGTCCGGGCGTTATCCCGCACACGACTAACTTTACGTTTCTGTACGCGTGCATCTTTTTAATTATTATATTTTCATGAAATATGGCTGTTTTAAACGAATATTCCAGATACGATAACTGTTGTTAAAGTCTTGGTACAAGTTTTGGGGAAATCTGAATAAAAACCAGAACAATGCCGTGGGCAATATAATGCACACATAAGGACGTTTGACAAAATGGATTTTTTCTGTTTTGATTTTTGTTATGATTTATCCAGCGCGTGCGCCTACTGACCTTATACAGTGCTTTTGTGCCTAATGCTGGTATATACTGTATTGTATTTTGTGCATTCTGTCATTCATGATGCTAGACAGATCCCCACAGGTCTCGTTGCGCTAATACATACTGTCGCTCGGAATAATTGTCATCTTTATGCCGTTGTATGCTGTAATACCTGGCCTGGTGTCTGGTGACATAGTAATCCAATATCCATCCGTGTTTGGAGAGGTGGAAAGTGGTGATAAGGGATTGTCGTCAGGAACACCGTGGCTGCACCGCCGCGCGCATTGTTTAAACAGAAAGCTTTCATCAAAAAAGTTGCGTTTTTAAATGTGCTTGTAGATCTGCCTCACGTGTGTAGTAGCATTTGTATCGATTTTTTGCTTGAAAAGGTGCACATAAGACTAACTTAGAAGACGTTTTTGTTCCAAACGATTTTGTTAACTTTGAGGTGAAACGAAATGCATTTAATACCGGTTTTTATGGCCGAATATTTTTAAACTCTCCTTACTCATTTTTATTGCAAGATTTTTACGTGGGCCGGCGAAGTAATTTTTCAGATGATGCTGTTTAAAACATGCACCGTTGAAAACCTGTTTTGTTATATACTGATGAATATGGGATTTTAAATCAAATCGCGGAGCAGCATTTCTCAAAGGAATCCAAAACTGTGTTAATAGTATTCATATATCTAAAAATATTGCTAATTAATGCAAAAGTCATGTTTTATGTAAAACCTTACAAAACATTAATACATTAATATTATCTGCATTACTAAATTCTGTACTATCTTGCTTGCAGAAATGCGAAGGCGGATATCCGTGTCCAATGAGGAAATTACGGAAATATAACTGATCACATTGCTGATGGGATAACACCAAAATAATCAGCAAATTCCTTCGGCAATTTTTACGTTGTGTGATAAGGATGCGGAATGTGCTTCCGGTAGCGGTTAGGTTCTCATGGATTACAGGTGCGCAGATACGTACTCTTCAACTATTCGCTGTGTACAGTTAAATGCTCATCAATTGATACATCTGTCAGTAAATCCGTAATTTTCATCGTGATTATCGTTCTGCGCGTGATACCGAGACAGACCGGGAGTGACAGTTTTTTATCGCCGGCTGATGTTAGTTCTGGGTCTGGTTAATTGCCGACTCTTGGCTGACCGATTCGCCACCGCGCATCATTCGCACTGCGAATCTGAGATGCTGTGAAAGTGTGCCGCTCGCTGTATCACTTTGTCACAGCAACAATACGGTGAAAATTACGTTTACGGAATAAATAACGCTTATTTTGAAATTTCTGTGGTTGACCTCCTTTTGTTAAGTTTCTTTAAATATACATGTACTGGAGAATAATCTACTATCCTTTAAAGAATTTTAGAACTTTGGAAAATTTTTTTTTGTGGTTCCCTTTTATTTTACTGAGTGCTGCCCGTACGTAGTAAGACGTAATAAGCTCATGCTAGCAAATTTTTTGAAAAACCCCGAAACAGGTTTAAATGATTTCAAAGCTACTGGATTTAGTTAACATTATGTGAAGGTTTATAGTGTGAAATTGTGAATGTGAAAGTAGGACAAATGGGACAATGGGCTGTGCTGCGATTGTATATTAAATTTAATTTGTTTGAATTATAAGTAATCGTTGCTGTTCCAACTTGAACTTGATAACGGCGCACTATGTTTCGCCGGATGTGATCCAAAATTAGTCATTTTGCTTCGAATTTAACTGACTTTGGTTACTCCAACAACAGTCAATCGTGCAATAAATTTTTCAAAGTTAATACGAGCACAACCGAATAATTTATGTACTTCTCCGTTGTTCTTTCCGCATGGCTGACCGCCTTTGGGTGTCACTTTCCTCAATCCCGCTGTTTGTTGTAAAGCACGGCAGCAAACACGCACACGCGTCTGTGTTAAATGAGCAGGGATTTTCACCGACTGAATCGGGAGTCAGGGGCGCACTTGACATTTTCCAGAGGTTTTTTCTTTGCCCACAATAGCTATGTCATTGTTACTTAAGTAGCGGTGTTGTTTGCAAGACGGTGTTGGATGTCGGCGTAAGCCAAGTGTTGACCCAGATTGTTCACTGCTAAAACTGCTAATCGGTTACAATGGACGGGATGACCTGCACGTGGCGATTTTTTGTCGACCGAATGCAGATGCGAAGAGTCAATTGTAATTGCGAACAGTTATAATGATTTCATGGGTTTCGGCTAGCGTCTGTTACATCTGTTTGTTTGCTTGTGTATTATTTTCGATCTTGCCCCTTGTTTTTATTTTGTACAAAACATTATCGAATCCTAATTAGAAAGTGTTGAGGTAGTATATGGGATCTACAACTCTTGGGGGATGTACAATACTCAGTGACTGAATAAATTTTGTTTGTGTCTCATTTTGAGAACAGCTACCCGTAGTTAAGCTTCTTCTATCGTAAATGAGAGCTCATATGTTTATATTTATTTTTACTTTTGCACGGGGCATTACAGTACAGGCATAGCTGCTTCAACTACAATATAGAAAAGTACGCAAACTAAATTAAACTGACCAATTAAATTTTTTTATCACTATAAATTATTTCGGAACGTAACTTTCCGGCCATGACTTTCAGATTTGACCAAACAGATACTGTACTGAGCAATATGTAGCCGCCAGAATAACAGTTAACAGCAAACGCAGTGACACTATAATTATTATATTGCACATCGTGCATGCAGTAATGAAATTCTAATTTTAAAAAATTAGGAATCTACTAAAAAGGAACTTTGTGCTGCGATGGGAAATTAAGAACATCATAGAAACATCGCTGGGTTATCTTTTTGTATAACGGCAGACGGCAGTCACTCTTGCAACCTGAATCTCAGCCTTTTCATGACGCTGCCAAATTTTAATTAACTTTATTAAGCGTGGTGGTAACCCGGAGATGTTTATCACCATTTTAATATTTGCACGCCCATGGTTTATGTGAACACATTATTACGGTATGTAGAAGCATTTGAAGTAGTGAGAAATAAAATAATCAGTGTTTGCAGGTGCTATCTGTATATCGTGCGCTTGCTGACGGTCAGCAACCTGTTTCATTGGATTAGTGCCCATATTGTCCTAACATACCCACCGGCACGCAAATACGCGGTGCGTTAATTAAAGCCAACCGTTTTATCTAACGAAAATTATTCTCTCATATCATTTTTTATTTTATTCTGTTAGCTTCCTAGCTCAAAAATTATTCGTGAGTTCTTTTGTTGTATTGCGTAGCTGGACTACCTGAATAACGTGGACACGCCGGAACCATGCGGCATGCCACGAGGTGAGTGCGTACACACGATGCTTAAATGAATAGATCTGATAAATTGCTGCTCAGTTTTTTATGTAGGGATCAGGCGGTAATAAATGTTCATCAGTACTTCTACTGGTGATTGTTAAAATGTTGGTGAAACAATTTTGAAGGTCTGAGCGCGCCGACGTATCTGGAATCCGGAACCGACATCAACGTCACGTGGTCTTCGGCCTATCCGCACCTGGTAACTTAGTACAACAACAGTAGTTCGTCATTGGGACGACGTCACCAATTTTTTATTCGATTTCTTCCTTTTATTGCTACGAGTATAAAGCCGTTTTTGGCAATTGAATCGCATAGTTAGCAAACACGAAGATTCAGACACCATATTCAGACACCGTCTTCCCTTGATGTTAATAAATTACTGCATCTGCTATACGAAGTATATACAGTTTGGACTTGTGACAGGGCGGATACAGTATTGATCTGCTAGACGCGAATTATGATCGCGTCAGCACCCTAGTTCCTGCGTCTCTCGCCGGTCGGGAGCCGCGCGCAAACTCCGATGTGCTCAAGTGGCAAGTGGCGCCACTCAACGAGATCTCGCGGACGGTCAGTCTGCCAAAGAGTCTCCGCTGCGACAACTGCACCTTGCGCATTGTGCGCCAGGCCCTGCAGTGGAACAACTGGACCAGCGATTCCGACGGCTTCCTCTTCCGCAGCTGTGCCGATGTCACGATTCTTCCGCAAAGTACGTCTGATTCGCAGTCAGTGCAGCTGCAAAACTAGGCTTTTAAGATTTATTATTTTTTTTGAATTTCGCTTCGAAAAATTATAGAACTGCGGTTTGGGGAATATTTCTCGATAAAGAATTATTTTATGCAATCCGCTTGGTGTACATTAGCCAAGCTGCCACATAAGTTTGATTGGCTGTCTGCGGCATCTTCGGGTTTTCTTAATACGTTTTAGGGTATCGTTGTCGCTGATATTCCTTAACACATCTTAGGCGGGAATAATAATTATCATTTGTCCGCTTTGCTAATTGTTTACGACTGTAAATGCGCCAACAATTAAGGAATTATCCGAAATCAGCGGTAAGGCCGGCTCCACGTGTATATATCGTGCAGTCTTTGTCACCCTGGCCAGCGAAGCATAGGCCAGCGAGACGCGGACTTTCACTGGCCGGGCCAGTGGACCGCTGCTACACTGTGCCCACTTGTGCATGACGAAACGATGACCCAACTAGCGCAGAGTGCATAAATGTGTTTTTATCCGTCGCTGAATGTTTTCAATGCTCCTTGCGTTGCAGTTGATGGCACTCTCAAATGCTCTAGTCACGGCAGCTGGACCGGAACTGAATGTCTTTGTGATGACCTTTACACCGGAAATGCCTGCCAGTTTAAAGGTGGGCGCTGACGTGCGTGGGCGGTTGACGCCGGTGTCGGGCCGGCGTTTATGTGCTGTTGAGTGGTTTTTACGATTTGATACGATGCTTTTTATGCTCGTTAATTCCGACCGGAAAAAAATGAAAATTCTTGAATACTGTTTTCGCTGAAAGTGTAAAAATAATTCGTATCTATCACTGCATTAATTCTTAATGACCTCATTAATAATGGCACGTTATACATATTTAAATATCGACTATTTTCTGGTAAAACTGCCCTCTGCATTTTTGAAAGCTTTGTTTTTCTTCTTATCTTAATTTGTAAGTGGTTCATGTTAATAATATTATAATTCACCATTGCATCAACGTATTTACTGGTTTTTATTATGCTGTTTTCCTAATTGTTTTCAACTGCAAGGTCTAAATCAGTAAACAATATAACTGTCTGTTGTAGAAATTTGCAGCCGTGATAGTGACTGCAATTTTCATGGACGCTGCATAAACATCGGCAGCAATACAGCGCCCCAACGGCGCTGCTTCTGCAATTCTGGATGGCAGGGAATACGATGCGCACAAGGTGAGATAGTCAGGAAACAATATTTCATTAGCGTTAATTGTCAGTCCAAGATGTGAACCGATTCCTATTGTCAACAGCGTCAAATATAATACTGTTGCCTATTGCCGCGTGCTGATGGCGCGGCGCGATAGCAGCTATCAGAAAAAGATTTTCAACGTTTCGATAGTGTAGAGTTAGACTGAATAATGCGGTGGTTCGTAGAAACTAGAAAGTTGGGAAGGCTGGGTCTGACGTTGTCTCTCCAGGTTCATCGGTGAGAATACGCGTATTCAATAAGGCCTATTATACGCACTATCCCCTGGCCGATGAACTCCATCTCTACTGGAAGATCGACAAAAGCGCAGCGGAAATGGAAATGGTCGTCCAATCCAAATCGACCTCGTGGGTCGGCATTGGCTGGCGACCAGCAGGTACGTTACGTGTTTTGCCGATATTTACTTCTTTAGCAGTGGCAACTTGCAACCAAGAAAGTGTTTATCCGCAGTTTGGATAGTGTTTTCTCTGTGGATTCTGTGAGCGACTTGAAGTCAGCTGATATAACTGTTAATTAAAGTGAAAGAGTCACGACATAAATGAAGTTGTACTACTTATAGTACTTTGTATTAATGCTTTACGAAAAAAATTCTCTGCCGTATATTTAAATTCTGATACGCGCGCAGGATCTTTTTAAAACCACATCGTAAGATACAGATTGTGGTTTTCAGTTAATCATTTATGACGTGAATTACAACTTGATTGACCTTAATAAGCAGACTATTTAGAACTATTTCCAAAGAAAATTTGTACACCATATTTTTAAATACGGCGTTCGTGAAATCCAATTTGCTAAATAATTACTATAATAACATAAATAACATTCGGTCGCAGTTGAGCGGCATATACTTTTCCGCATGACATTAAACCAAAACAATACAGTTGCTTTTCATGATCAGCAGCACAGTTCAGCACCTATGGGGAAAAAATGTGTAAATGGAGGATTAGTGAAATGTTTGCTAGTATTTCTAAGATAAATCTTTGTTCCCGGCGTAGATATATCAGCCGACTGCAAAGACTTTCCTCGCTTGCCCAACGAGACCTACTGGCCACATGGAGCCGCCGTCCTGAATCACAGCCTGGATTTGGCAGCCCGTTCCCTGGATATCCTGACCTACTCCGACAACAGCGACGCTCTCATCCGCCCCCGACGGCAGGCGGAAGGTACGCTTACAGCAGAGCGTTGCTCACTTCCGGTGGAAAGTGTTGATGAAAGGGTTTGCATAGAGCTGCATCCGATGGACTGCACGGACATGGTGGTGGGGATTGCGCGCAGCAGCTACGGTCAAGTGGGCGACTACTACACACGTGACCGCTCCACCCCGCGACCGGATGGATTCTACGGGGGTATGGAGAGTTTGTCGGCCGGGATTGTCTACGAAGAGGACGGATGGACGACGCTGCGTTTTATACGCACACTGGCCGGTAAGCGTCTGTTTTGTAATTCTTGGTCATGTCCAAAAAACCATTACCGGTACATCTGCTAATATGTTTCGGTTTTCGTATTTCATTCTTCGACATTTGCTATGAAATTTGCTTTCGAGTAATTAATTAATCTTATGCTTTTTGGGACATCTGTAATGACTAAACTGTGGCTTGTATTTGGCTACAGTCTTGTATATAAACGAATACATAAGTAATTTTTACAAAGAAGCAGTTGTTGATAATGGCGACATTTGTTTATTTAAAAGCATATCAATTCCTGAGTCGTGGTTTCGGCGGGCTGATCAGTTTTTTTGTTTAAAATACGAATGTTAGAACGAGACTCTAACACCAATAGATTTTCAAGTTATAACGTGTGTACAAAGTATTCTGTACATCCTTATAACACAAATGAATAGTTACTTTAAAATACGTCATCACATAATTATAACATAATTAGTTAATTTTTTAATCGGTCTTGTTGAGCTTCCGGATGGAATCAGACGGTAAATCGAAAACGACAATCCGCCAAAAGAAAATCAGAATAATAATTAACTGCACACATTCATTCATGACTAAGGTGTTTGCAATGTGCAGTGGGGAATTAGGTTATTTAACGTTAAGTGATTACATAACTCAGCCGCCTTCCGCAAAAACGAATCTGCCGAACAAGCGGCTGACCGCCCGCGGCATGGTTAACAGATTAACGTAAACAGTACAGCAGCATTAGCGGCACACTACCATCGCGAAATTATGTCAGACCGCGCGGCATTTGCACGGCGTGCTCACTTTCCATCGGAAGCATGCAGTTGCAGCGCATCGTTCTCATCTTTGTCATCTTCTTCTCTCCAGCTCTGGAACCCACCGATCATGCCTTTATCCCCGGTCCCATGCACGTAGTCTTCGCCCGTGGTCCGGACGCCAGCAGCCTTAAGAAGAATCCTGCCGCATACGCGCCCACGGGCAGTCCGGCGGATGTGGGCGAATTTTATGCGGCGGATCAGCTGAAGTATCACGGCAGCGGCGGGAATGACCGTGGGTCGACAGTGATTAACTTCTTCGATGAGCACGATAGCAGTAAGGAGCTGGGGACTCCGTGTGTGGGGGAGTGGCGGACGCCGGCCAACTGCCGCGGCAGCGGATGTCGTTATGTGGCACACTGGTCAGTCAACGACAGAATTTTTGCTTACGTACTTAACTAGGGAATTTGCTCCTGCTTGCATACGGAAATTTGCTTTTACACGCGGAAATTTTGTTGAAAGAAACGCATTATTATATTGATTAACGGAGTCTGAAAACATACGCTAACTGCTAGAATAATAATTGTTTAACCACTGCGAATTCGTTTGTAATCCATTCCAGATGCATAAGTAATCATGGCTACTCTTTAACTACTGTATCGTCGAGTATTTCTCAGAGCACGCAGCATTTCAATTGTATCGGATTTTACAGCTTTACCGATAACATTTTGACCATTTTTGAACGAATTACAGTTTTGAGAGTTGAGTTTTTTATGCGGATGTTTAGAGACTGGATAAAAAAATTCCACTGTCTTTATAAAATTTTACGTGAGCAATGGAAGGCAACCTAGATCGCGCTTGCAACCGTTTTAAGGAGAATTTGTACTATGGTCGCAAGATAGAAAACGAGATTTTCGAAATTCTACAGTTGTAATAAGAAGGGTTACATCTATCACTGGGCGGAAGTTTAGTAAAATTACGGTGAAAAGAAAAAAGTTATTCAAGTTTTTTCGTTGCCGACCAGGAGCGATTTGGCGGGCTGGCGTATCTTTCTACACTACTGCCACCTGTGGTCAAAATCAGTGAAAGAAAGATTGCTTCAAGAAGCGCTTCTTTCATTCTGAAAGATGCCTTGGCTTGTGGGTGTTATATACCATGCCAGTTAGCAAGTGTGGTAGGAGCAGACAAGGCTCATGTTTACACAGTGAGGACGCATAGAGCATGACAAAGGCGCTAGACAATGGAAAGATATAGCGCTGTCCCGTGAGTGCACCTGAAAGAGTGGCCAAAGTCCACTCTTCGGTGTGCACACAATCTAGTGTGGCGGCACTGCATGCGCAGAATCGGTAAGACCAAAGGAAAGCGCAGTACAAAAGAAGGTTCTTCGTCCCATCCTGAACAATTTTCGAAAAACAACTTCTAAAATCAATAACAATTCGCAAAGGTTTCAGAAAATTTCTAACTTTGATCAGACTTCAGAAAATCATTTTCAAAAGAATTGTGAAGCGTTTTCGTGGAAAATGTTTATGTACTCTTTAACAAATAAAAAAAAGTAACTTTAGGTGTAAAAAAGTTTGTTTTTTGCAGCACCGGATGGGTTTTTTTGAAAAATCGCTCCACAATACTTTAGTCATTCCATCGGAGCACATTGTTGTGCTTGAATGAAAAATTTAAAAAATCTGCTTGAATTGTTATTGCGTCCGCAAAATAACGACTTTAAATCAGTAACTTTTACACTTTAAAATACCCAAACCGAGTTCAAACTTCTAACTTATGTAGTGAAAATAACATAGTGTTTGGTGAAATGCATAGTTAGCATGCAGCACAAGGACACGCATTTCGCCAGCGAGAACAGTGAAAAGAGGTCGAAATCGGTAGAATCTCTACTTAAGGGGACGAAACGAAAGCGAGAAGATGGGTTATGATAGTTGACGGTGTAATAAGCGGTAACTCTGCCGACGCTATTTTTCACTGCGCTTGCCAAGCATTTGTACTGCAAGAGTTTTGTTTTGTGGTGGAATTATAAAATAATTTATTCGCACATGTCGGCGTTCGGCATGTTAAAAAGGTATTTTTTAAATGAAATCAAATGGAATGTGAAATGAACCATGAAAAAGTGAAATGAATAAAAGGAAGGCACATGAATCTGTTGTTTCGATATTATGGGTATTTCCGCCGACCACAGCCAAGACTCGCGTTCTCTCGTTTTAGGGAATACTTGGAGGAAATTGATTCCATCTATTTTAAAATCCAGTCCCGCTCCAGGGAAAAATGGACCGGCATCGGCTTCTCCAGTGTTCTCGAGCACATGGTCAGTGACACAATATTGTCAAACTGCCAATCAATTTTATTTGCCGAAATTTTAGTGTTCAATATCGCGAATTGCTTAGTGTTTTCAGTAAATTAAGTAAGGGCACAGTTTCACAAATTTATGAAAATACATGGGAAGATAATGGTAAAATTTCGAGTTTACAATAATTATTATTTCAAATACGGACAAATACTAATTACAAGCGAATAATTAAGGCCTTGAAGTTTCTTGTGGGGGAATAAGACAGATTCATAGTTATTATCCTCAGCCCAACTCGGATGTAATCGTGGGATGGGTGGATGACGAGGGAAAGGTGCAGATCACCGACCGGTACGCTGACGGCTACCGCGCCCCGAAGGTGGACAAGAAACAGTACCTGCAAAACATTGCCGGCAGTGCCAACGACGCTTTCGTTACGCTGGAGTTCACCAGGCCACGAAAGGTCAGTAGGCCCTTTTCTTGACTCCCTTCGCCAACTTGATAATAATTAACCGTGAGATCATCCATATCATCTGAATTAATTAATGGAGATTCGGTGGTGTTTGGCAGACCAATGACAGCGACAATTTTGATTTTTGGGAGGATAACTGCGCGTATTTTGAATTTCCCGTCGATGGTGGGCGATTCGATAAGATATCTGGTAAGAATTATGACTGCAGGTATATATACAGGCTGGTGCCAGTATATTTGGCGTAAAACAGGTGCTGGTGCTGTGTTTGATCCATTATTTTTGAAGATAAGAGGTGTAAGCGGTGAAACTTTAATTTCGTCTTTTTCATTAATGTGCCAGTTTAAGTTTGCTTGGCTTTACTTATACTATTTGGTTTGGTTACTTCGCTAAAATTTTTGAATTGTGGAACAGGTGTGATCAGCAAACACCAATATATTCCTTCGGTGTCCAAGACGAAGATCTGCATCCAGTCCTGCAAGACCGTAACAACAACCGCTGCGTCCACAACGACAACGCCCACTTCCGATGCCGGTGAGTCGCAGTCTTCTCTAGGCGTCATTCTTCTCGTGATTTTTCTGGCTGGTCTCTGTATGTCTCCTTCATCTCTGTCTCACACTGTCATGCTCTCTTGATTGCTTACAACCTTCTTGATGGTAATATGTTTCACGGTTTCACTTGCTGTTTGTTGTGAAACCCCTGAAATGAACGCGAATTTGCGTACTTCGGTCTCTGTTTGTCGCATACAACTGAATCTAACAATAAAATCGCAACAACTCACTGTTTTTCACTTGGCTTGGGCTGTTTTGGGGTGCTGGTGCTCTGGTCTGGGCTTTTCTCCTGGTAAGGGGGTTACCCTGGTTATGATTTTCTTTAAATTCTGGTTCTCATTTAAATTTGGTTGGACAGATCAAACCGAGGAAAGCGATGCCTCGGGTGACCTTATGTCGCAAATCCAAATGGGCTCGGTCGAGCCACAACTGCGGACCGGTGAGATCTTCATCCCCGAGGAAGAGGTCACTACCGAGCTTCCTACAACGACGAGTACGAAAAAGACGACCACTACCACCACGAAACGACAAACAACACAGAAGCCCAAACCCAAACCGAAGGTTCCAGTAAAAGCGGCGGGCCGAGCACTACTGCAGCCGGTGCGCCGAGCCACGAATCCAGCGACAAAGGTCACTTCGACGACCTCCACGACGACCACAGCCACGACGCCAACGACAACGACCAGCATGGCCACAGAAGAGAAAGTGGATGATTTGGTGGTGTCGCCGCAGCAGGATTCCATGGATTACATTGATCCAGGGCAGGAGGAACAGAATGCCACCAGTACAACTTTGTCACCAACTGCGGTGCCTACGACAGTGTCAACTACGAATACCGTGATGCCTACAACTGTCAGCTCAACAACAACTGCTCCGACAACAACGACAACTGTGACTTCTACAACGAGCACGACGACAACAGCAACGACACACACAACGACGACGCCCACAACGACGACACCAACAACAACAATATCAACGACCACAACAACGACAATGCTGCCAACAACAACCGCTAAGACGATTCCAGTAACGACGTCGACCGTTGCCACTCCGACAACTACAACGACGGCGTCCACGGCTAAGCCAATAACTACACCAGTGCCATCGACACCCACGACGCTAGTTGTCACTACTACGGAAAGTCTGATGATGGCTGAAGAAAGCGTTGTGCGCCCAGTTATACTGCAGCAGGTGTTCCACGACGACCATAAAGCGGCGCTTTATCCAAATATAAGCGTTGCCGTTTCGGTCAACAATGCGACTACAGTCGCGACAGCGCCCGTAACGAAGAAGCCGGAGGTTGTGACCAGTACCACGACACCGACGATGACAACGATGCCGACTACGACAAAAATATTAACGACGACACCAACGGCAGCATTAAATGTTACCGACAAGCGAACAGTTGCGATCGTTGTCGTCAACACTTCTACGACGCCACTGACTTCCATCATTACGACCGCCCAATCAGCTGCGCCGTTGATGACGACTCCCTTACTAACAACGACATCGCCCAGCTCCGGGTTAACTGCTTTATCGACGTGGAGCAAGACCATCGCGGCGTTATTAAGCGCCTCTACCAAACCCATTGTCAATGCTACATTGACAACAACAAAGCTGTCCACAGTGACCGCTTCGCCCGGTGTGACGAAAGGGTCGGATGTGAAGACGGGGCCGACGGGGTTGGGTATGGCGTTTCTAATAAAAAACGACAGCATTAGAACGCCGGCACCGGTGGCGGTGCTGTCCTCTACGACGACAACAACGGTGGCGACAACGACAGAAAAGCGACCGCCCGTGGGGGAGGGATTTCATTCGGAGTGTCGTGGAGAATGGCGATCGCCGCCCGATTGTGTAAGAATCTATCCAAACAAACAAAATAAAATATTATTAATAAAGTCGCTTAAACGGAATAAATTCTTTAAAAACTTGAATATTCGAATGAATATAAAGTATAAATACTTGCATTAAAAAACGCCAAAAAATAAATTAGGATGTTGTTGGTCTAGCCCACAGAAAAATGTGAGTATCTGGCCATGTGGGAATTCAACGTGTCATCGGGGGAGATCCAATTTTTTGTCCAGTCAGCGCACCCTGATCGCTGGACGGGGATCGGCTTCTCGTCGAATGGAAAGATGGTTAGTCGGCGATCATTCAAATGAAACAGACAGGGCTCAATTTATATGTATGTTTTGTATGATTACTGCAGCCGCAGTCACAAATCATTTATGGCTACCGAACTGGCGATGCGAGCGTTGCTCTGCTGCAAGGCACCGCGGAGGGATACTATCCACCAGTCAATGACACCGACCAGGAGATTCTGCATCCGGTTGGCTGGGTGAAAGATGGTTTATTGGGATTATCTTTCCGCCGAAATAAGACGCTGGATGGTGCATTCTGGGATGACGAAAAACTCTGTCCCTACTTCCTGTTTCCTTATACTGGTTAGTATTTGACATAGTTCGCCCAGCAATCGGTGGAGATATCGTAGCGCATTGTTTTATTATATGCATGCTACTGGAATCGTTTGGCAATAGGCAGTTTTTACGCCTGTCGGGTTATGGATTTGATAAGATTTAGAAGGTCAAGACGTCTGGCCGCACTAAGGCTTTCACAAGTTTTATCACTTACCTAAATTAATCAGAAAATTAAGCTCGTGTATGCTAAAGTTGTGTTCTGTCGGAGCATTAATAAGTCTGAAATCTATCAAATCCCTCAGGCGGTTTTTTTCGCACTGCTTTTTTTCTGTACCTGTGACATCGGTGAATACCGGTATGTAGGTGGATCGGTGGATTCGGCGTCCGGCCGCATCGGGAAGCATATCCAGACGCCGGTGGTGAGCGCCAATCGCATCTGCATGCAGCCCTGCACGTTTTTACCCACGGTTCCAGTAACGCTGGCGCCGTCTACCACCCTGCCCACCACCCAACCGACCACTGTGCAGCCCACCACTACCACCTTGCTGCCGGTCATCGAGGGCACGCCCTGCCGCGCCATATTCTCCTACCCACGTAACTGCAACGGTTCCGATTGCATCTACGTCGCACAATGGTAAGGCTAGCGTCTTTGTGGACACTGGACACATATGTGCTCTTGCTGTGCACGCCATGTTATTGCATTTCAGTAGTAAATTCTGCATTTTAATTAATTAGGGACTATATTCCGGATCGAGATGAGATTAACTTCCTCATACTGTCGAATCGCCTTAATACGTGGACGGGAATTGGTTTCTCCGACACCGGCGAAATGGTGAGTGACCTTTTGACCTTTTTGCCAGCGGAAAAAAAGAATTTTTATTATATCGGTTATGATGTAACACTTGTAACGCAATCTTTAATTTGTAATTTGTAGTGTTGTAACATTTGTGGAATATTTCACTCATATTTGCAGCCGTACTCGGATATGATCGTCGGATGGGTCGGCGGAGAGGGCCGCGCCACTATCACCGATAGGTAAAGATAGTAGAATCACTGGGTACTGATATGAAGGGACTTCTTCTAAACGTAGTTGTGCGTAACTGGATAGTAAGTACGTCCGAGTGAGTGGTAGGGTGTTAGGTTAACGGCAGTTATCGCGGCCCTTATACAAGCCAAAAAGTCTGCTGTGTACATTCATGAGATCTGCGAAAAACAGTGCACGTTCCCCACGAAAAGGTGTATTGTGTGAGATGGCTTGACGAATCAACTGTTTTATTGACAGTATTTTATATAAATTATATTGAGCTTATATTTCTATATAGATGGTCAACCGGCCACACCGAGCCCCAGCGCGATTTGCAACAAGACATTAGCCGGCTGGGCGGGACCGTGCGCTACGGCACGCAGATGATCACTTTCACCCGCAAACGCCTTACCTTGGACGAACGCGACTACCAGTTCAACGACACTAACTGCCCGTACCTCATTTTCCCGGTCTTCGGCGGCACCTACGATGAACTAAGCGAGGTCATTGATAAACACCAAGATACACCCGTGGTCTCCGATCAGCGCATCTGCATTCGCGCCTGCCGCAAACCCTCCAACGCCACCCGCAACAGCCCCTTCAACTTTCTGGACCAGAAAGCCATCTTCCTTGACCCCGGCTTTGTCTCTTCCATCACCATGACATCGAGGGGAATAACCACCTACTCCACGCAGTCGTTTTCTACCGACAGGACTCTGAACTTTCGCCCCATCAATTGGCATACGACCAACTACACGTTGAGGCCTACGGCGCCTCGACGCTCTACCAAACCCAGCCCAGTATCCAATCTGACCTACCGCACGAAAACCGCGGGGATGCTGGACAACGCAACCTTTTCCGGGGGTCCTACGACCACTCCCTCGCCGGAGGAAATGCTCCAGAAGATCCTGGCTGAAGCTGGCCTCTCGGGAGTTTCTGTGGAGGTCGTCAATCCGCCGGTGGCGGTGCCGCCGCCGCCACCGCGAACAACGGTCAGCAGTCCGCCGCTGTTGTTCACCAGCACCGTCCGCAGTCCCAACGGGACCGTCGGGGCAAACCTCGCCGCTCTGGCAACGCTCGTCCTAGACAGCAAACCGGAGAATGTGACCCTGTCCCCGCTAGCCAGCGTCTCTCCGTCATTCACCCCACCCCCCGGAGCGGTCTTATTGTCGGTTACCAGTCAGAATACTCCGGCCTTTTCTTCCCCGTCTAGTCCGCTCGGTACCATCAGCCAACCGACTGTCCCTTCGATCCTGGTGCTCCCGCCCAAGGGCAGTGGCGTGATGCATTCGGAGCCGCGCCAAGATGGACCGGAGATTAAAAGCTCGGACAACACTGTTACCGGCGTGAATTTACAGGGCCGTGCCCCCTCCGAACCTCTGGCCGCGCAGATCGGACCCCTCCCGACCACGCCTGGTTGCGTCAGCGCCGACGATATGTTCAAACAGATTTTACTGAGCATGTCATCCTCCACCCGTCCTGACACGGCTACTAAGCCTAGCCAGCCGCCCACGGGCACCATCTCCGTGACGCGTCCAAGCAATCTTCCACCGGAGTTTGATACTTCTTCATCGGTGGCTATCCCATTCATCCTCCCAGATCCCAGTGCGCCGCCCAAGTACACTCCCTGGACCACCCGGGGCGATGTGTTTATGGGGTCGGCCTCGGAGACTATTGGTGTGCGGGTGACGGCGCCGCCTACCCCGAGGAGCACTACTCGTAGTGCACTGGACAACACCACTCGGATTGCGCAGGCGTTGACTTTTAGTGAGAATGACCAGGGACAGCTGGGAAAAGATCCGCTGTGCGGGGATAACTTTCGCTTCCCGTCCGGCTGCGAGAAAGAGCAGTGTCTGTATATGGCCACATGGCGGCCGGGCAGTAATGTGGACGAAGTGGAGTTCATCATTGAGACCGGGACACCGGATCTGTGGACTGGGATTGGCTTCGGTGATGATCGGCATATGGTCAGTACTTGAAATTTGGCATTGACGGCTTTGGTAACGATGGTGTTGCCGTTTCTTGGTTGTTTCATCCGTCAAGATTTGGCTTTTACGTTATATTTCTGCATTTGCAAGCGCGTGCAAACCCTGTGCCGTGTTATTACAAAGGCATAGTATCAAACACAGCGTTTCGGTTGCGTATTGCAATAATAAGCTGAACTTTAAAGTGCGCATAATGTAGCAGAGTCACTTCATCCAGGGATACCCCTATTTAACCTTCCTCAGAGTTTTTGTATGACGCTGTTGTACGACAGGCCATCGGCCCATCCATATACTTACTCGTAGCATTTTCAGTACTCGTAGTTTAAAAACTTAGTATAGTATTAACAATTTACAAGTACATTAATAATGTTACAAAGCTGAAAAACGTGATTAATGGGCAGGTCGATTCGGACATTATTTATGGGTTCATCCGGTCCACTGGGATACCAAAAATGGTGGATGCCTACGCCAAGGACTATACGGCGCCGGTCAAGGACTTTAGCGACAACATCCGCGTTATCGAAGGCGGTCGACGCGGCAACCGCGCTTTCTTTCACTTTGCCCGCAAACTGGCCACCGGCGACAAGTACGATTACGAGTTCGGCCGCGGTCGCTGTCCCTACTTTAAGTTCCCCATCATGGGTTCCACCTTCTCCGAGAGCATGAGTACCGGGAGTATCGCCAAGCACCGACGAACGCCCATCGTCAGTCCCATGAAGATCTGCATCGCCAGCTGCAATGCCGAGCAACTAGCAGCCTTACGGGAGACGACGACCGTAGCTACCACGACGACCACCGTTCCCACCAGTACGTACCGTGAGAATTACTCTGTCTGTGCTGTTCCTGTGGCATTCATAACGTTAACTTTAAACCGAGGAGTTTTTTTCAGTCAACAAATTGTTCATATAAAACACTAAATTCTAATAAATATAACAGTGAGAATCTAAACAAATTTTATTTGTGCTCAGCAAGAGTACGAGTGTTGTACAAGCAGGCGCCTGTGGACACATTTCACTGGTTGCACTTTCAAGTTACTATGTGATATCATAATCATACGAACACTGAGCCTGTAACCCAAGCGTTTATACGAGGTAGTAATCCCAGTCGTTCGTTAATTCGCTTATTGCACGTTAATTTTTTTGACTATAGCGGCTGCCGCCAATCGCAGCCCCTCCGTAGCAAAAACGGCGGTTTTGGCCGGCACCAAAGCTGCCGGCGCAGACGGCAACTCCAGCTCAGAGAAGGCGCTGGTCTGTGCAGGGGAGTTCCGATATCCCGACGGTTGCTTGGAGGACAAATGCCAGTACGTGGCACAGTGGGAGTATTTGCCGGCCACCGACGAAATTAAGTTCGACATTGTCAGCGCCGATGTTGACAAATGGACTGGCATCGGCTTCAACGATAAGTCACTCATGGTACGTCTACCGTTACCAAAACCGTTACCGTTATTTCTCCGTTGTGACGTGTCAGCTTATGCTTTTGTTGAAAAACAGTGGGACCTAACAAAATCCAATAGGACTGTTACAATATAATTACAAAGTAGAAGGAATTACAAATAACGTAGGCTAAACTTCAGTGAATGTTGTTTTGACGCAGTCTTTGGCCGACATGTTCTACGGGTGGGTGGGCGAGGACGGCAAAGGGATGCTGATCGATGCGAAAGCGCCGGAAGGCCGCCAGCAGCCGGTGCGTGATATGATACAGGATGGGAAGAACCTCACTGCTCGGCGAAACGAGCGCTTCACGCAGCTGACCTTCACCCGCCGGCGACTGACGAAGGACAAGAATGACTTCCAGTTCACCGACGACGCCTGTGCCTACCTGCTGTTCCCGGTGAAGGGCGGCGACTTCAATGCCGACGCCCTCATGATCAGCAAACACGAGGCAGTCGCGCAGATCAGTCAGAAGCGGGTCTGCATCACGTCGCAGTGCGCGGCGCAGATGAGTACACCAGGTGAGTCTCCAGCACGATCCAGTGCTAACAGATATTTTGTTCGCGCTGTCCGTGTTAGAGATATGATCTTATAGCCTCTTGCAAGTTTGATGAAAATACTAACAGCTAACTTTCCTGCTAAAATTGATTCTGCCCGTTTAAAAGTGGAAAACTTTTTTGATTTTTCCCAGAGTATAGCGAATGTATACATACGCTCGGTTGTTTTATACGGTTTGTAACATTACCAAGCATTACCAAGCAAGTAACATTGCCGGTGTAATTACCTTACTTAGCCACTTATTTTGAGCAGAGTAAAACTTTTATCGCTTGTCTGATCGCTTTACAGAAGGTGTTTTTAGAATTTAAACAAAATTTTTGCTATCTCAAACACAGTTTAATGTTCTTTCGAAAGCGTGTTTTCTGGTTCGCAGCTTATGGCGCTCAGTATTAATCGTTACGCTACCTTTTTTGTTGGTAACCGTTATAGAAAAATGGTGTCTTTTTAACAGATGTTGGTAAACCGTCCGAGAAACGAATGCAAAGTGACTTGCCAGCGGGACAAAATTCCAATGCCACGCTTCAACCGACCACCACAACAGAAAGCACTACCATCAGCATACGTAAGTGCGCAGACCAAAATCATTACACTAACAAATCACAGCAGTATGACTTCCGGTGTTGTGATAACTGTCACTAATCACTGTTACTAATCACTGTTACTGCTGATTACAAACATGAACATGGTCGACATAAACCTTTAACTGGAAACGGGACGTTGTTGCAGCGAGTTATCTGCCGTGTGAGGGCACGTGGAAGTATCCGGACAACTGCGCCGAGCCCAACTGCATCTACGTCGCTTCGTGGAATTTCCTGGACGATGCAGACGCCATCCGCTTCGTGGTCAAGGCTAAAGCAGCCGGCTGGACCGGCATCGGCTTCAACGACGACATGGCCATGGTCAGTGCCGCTGCATGTTGTTTGACACTCAGAGTTCCAACCCACTCCACTCACCGAAACCTGTGCAAACCTACGAGCATAAAATTTTAAATTTTTAAAAATGGATTCTGCTGAACAATTTGTAGATCTGTGTATGTAAACAATCATTTTACTGAAAGCAGTATACGTACTGCATTTTGTTAGGAATGCATCTGCAATAAGGCAACTGCAACTGTATGTTCTGATTACAGAAAAACGCGGACGCCGTGATCGGATGGGTAACGTCAAAGAACTCGGTGGTCGTCACTGACCGGCACTGCGTGGACAATCTGGGCGCGCCCATGGATGACGAGCAGGACGTCTTCGATGTTGCCGGTCGTAAAGAGGTAGTTCATCCCCACGGCGCTACCTCAAAATATACACAGAAAAATAATAAAACTGAACCGAAAGTATGAACGGAATTATATTTATTCATATCACATGCAGCGATTTTGTTCTGCGCAGGATGGCTACCAAGTAATTGAATTCACCCGCAAACGCGATACTGCCGACGTCAACGCACAGGACTACATTTTTGGCGATCAGAAGTGCCCGTTCTTTATTTTCCCCGTGGTGGGCGGTGCCTACGACAGCTACGGTGGGATCCAAGCGCACAGTCAGAAAGCCTTGCCCAAGATCAGCTCCGGGCGCATCTGCGTGCGCAGCTGCAGTGTGGACGTGGCGCGCCGCATGGTGGTCACCTTTCGCATCGTCGACCGCAGCTGGACGCCGGAGATGGATTCACGCAGTAGTGCCGGCTTCAAGAAGCTGGAAGCGGAGGTCAGCGCGTCTATGAGGAAACTGCTGGGCAGTACGCCGGGCTTCCGGGGGACGCGGGTATTGAGTATGCGGCCAGGGAGTGTCGTCGTCGACGTGGAGATCGTCATTGATCCCACGGCCAATCAGACTTCAACAGCCGCCGCCAAAACCATGCGGGAGATCCTGGTGAGCACCGTCAAAACACGTCATCAGCTGGGAACATCGTCCTTCACTGTGGATCCCGACAGTCTCACCATTTCTAACGCAGAACGTAAGCGCCGTTGATTTCGTTAGCTGAGTGCTGCTTCACTGGCTTAATGAACTGCTTATCAGCTTTCTGAACATTTAATAAGCTCACACCTACTTAAAAGTGAATCCATGCAGCTAGCTGTTTGTTTTTAGACACTAAAACTAAAAAGTTATTTGTAACCTGTACATCAGTACATAGTAACATCTTTAATTTCATACATTTATGAAATTTGGCAAAATCGTGGAGGTTTCGAAACTACCATAAGACTTGTGCGAGTAGTTTGTTATTGTATAAAGCACACCTACTGGTACGCAGATAAAACACCACCTTTTACACTGCGAAATTAAGTCCGCTAAAGCAAGTGTTCTTGCATACGTTTGTGTTTGGATTTGTTTGTGGTGCTAATTTTATTGTTGGCTGGTGTTGTAGAGCTGTTTATGAACGGTGTTCCGACTGCGTCCTCAGACACCACCACCGTGGCGATGGGCAACAAGGCTCCCGAGTCGGAAGTGCGCACCTATGCCATCATTGGCGGTGTTTGCGGAATCATTGTTATCTTGTTGTTACTGGCTTTCGGCAAAGTGTGGTACGACCGGAAATCTCGCATTCAACGTCACCGAGAACGAACGGTAAGCTACTCCTTTTCTGACGTACAGATAGCGTAGCGAAACGTTTCTCAAATTTCCACATTTGCGACCAAACAGCGGTAGAATCTACAGAACGACGCATGTGCTTTGTGCTAATCAGAATGATTTTCCAGCGCAAACAGAGTCTGGACGCTGCCGCTGCCATGGAAGTCTCCTCCCGCGCCCACTCGCATCCTCATTCTCATAGTCGCCCGGGCTCCCTCCAACCGCGACAGCACTACGGTCTCCCGCAGCCGCCCTACGACCTCGTTCACTCGGAGCCGAAACGGCCGCTGCGGCAATCCAGCGGGATGATCTCGCAGATGAGCGGAAGTCTGCCGCCTCCCGACTACTTCGACCACCAGCCGCGGAAGCCCAGCAAGGGCTCGGTGGGGGTGGTGGGACAGCGGCTCAGCGCCGAGGAGAGCGAACGTACGCTGACCACCTACAGCAGTACGGATTCGCGCAAGGTGAAGAAGGTGCGAGAGGCGGAGGAAGAGGAGGACGAAGACTGGGGCGAGGTGGAGGATCTGCGCGACCAGCGCCCGGCTGATTTCTATTTTATGCCTAGTCAGCGCCGCTGGACGCAGGTTCCCGACAAGTTCAGCACGTGATCGTGCGCATATGATTGTCTTTGATGTACTCGATGACCTTAATGCGCAAATGTTTTGTATATTAAGCGAAATGGCGACGGTCAACAAGGAAATGTTTATGAACATGAGCAGTAACTGCCACACGTTTCCCAAAAGACATACTGATTAACAAATAAAGGATACAAGATTTTTCGCATATTATAAGCAGCCACGTACGGCGGCAGTTCCGGAAAGGGCTTTTTAGCGATGCTGAATGGCTAATGACGTGCACATATACGGTTACGATAATCGCACACCACATTGTACAAAGCGCAAGATTTTGACCATCCGAGTTCTCCTCTCGTCGAGAAACTGAAACGGCCTTGAATTTGATGCAATCTAATGCCCATTGGAACACATTACCCAACAAAATTGCCAATATGCTGGGATGGATGTCCGTGCGAGTAATAGGCACTACAAGTGCCGGTGATGGTCGGCCACGTGCACACCCGACCCGAATTGTAGTTTGTCGTTCCGTAATAAAGAAACTCCGAAGAATGGCCATTGTCGGAGAAAACAGGAACATGTGACTGTCACCGTCTCGCTTTTAAACAGTTTTTGTCGTAAAGCTTGAATAAAATATCGCTTGTGAGTAACAGTGCTGCGTTACTATGCGTCGCACAAAGCGATGGTGGACTCAAGCACGTAGCAGCCGATCAATAATGCCGGTCGGTGCAGGTGTGTGGATGGAGGTGGGCACAGTATTATGGCCATGGGATGAAAATGGAGCAACACAGATCTTCCAGCGCCTATGACTACATGACTTCGGCTACCGTACCTCCGTATCCTGATTTACCTACAAACCTAAGTAACATACCCATTATAATCAATGTGGTGCGCGTGCAGTACGTGCATGCACGTGTTGCAACTTTCCAAAAACGGTCGTCACAGCGTTTTTAATCTTAATCGAAAAACAACAACTCTTAGCTAATGACACTTAAACGGTGTATTTGTCAGATGACTGCAAAAATTTATCTTTACTTGTTCCCAAATGTGGACTAGCCGCTCTTGAGATAGTCAAAATGAGTCGGACATGGTCAAAATGAGTCGTTGTATTCCGTTGTCGATCCCAAAATTAAGCGGATGAATGGTTTAGCTCGCTGTTAGTGTTGTGGATTGGATATACCTACCTATGCGGCTGTGCCTTAATTTTAAGGAACCATTAACTTTATATTTATTATGCATGATATTAGACCAACAAGTACTGTAAGTAAGCCTTACTTTGTCGTTGAGAATAACGAGCCAATGTTTGTACGCTACAAAAAAGCAAGTGTTCTAAACTGGAAGCTTTGCGAAACCGATCGTGATACAGTAACCGTTTACTAAAATCGCTTATTTACTGATCGATTCTGATAATAAATACTTATTAATATGTAGTCAGTATGAGTAGTACTTATAATAAGTACCTACTTTCCGGTGCTTAATAATACTGTAATAAAATAATTTTTGTTAATATTAGTCATTGGTTTTATTGCGTTGTTGTTGTACTTGTACATAGCACTACATTGTAAAGTCGCGAGCACATGTATTGTACGGTACGAGTACTAGTAAGTACACTTAAACGCTACAGTGCCTTACTGTGGCGAATTCCCCGGCGGATGCTGTTGCTTAGCAAAGTCCTGTATTAATTATGCTCACTTTGAGAGTAAATAGTAACTCGATAATAAATCATTAATGCGTAAAATTATTGGGAATACTTTTAGTTAGCACCTACATAATATTCCGCATTGACGGAATAGGCACTTACTGTAACCACAAGTGTGTGCAAAATAATAATACTTATTGTAATTTCTAATACGTGCTGACTTGCAGTTACGTACTTAATAATTATTCATGGTTTTCTTAGACACTAATAATATTTTTATGCTTTTGTAAACGGTGAATCGCCTGCAATGCTAAGCGTCGAATTTATTTAAGAAAAACTCGAATATCGATAAATATACGAAGAGCGCGCATTGGGATTATTTAATTGTAGTGTGTTGGATATAATGACGTATACGTAAAAGTTCTGGCAGTGATTGTGAATGGAGAGCCCCAAGCCGCGTCCCAGCGACCCCAGCGGCGCAGTTCCTCCGCGACGTCCCTCGTCGGCCAGCGGCGGCCCGGCGCAGCTTCCCTCCGCACCGCATCCCTCCGTCCACACCGTCCCGCTGACCCTTCCATACGGCTCCAACGGGCACACTCCCAGCCGACTGGAGCACATCGATGACCATTATTCCATGATCTTCCGGCGGAAGTACGAACGCCTCGACTGGCGCAAACTGGCGGCGCTGGATCTAGAGAAGGTCTACAAGTCGCAGGATGTCAGGAGTCTCCAGGAGAATCTCACTCAGCTGGCCTTTTTCGATCTCGAGGAAGAACTGGTACACAATCGAGTAACACACTTCGTTCTCTGCGGTATGCAGAATTTTACCTGGCTTATATAGTACAGTTTCGAACATTTATTTGCTTTATTTTTGAAATTACGTATTTTTCGTTCTGGAATACTAATTGTAGCTTTGCAAGTGCTATACTTCTTCAGCTATAGTGCCTTTGCGCGCACAAGCATTCACTCTGTACTCGCTTAGCGAGTACAGAGTATTTTTTGAATGAAATATATATACTTCTAGTGAATGTATTTTTTGCTCAACATTTTCCTCCATAGTTAAGAATGGGACAAAATTTTTCAGTCATGGTTTTTCGCATTCATTCATATAACAAGAGTTGACAACCCGTTTAATGAGACTTCAATGTCTGGTCGGTAAAAATATAGATAAATGTTAAGAAAAAGAGAATATTCAAACAGATCAACCGTTTTCAGAACAAATGTTAAAAAACCTACACCGCTAACACTGAGTATTGCCATGTTAACGTTTTGAATCCGCTCAAAAACGTTTTTCAGACGCATTGCCAGTGTACTTTTTCCGATTTTCTGCTTCGCTCTGGCTTGGATTCGCTTCGGTTCCCGGAGGTTATAATGCGATGACAAAATCCTTAAAAGTTGATCATTTCGACCAAATAGGGCGGTGGTTTGCACACTTCCTGGTTGCAGATCTTATACAACCGCACTAAACATTGTGCAATGTACAGACTGTACAGGGAATTGAGATGCAGTAACTGTCATCCTGAGGATTTCTAATTGTTTTGGATTCTACGTCCAGAAATTATTCCATTATCGGCTGGACAATTTGATGTTATCACAATCTTTATCAGAAGAAACATTTCAATAAAGCTACCCTTGGATCTTATTGTTAATGTAGTTAATAGTTAATACATAAGTGTGCTACAGTACTTAACCTAAAGCGTGCAAAACCAGTGTCTGTAATATAAGGAAGTGGAGAGTAGTTAAAAATGTATAAGGATATTGTGCAGTTTTGTAGCTGTCGCAAAGGTTACTGTATGTGGTCAGAAAAACAGTTTCGGTCTGCGTTTGCCAGCTGTACAGATGCTGCACCAACCATAAGCAATGAACCGAGCGAAAGTTACGACAATTTTGAAAATGAACCAATTTTATGTGCAACTAGTCAGTTTACGAAAACTAATTAAACCGCACTAATAGACATAAAGAGCGGCGAGAAAAACTAACCAGAAGTTTATTTGCGAAAAAAAGTTGCGTACAGAATGGAATGGCCACCTTTGAATTGTACTTGTTAACTTACGCGGCGGTGAGTCACACCCCGTAACTGCAATACAAAACCCAGTCAAGGTTCTACCCCATACTTCTACCCTATAATTCTTCTTCTTCTTAACCATAAACTTTGATTACTACACCTTAAGCTGTTCGGCTTATATCTACGAGATATTTTTTAGAGATCGGTGGAGATACATCCGCAGTTCGTAAAACTCTTCCAAACCATGCAGCTGTCGCTGGAATACCTTCTTTACGTGCAAGACCGTTTGCAGCGTGACCTTTCCACTCTCTCCACCTCCACCACCACTCTGATTGAGGAAAAAGACACTGCCATCAGCAGTCTGACTACCGAGGTATGCCAGTTGCGACAAACACTGGACACCAGCCGTGACGAGTTGAAGAAGCGCCGCAAATTGATGATCGCCCAACAGGAGATCATCAACAGTGCCGCCAAGGGCAGCTACCACAAATGTCCAGTGTGCGACAAAGCCTTCATCGAACGCAAATACTTGGAGACACACTTCTGCCGGCGGCATCCCAACGATGACCTTTCCAAATACTCGGCCAGTGTGCCACAGTCCACCAACGCCTGTCGCCCGGAAGAGCAGAGCGTCGTGTTGGAGAAGTTGCAGACGCTGTTGCAGGAGGTGCAGCGGGTGGCGGAGTGTCGACGGGAGGATCGAACCGGTACGGAGCTCACGGCACAGGTAGAGCAGCGGCGCGATAGTCAGGAACGGACGAGTGTAGCCATGGTTAGGGATGAACGGAAGAGTGTAATGCGGGACGCGGCGTGTAGTGAAGAGCGGAAGAGTGGGCCGCCACAGCAGCAGCGCTCTAGTCAAAACGAACAGACCATCTTCGGCCTTCCCAGTGGCGTGGCCCATTTGGTGGTCCGCGAGTCGGCGCAAACCAGCATCGGTGCGGGAGAAAGCTAAGCAAATGCGCAATGAGAAATGACAGAAACTCAGAATCGCGTATTGAGAATCAGTTGAAATCAGAAAAGAAATGTGGAACAACAGCAGTAAGATAACGTTGGGCTCGCACATGATATCTTACAATTAAGACCACGTAAAATTATCGCCCATTTTGTATGATATATATAATATGTGTGCGCCGTGTCGTGAGCCAATCACCGATTTGCACGACAAACATGATCATACGATATATATGCTCGATAGCTCAAATACAGAACGTTGTATGCATAAATCGCCACCGCTTTTTCATTGGTTTTTCTTAGGTTTAATGTTAAAAATTATTATACAATTTTGAAAAACTGCGGCAATAGCAATACCAGTGTCGACGACAACCATGGCCGTGTCATGGTGTGTCTACGACGCGGGTGTTGCTACTATTGCTGTAACTTACAGTTTGCCCAAAATCAGTGTTTGTGTTTTAATCGTTTTGTTGCGCAAACTCAACAAATTACTGGTTACTAAAACTTCGAGCATGACTGCAAAGCTGGCTTACAATTGTCGCGTTCAACTTGTAGGTGCCGATACACGGGACGCTTGTGTATTTGACAACGACACCGAATCCACGCCGGAACCACTCCTTCCGAAACCGTCTCCTCCCGCTCAGAATCTCTTAGAGTTGTACGGTCGCCAACAGGCCGAAGTAGAGCACCTACGCAAATCCCTCACCGCGCTCCAGTGCCACTATGCCGAATCCGAGAAAGCCTTAAGCGAGCTCAAATCGGAATGGCAGAAACTGGTTGAAACCCGCACAAAAGACACTGACGACACCGTTGACACTGTCCACCGCCGTGTCACAGATTTGGAAACGAAGTTGCGCTCGTCGGAATCCGCGTGGCAGGTTCGGTTAAATGAGACTCACGACGAGCATCAAAACTCCTTAACCGAACTGGAGCGCAGTTGGAAGAAAAAAGCGGAGGATGACGACAAAGCGCATAAAGCGGAGAAACTGCGTCTGCAGATGATGAACGAGGAACAGGAGAAACGGATTCAAGAACTGGAAAAGCGGATTGCAGGGTTCACAGAGCGACCGGCCGGAGGGGGGTTGCAGGTACAACAGGTGCAAGTGCACAGTCGAGTGCGGAAGAATCAGGGCAATCTGACGCCGCGGCTGTCGGCAGCGGTACAGGCGCATCCCGCTATGCTGACTGATCTCAAGTCAGAGTTGGAACGGGCGCTGGATAAGAAGCTGGCGGAGTACGGCATTCAGAAGGGCACAACGACTGTGTCTGATCGCGAGCGGGATGTAATTTTTGGCCGGTTGCGCGATGAACACAGTCAGCTGCAGAACAAGCTGGCGAAATACGGGGTGAGTTCAGCGAACCGAGCGAAGCGCACCGGCATTTTCATAAATTAACAGTCATATATAAGTAAAGGGGAAGTTAAGTTTAGACTGTAAGTTTCTGTTTATTTAGTTGCAGTACTGTATAAGTTTTAAACTGGTGCTTCATTAACCTATCAGCCTTGGGTGCTTTGAGCAGGCGGCGCGCAGCACCATCGAGAACCATATCCGTGACCGGCCGCCGACGGAATACTCCAGCACCGAACTCTTGGATGCTGCCAGTAAGATCCGCATCCGAACACGAACTGGCCGTCAAGTGATTGGCGATGACAAGTCGCAAAAGATCACGGAAATCACCACCTACAACATTACGCCCATGCGCTCGCCGGACATGTCTGCAGAGCGAAATCGTAAGTACAATACGGTTACAAGTATCTCAGCGAGTACTTGCTGCTTACTAAAGCTCACCTTCGTGCATAACCGCGAGTCTGCTCGGTTACAGCAAACAAAGCTAAAAATATTTTCTTTTTTGTAAATTTTTATTTACTGACATACTATAAGCTGCGGGCTTTCAAGCTTTGTATGAAACAATACGCTACCGCAAAACCGCCAGTACTGTATACGTCGCAAGCAAAGCGAAGGATGTAGGGATGTAGCTGGTGCTGCACAAGCATCACTGGTAATGGAATAAAAGCAGTGCATTTAAAGCATTGTCAGTAGTTTCTGCTGACGATCCTACAGTAAACAGACCCTATATGAGTTTTGTTGACTTCGTTGTTTAACTGGTTCTTTGAACTATTTTCGAAAATTTAAACCTTTAGCCACAGCGCAAAGCAAGTGCTGGTGACAGTTCTGATGAACCATCTTTGAATTAGCATTTACAGAGTAGACTATGTAAATCTACAAGATCTACGAGTACGAGTGTACAAAGTGAGTTTTTAACATACAGAAACCACCCCAAAAGCTGCGTCAAGAAAAGTCCATTTCGACGACAGTCCACAAACCGCTCATTCGCCGCCGCGGTTGTCTGCGGCGTCGGAGAAAACTCCGGACAGCGAAGACCATGTCATACCAACGGAACTGTCCAAGCCGGTCAGCAACACTAATAATGCCGACGACGAAGCCTGGTTTACCGACGAAGATTAAATGCCGCCACACTCCAAGTGATTGGCTGGCGTCGCATAAATATAAGATAACGATTACAACCAACTGTTTTTGGACTGTCCTTTCTCCAGTATTGCCTTTTCACTTTTCCTGGTTAGATAAAGCAAAGTAGTAGTACTCATGGAAGATGTCATGAAGTACAGTACTAGATCAGTTTCCGAAGAAATCCTACCCTGTTATTTAGTCTGCGTGTGTTGGTTTGTTGGCGCCGCTGTTTGGCACCAACTATGTTGTTTTTGTTTTAAGTTATCAGGTTTTCATATTTGAATACTGCAGTAAAATTAAAAAGTCAATACACCATACAAAATAGATCAAAGAAACAATAATAAAGTGGGCAACAAACCGAAGGTAGAAACCATAAAAATAATAAAATGGTAAACAAGAGCATTTAAAACACCTGCAGCATTACTAAAAAGAGAAACGGTTAAAAGTAAAACAAATGATTAAAACTTCAATAGGCAACAGCATTGAACAAAAGCGAAGAAACGAATACCGACCGTATCCCTCGTCGCTCAAGTGGTCCAACTCGGTTTCCTCCTCCGTCTCAAAGACAAACGGGTACCCGGCATTCGTCGTGCGGTTATCGACGAAGATCACATCATCGATGCTGCGAGGAACATCCGGCGGCGTAAGGGCGACGACTGTTGGGATCGCGACGGCAGTGGTTGTCGTGGTGGCAGAGGTGGTGGTGATGTTGGGGGCCATAATGAGATCTCGGCGCAGATTACACAGATCGGCATCGCGACAACATCTCACGGTGTTGATATGGGGCTTCACGTAGTTCCCTTCGCAGAGGAAGGGACGCAGCGGGGGAATGAGGGATTCCTCATCGAGGCAGCCCCATACTGTCACCACCTGGTTGTGCCTGTCTGTCCAAGAGCGCGTAAAGCAGCGCCCTTTTCCGACGGTAGTGCAGACACCGTCTGGACAGTTCCAGCAGTGGCACCGCAGGCCGCAAGATGGAGTCCACAAGGATGCCATAAGCAATATTATGCAAAGAAGTCCTGACATCTTGGTCGATAACAAATTAATGGAAACGAGATTTCAATGTCGATCAGAACTAACAATATAAAATGTCAGAAGTACGATATCATTACGAAGACCGGACGAAAGCAGTCGGCGTCAGCACCCAGGGTCAAGCAGGTGATACTCGTGATATGAATCGGCGGCAGTGAATATGGTTCGGGCTGCCCGAAAGAGAGTTGCACGTGCTTTCTATCTGCAATTACGGCATTTTGACACCTCCTTTCATTCCTTTTTTGCTTGAGACTCTGCAGGTGTTGCAAGAGTTTCAGGTGCAGTTCCAATTATTAAAGGTTGACTGTCATTCATAGAGTCTGTAGAACTAGTCCTCGGGCTGCGGACTAAACCATCCGAGATACATATTCATAAGGTTGCGTTAAATTGGTTGCGTAGACAAACTTAGCGTAGATTTATACAATAATAAGAAAATAAAAAAGTAGTGTACTTAATAAACTGGCTACACTGTACGTTTATGAAAATTAATTGTAGCAAATTAAGAAAGACGTTCGTACTCGTTGACTGCTGGATTGTGTAAATTCACTAATTCAGATAGAGTACTGCTCGAGTTACTGACGTGACTTTATACGTACAATACAATAATTATACTAACTGAGTAACTCGTACAGTGTACGATTGAGAAGTACTAACTTACTAAAACTTACAGAGACATGGTTTTAAACAAAAAGATTGTGGCTAGAAAAGTACGGATCTGCTGGGTTACCTGGGTATGTATACGTAGGTGCAGATTGTCCATGTCTCTTCCCATGAGACTAACCTGGTAAGCATGTCTCGAAATGGAATTAACATGCAGCTGAAGTCACTGTTTGCGGAAATTCCTTCTGGTTTACGGCATTACAGCACAGCATAAACCCAGAGCGAATTTGCGCAAACGGTCATGGAAGTACTCGAAGACCCAACGGTTGATGGAACCCATCTGGGTGGAACCGTAAGATGTAAGGTGATGCGAAGAAGTCATACGAGTACCGCAGATTCGGCTGATGGATTTCAGTTTTGTAAGTTCGTTGTGACTTGGCACTACTTACGCAGATTAGGCTGATAACACCGGTAGAATCACGCTAAACATTATTTTCTGTACATTCATGTCATTCGGCAAAATTAATATAGTTGCGTACCGCGGCAGGAGCGCTGGGACAGCAAAATCGACAACGGATTCCCAGCAGACGTCAAAGCGATCGATGAAGCGCGAGATCTTCTGCTTTCCCGGTTGGATCTCCATGGTCCATATCTCCGTGTTGATTGTGCGCAGCAGATGATCCTTAATAACCATTAAGTCTGTCGAAGCTTGCTTACTTTAATCTGTATTTGAACACAAAGGTCAAAGAACAAATGTACGTATTCTGCAGATGCACAAAAATCTTGATGCGTTAATGTGCTTAGTAGTAAATCAGTCGAACAATGCTAACAATACGCACTTTACATAAAACTGAAACAAATGGCGAGACTTTTGCAAACATGACTCCACAGAAACCTTTGCGGAAAAACCTTGGGTACACCTTTTGGAGCGCCAACAAGTCCAACGTTCACTTACGGACTCACGGTCACGCTAACCAAAAACGCTAACCTACCAAAAACAGCAGAATCTACCTGCAACCGGATGATGATCTATATTCCGGGCTTTGTACTGTGGCAACGAATTTATTGCAGGATCATCGGAGCTGAAGCAGCAGCAATAGAATAGTGCAGAACACAGATATTTAAATGTACTTACTTGCAGCTGCCTGCAGGGTGTGCGGGAGCAACGGCAGGAATACCATCGACCCATTTCAGCATCTATAGCGCCGGCTAAAAGCTGGAATCAGACACGACTGATGTGCAAATATTAAATAAGGCTGACGGTAGCTTACATGACGTATGTACGGTATGTACAGTATGTTTAGCGCCCGGGAACGTGTCAATCTGCCAAATAAATGGTACCACCTCTCATGAGTCAGAGCCGACAGATATCGAACAATCCTGCCGCGGAAAGCGCATCTGGCGTTTTCGGGAACCGAGAGAACACGTCCCATAGAATGCATATTCTGTTATACGTAATATTTTAAAACAGAAACGAATGCCCAACTAGTACCCAGTACGAGTAGCGAAGAGAACGCAGACAAAGAATCGTTGTGGCGGTTACTGTAAAAACCTTCGCCTGCGAGGTTTGCACGGTAAGGGCGTCCAGTCGCTTGAAAAGAAATTTATCCTTTGACATTTGCTATTACCGAGTTCAAGAAGGTCTATCCACATCCGGGAGGAAGACATTGCCGTACTCTTCAAGCACCGGCGCTTCTCACTGTCTTAATGGAATCGCAGTTCCTCGCGCAGGAAGCTGAAACCGGTATATTCAGGGTCCGCGATCTGGCCCCACTGGATAGCAGTGTGAGCATTTGGTGACTGGTCTGGATGTGACAATGGATGGCGCGGGAGATGTTCTTCGAGGGAGATCAATCGTGAAAGCATCCGAAATCGCCGGTGGGATGAAATTTGATTAAAAGAATCGATGCCGGCAAACGAGTGGCCAATGGTAAAACGGCAGCTCCGAAATAAAAGCGAATGGCAATCAGGAAGACAGGGATACGTCCTTCGAAGACGTGAAGTTTAGTGGTAGCTAGCGCAAATTAGTTCCGTTTATAATTATACTGCAGCTGCATGCAGCGGGTGCGCGCTGATTGTAAGAACAGCTGTCCGCGAATGCCCGTAACGTTAACGTGGGCCACCGGAAGACAGATTTTATTTTTACCAGCGGCTTGGGTAAATCAGCCATAATGCTTGTCGTACGACCGTATGAATGCTTACTCTTATAATCATTGCAGGTTCCGGGTTTGTTTGCAATAACTGTTTGCATGCTACCAGGATTTTGGCTCTCTAAGGAAAGACATTGATTACTGCCCACATATAGAGAGTTCAGTTAAAAAAAATTCGTTCATCGTTCACATAACCCCTTTATATATTAGTATGCGATTTTCGATTTGCGAACGCCAAATGATGAAGAGGATTACCACGATGGAAAAGAGCAATTTGTTACTTTTTCATACCGAGACAGCCAAGCAAGCGTTGACCTGCGCCATGCAGTGCACTCTCTGTCGTCACCGTTTATGTAGTTAAGTAGTTCGATTTTAATTAGATAACTGCATGATAGGTTCCATTCACCACCGAGCAGCTTTCATGATGACAATTCATTTTCAAGCCATCTGCAATACTTGTATGCTGGCGGATTGTTAGTTTCGGAAAACTGAAGCAAAACTGCATGCAGAACCGGTTCTGTGCAACAGCGATGTTCTAGCAAACCTAATTCGACTTACGTTTTTGGATATTTCAACAAAAAAAAGTGCCAAAAGGCTACAAAAAAAGTCGTTTTCACTGAGCAGGGAAGCTTGACTTAAAATTAATCTACTGAATCACCGCGCCGCGTGCCCGGATCTTTCCCTGATTGGGAAACGGATGATGCTTGTGGTTCCAGTCTCTGCAACCGAACACGTAATAAAGTCCATCGTTACCACACTGACCATAAATTTCGATTTTTTCTCAACGGTAAATCAACACTGTTTTTCGAAAATAAAATATGAAATTACACTACAAAACTTGATTAGCTCGCGCATTCGCGCCGCCGCCAGCTTAATAACTCAGCTCACTGGTTCATGGTGCAGGCGCGAGCGTGTCCACCTTTGCACAGCTGGGTCAAGGCTTGCTGATCCGCAGCGTCCAGCTCAAAGTCAAACAACTGCAAGAAAAATCCAGTGACAAAGCCAGCAAAGTGAAGATACATTATTATTTAATCGAAATTGAACAAGCAAATTACCTGAAGGTTTGCCTGCAAGCGCTCTTTCCGCACGGACTTGGGAATTACAACGTAGCCTTGTTGCAGTAAATACTTCAACAAAATCTGTAAGAATTTACTATTTCTTAACTGTAGTGAAACTATTTTATTGCTTAATAAGTTATTATTTTTTCAGATTCCATAATCATAATAAGTTCAAAATCGATGTAAATCTGTTCTTCATCGCGATTTCTTAAAAATGTTTGGTTAGAGGCCCTTCCGTACTGCTTACGCTGAGGAGTCACAACAATACACGATCGTCTGTAATTTCCAATAAGTACATGTACTCGCTAGTCGGCGATACATAGACTCACCTGACCGGGCTGTTTTTTGTGCTTCTCGGCAATGCCCTTCACCGAGCTGTCCTCCAGGGGCGGCGGGTAGTCACTGGTCAAGCCGTCATCCGGTCGGTCGAAGCTGCCCAGCGGCGAGTAGCCGACGATGGTGATGTTGTGCTGTTTGCAGTACTGAATCAGCTCCTTATTCTGGTTGTAAACGTGCACTTCGATCTGGTTGACGGCGATCGGCAGGCTGCTGATGGCCTGGATGCGCTTCAGCTGCTCCACGTTAAAGTTGGACACGCCGATGTCTCTGGCTTTACCGGATTTCTGCACTTCCTCCAGTGCCTAAGAAATAAAAGGATATTTTATGGAAGATTACTCGTATGTAAATCAAAACCGCCTAAGATCAGTTTAGTGTTTCAACTTTTGCGGAATTTACCTAAGTAAAAAGCGAAATCAGGACATTAAATGTAACGCTGTACTTAATTTCAAGGTCAAAATATTTAATGCAATGTGCGGCACCACTTGGATACAAAAAGGCAAATCACAGACATGTCTGACTGATTAGATTACGCTCTGGCTTCAAGCAAATATTTAATAGTTATCAAATTAGTCTTCACCTGCCAGGTTTCTACGTAGTCGATATCGCTGTGCTGCATTTTGCCATCCTTGTCCCATGGAACGATGTCGCCGCCTTCCTGCATATGGAATACTAGTAATCAGTGCCGCCCATGGTTTATGACAGTTTTCGCATTTTAGCTGCGGTTGTTATCTGGATGCATGTTAGTAACAAGCACATATCTTCTTCACTACTTCGAGTAGTGCACTAAGCCTGCGCTAACAGATTAAAATTAAAATCTACAACGTAAACCAGTACATACAATGGAAACCCGTTGATTAAAGTAGAAATCAAAAAAAGCCTATCAAAAAAATGACGAATCAGAATAGTAAGTAATCTAGGAGTAGGAGCAATAATTTGACTGCACATTGCAGTGATTGCACCAAGCTGTAAAAAATGGACCCAATGTAAAATTAAATGCAAATTACCTATACGATTGCAAACAGAAGTGTATATACAACACAATAAGCAGGTTGCGGTATCAACGAAGGGGTACGATTGACGATAGAATTAACGACGGGGTACAATTAACGAACATTTAAACGGCAGTACCCGTCGTTATTAACGAAACGAAGGGGGTATCGTTATACAACACAATAACTTTTTATCAGCTTTACAATTAGCAGCTTCCGTCTCATAATACTGCTGTACTATTGCTACATTAACACAAACTTGCTTTGCCGTGATATCAATATGCCGGTTTCTTAGAATGCTTTCTTTCTTTCTTTAGCGCTTCCTTACCAGATATCCCATGGGCCAGTGGATGATATACAGATCCAGATAATCCAGTTGCAATGATTTCAGAGTCTCCGCCAGGCCCCTCTTGACGGCTTCTTTGGAATGGAAAGTATTCCATACCTAATAGAAAGCCAGGATAGGATGAAATAAAGTCGAACAAATCAACGTTTTCCATACAAAGTGTCGCACATAAAAAAAATTATAAAAGCGAAAAGTAAGTTACAAACAAAAGTGAATATAAATAATTGTGAATAAAATGAAAATCCAAAAACTAAATACGAAAGAAAACTATATTGTTCTGGATTTTATTTTTATGAAAAAGATCGTGTTAAAAAACGCGCAAAAATGAGACAGGAGCCATATACTTCTATTTCAAGAATATTCAGCAAAACACTACTCGTACAGCAATTAGGTTTTTAGACAAATACTCGTATAAACACTAACAGAAACTGTTGAAAAACAGATCGGCACAAATTATTAATGATTGTACAATAAAACAAGAGCAGGCAATTGCAGTAAATATTAGAGAAATCAGATCTGTTGAACTCAAGAGCATCTGGCATGTAGCCACTTGCTATGTACTCTGTACATTTAACATAATAATTTCATGACGAAATGCAAACCGCTAGAGGCCGTTTGTTGGCGTTCACCGTTACGACTCACTTTGCTGCAGATGAAGAGATCTTCCCGTTTCACCACACCTTCCTTGAATTTCTCCGCGAATGCCTCTCCGATCTCATTCTCGTTCTGGTAGATAAAGGCGCAGTCGAAATGTCGGTAGCCGACGTCGATAGCGTCCTTGACAGCTTGCTTCACTTCGCCCGGTTTCGACTGCACACAAAGCGCAACCACAAGTTTAAGCGACCAGATTCTTCTTACCGGCGCTTCATGGGAATATTACCTTCCATGTTCCCAGGCCGACAACGGGCATGCGAGCACCGGATGGCAGTTGGACGGTGGGGATCTTCGGAGCGGAAGACATTGCGGTGAATTTCGTAAAACTGCAGATTCGATTACAGCTGCCGCGAGCACGTAGCTGGAACACGTTCAGTCCAGGCGAGAGAGCAAACTGTCAATTAAATAACATTCCACATCGACCGTAACCGGCTGCAGAAATGTTGAGCTTAAACCCGGTGTCGGCCGACCAAATGGCAAATGCTACAATGATAACAGAATATTAATTTAGTGATTGTACGATTACGTAAGCGCAAAATCAGCTGACAAAAACTGGAACCTGGATCATTGCAGGCTTTTGCAGCCAAATGAAACTGTCAGCGCCATGACGCATCTTGGGAGGCGGTGCGAGGCGAAGCTCGATGCAAAGAGATGGCCCTCGGCTCGTTACTACTGAAAAAAACTTTGTCAGGTAAAATTACTAGTATAATACCTAAATCTTCTCAGTTCTCAGTTCTCACTGAAGTTTCTTGCGTCATCTGGTTATTCTTTACTTTACAAGTCGTTAATCTGCTTATTTGCTCCTCTTAAGACTTGCTTGTTGGAGGATTTTAATTTGAGGGAACGCCATGATGTTCGGGCAGAAGCAGCATCAGTCGGAGGACGAACTAGAAATGGAACGGCAGGCCGCAAGCGCAGCTGTACAGCAGAATGTGATCGGTTCGTCGTTAATAATTTCTTCTTCTAATCTTCTTACAAGAAAATTATGAGAATTTGAGATTATGTTATTTATATACGGTACCCGCTCTAGCACGAACTTCTTGTACGCTGTACCGTTTACCTACCCTGTAGCTTAAATTGACTCCAGAAGTGGACTTTTGAAATTGCAAAGAAGTTTATTACGATGGTAACTTGATGCTGATTGTATGATTCTCCGTAAACGGGAATACGAGTAACTAATAACTATGCAGTGCGACCCAGTGCCATCCGCACCGGCACAATTAAATAAACAGTAAAAGTTAATGAAAGGTGTAAATACGATAAAGTGTAACAACCATAATGCTTCAAGGTTTGTCATGTTTTTGACGCGCAAGTAAAGGAATGCAGTAAGTTGGAAAGTGTAACTCTTACCGAAAAACTCAGATCTCTGTCTTGGTATAAAATGGTATTACAGGCTGTATAGTATTCAGTTAACCTTAAAGACGTGTTCGGGGTGGTTAATCAATAATCAATTAATGCAGATTTTCTTTTTTCTGTAGCTTTCGCCCTGATTGTGGGATTGATCAGACTTACGCCAATGGCTCTGGACATGCTCTCCAATTACCTTTAAACTTTGATGTGACTGTTGTTGTATTTATTGTGTTAACTGCAATTTTCCTGTCGTGGTTTCTTAGCTTTTCTGTTTGCCAAGAAATAGCATTGTTTGGAGTTTTTTAAATGTTACTACAAGTATTTAACAAGATGGTGCAGCAGTACAGTTAATGGAATATCGCATTTTGTTGCTCATATCAACATGAGAAAATTAAATTGGAGCAAATACAGAGACGGATTTTGTATGATATGTTTTGGTCACTTTTGGATAACATTAAGTATTCATTTAAATGTTTACGATATACAAACGAACATTATCATTTTGATCCTTAAACGTGCACATTAGTCCCGCAATATTAATCGTTGGCCGATAAATATTGTATAAACACAACTATAGCAGGCATACGTGACCGTCGAAAATTTGTTAAACCTTTATTATTCACTGCAGCTGTGCACCAAAAATGACAACCAATAAGATAAAAAAAAATTTACTTTGAACCAGAAACAAAGAGAGCTATCACGATGTGTCACAATCGCCAAATCAATCACCCGCCGTGAAAACAACTGCGCGACACAACAAGCGTTGCCGGCTTCAGTACGTTCGCTTGGCAATCCATAGTTTAAAGGCATCCAGCTGATTTTGAAGAATGTACGAACCTCTACGAACCAAACACACGATGGGTACACTACTGTGGCGCGGGATATCAAAAGATTTTCCTTAGGTTTTCTAGAGATTAGTCAGAACGGTGACTACGGGGCAGTGCACACTTACGGGTCATGGCAGACCAGTTGACACGCGTCAGGGCGCCGTAGTGGTATCACTTTTCGGTCGACTAGGGAACAAGCACACAGTAATTGCAAAAGGGGAACACAGAACGCCGACGTCAATGGACTAATACGAACTCTTTTCGGGATCGCAGTCGCTGCTTGGACTTGGCGCCGGCGCCAGCGGGAGCAAAGGCCGATTGGGCGGCTGCTTCATCGTAAGAGGCGAACCGGTTGCGGAGGGTGATGGGGGGCGCGAAGGACTCAGCATGACTGCTGACCAGTGACAGCCTGCAGCGGGAGGAGGGCAGTCGCTTAGTCGCTGCTGGCCACTGCCGTCCGTGTTAATCACCACGTTCATGCCGCACTTGTACAGGTTAATCAGGTTAGTTGGCGTTGCCAGACAGTGGACAGTGTTAGTGGGGCACAGATAGAGTGCAACAAAGAACTGTGGGTGCACAACACACGTTACGGAACGGATAGTATTATTTTAAGAGCTACAGTAACTCACGGAAGCTTCATCGATCAGCAGCTCGCGCAGCAGGTTCCGTACGTTAACAACATGGCCGGATGTTACTGCGCGGATGTCACGGCGGCTACGGTAAACCCGCGCATTAGTGTGGTTAGATTGGTTAGTTACAACTTACAACCAGCTGAAATCACTGTTAACCTAGTTGATTATACGTTAGTGTGGATGATGCGCGCCAGAATGTCCCCACACACATTTTCACACAAACCACATAGACGCTACATAATTAATGTAAATACACGGAATAAGCGCGACGTACGGAAGGAATGTGCACTTTGGTGATTCAGCTCTTAGTCCGTGTGTGATACTCGATATTCAGGCGATTAGACAAGCGTACCCGTTGCCAGTGGCCTGACTGCTGCTGTTGCTGCGGGGTGACAGGCTGCGGTGCGACGAGTGACGCCGGATAATTGAGGAGTAGGGTGAGCGTTCGCGCTGCGGACTACGCGGACGGGCCGTTGGCAGCGCGAAGCCGCTGATGGGGTCATCGAGGTCAACGCCAACGGGAACGCCGCTGTGGGCTGGTTCGTCGGCAAACACCGGCCCGTTGGCCATCAACGTCGACTCCGACAAATCTAGCGGCTCTGAAAGTTCCCCTGAAAAATTAAAACGATAAAAACACCCGCTTTGGCATGGGAAAAATAAGTATGAAAATTTGATGTTTTAGTTCTACCAGTATAACATGGATATCTACTAAATAATAGCCCCATTTGAGTGAGATCACTTGCAACACAGTGCCTCACCTGTCTCGTTTGTGAGTGCGTCGGCAGGAAGACCGGCTGCGTCAGTCAGCGCCTCACCACTGCCTTCCGCTATCGGTCCGAGATGCTCCTCCACGACTGTCTTCAACTGACTACAAAAGCAAGTATGCATGCCATTAACATCCTGCATCAAAGATGCCGAAGCCGCTCCGTACTCGACGCGTTCGAGGTAGCGTTGTTTGGCGCGCTGCAGAAAAGACATGTCTTCTTCCATGTCGGTGCGCTGTCTTTCCAGCCTTTCCAGAGTCATCTGCCAAAAAAGAAATATGTCACTGGCGTTGTGCAGTGTACAGGTACTGGGCCGTACATACTTGACTTTGTTTAAGGTCCTTCGCCAACATTCTTAGCTCTTCTTTGAGCTGATCGCATTGCTGTTTCACCTCATTTTCCTGCGTAACAATAAAACATACCCATATAAAAAGCACCTGCATTATAGTGCAAGGCTGCAGAGTCTGCAGACAATCGTCATGGTCTCAGCTGACAAAAGCGCGTATAAAGTGTTATAAATGCAGCAAACTACAAACCTGAAACAAAGCTGACAATTCCTTTACTCTCGTATTTCGTTTGCATTACTCCAAAATGCAAGCTGCAGGCTGGTTTATATTTTATATTGCACGCGTGGATTACTCGGTTCGGTAAAAACGGGATGCGCGAGCGAGCGGCAAATAGTGCATAAAAGGTCGGCAAACAAGGCGATCGAACACAGTCACCGCAAGTGCACACCGGACACATTGAACAAATTATGTTTTTCGAGGCTGCGGCGGGTGGAATTTTTACCTGTTTGCGCAGATCCTGAATCTGGCTTTCTAGGACTCCTTTTTGCTTTTCAAGGGCATCAATCTTCAAAGACAAGGAGACAAATGGCTGGTTCATGCGGTGCGAAACGACTGACGCACAACGGCTTCCCAAATTCAAACGGCATTGACACAAGGGCACGGATGAAGGACAATCCAGAGCACGGAAACCCTACCTGCGCTTTCTTGAAAAATGCTTCATCAGCTGCTTCCATCTTGATCTTATCCAGTTCTCGGTTCATTTTATCCAGTTCCTGCTCCACCTGTAACAGAAACATGTGTTTCAAAAACATGAGAAAAGCGCGAGAAACGCGCATTATGTTCCAAAACAACGGAAATGATATCAAACAAATACTTTTTGCTTTGAGAGTATAATTCATTTGTATTCGCCAAAGAAAAATTTGCTGAATGTACAAAAAGAAAAGTGTAAAGTAACCTGTTTAAGTTCCTGCGCGTGTTTCTGGCGGATCTCCTCGACACGTCTGCGGTGAATCTCCTGTAGACTATTGATTTCCGCTTCCATGGATTTCTTCAATTGTTCCAGTTCGGCGCGTTCCCGTTTTTCCGCTTCAATACGCCGATCCAGCTCCTCTTTCCGCAGAGCTTCTTCTGTTTTCTGCAGTTCCTCGCGCAACGTGTCTCTACAAATCCAGAATGCAATATATTCAACATCCGGATGAAGCTAAATTACACCGCTTATGACCGCAAAATTTTACAGAAATACAGATTAATAGCAAAAAAATTTCGCAGATCACAGCAAAATTAAGAACCACAAATTTCACTAATTATTCGCTGATTATCGCAAAAATAAACCTGTAGCATGTACACTTAAAAAACTTAAGACAATGCAATGGACGAGTGCAAGAAGTCATATGGCATTCACAGAGTGTTTACGCATGAATTAAGTGGGACGTCGTTGGTCACACGATGCCGATTAATTTGCCGGAAGGAACGTGCAGAGATGCTGACGCGTAAGCGGGACTCTCCCTTACCTTAATAGCTGCTCCTGGCTGGCCTTTTCGGCCTTCAACTGATCACGGAGCCTCCGCAGCTCATCATTCATGGCCTCGCTAAAATTAGCCGATGATTAGGTAATACCGAATACATGTCCAAGCTATGTGTTTACGCCAATCTGTACTGATACGCCGGCAAAAGATCTGTCAAACAAATCATCTTCCATGTAACATTTACTGCTCCACATCCAGTGATCAACAGCATTCACTGATCACTGGTGCATATTCCAGCGTGATCATTGTCTACTGCCTGTAAATTCGCCATCAAAGCGAGGGCGTATGTACAGATAATTTTCGGATGATCAACATCGAAATTGTATAACTTCATATACGTACTTACCGGACAGTTTTTTCCTGACTGGCTCGTTCCTTTTGCAAGTTATCGTTGACCCTCTTCAGCTCACCGGCAATTTCATTTCTGAATGCACAGCGCAAGTTATTTACACTTCCACAGATTCCAGCATGTCTCAATTTAACTCTTTATACACAACTGTGTATTACTACTGTCGACTAACAAAGACAAACTTATACCGTAAATCCTTTTCTTTCCCTTCCCGCTCTTTGGCAATTTTGTCTTTCATCAGGCGAATTTCTTCATTCATCTGCTCCCTACAAGAAAAGCATATCAACAAAAGCATATAAACGTTAACGATAATCAATCGTATGATAACTGGAACTGCAGCAAAGAGCAAAGTATTTAGCTTTTTCAAGTGATGTACCTGACATTCGATAACAAGAAAGTTATTATACTGATGATACGCGACCACTATGATACCTTCAATGATTCTAAATTATTTACGAAACCATCATCTGATGCGACAATCGACAAACCAACCAAAAACGCGGCAATTCATAAAATTTCGAAACTGGAAGATATGATACTTTTTATTATAGCTAGCCGCAGAGAATCTAAAATTTTTTATCTTTATCTTTTCTAAAGCAAAGCTCCAGCCCACCTCAGCTTTTTCTCCTCGGCTTCCCTCTCCAGCCGCAGGCGTTCACGCATCTTGCGGATGGTCTCCTCATTTTCCCGCCGTATCCGCGCCTCCTCTTCTCTGACTTTCTCGGCGCTGATTCGTTCAACGCTGGGTTTGGCCGCCACGGGCGGCGGCGTGCTGGCGGCGGCGGGGGACAGCTGCCCAACGACGGCTGCCGATCCACTGGAAGGTCGCCGCTCACCCAGCGCCATATCGTTCTGTGGGAATGATTCCGAGGCCCTGTGTACAAAAAGCGCAATAAAATTTAAAGTACAGAATGATATCAACATGTACAGGGACCGGTTGTACAACAACAATCAGCAATCTTTAACGACCGGGTGGGATGCATTACCACGAAATGGCTACTCTAGAGTAAAAACGAATCATCTAACTTTGAAATAATGAAAATCAGCCTTTGACGAATTAATCTGAACCTGAATCACTACTATTATGCGATTAATGCAACATTTTTACGTTCAAATAAAATAAGTATTACTTATTCTTGCTTGGTATCCCTGACTTTTGGCACACGCAACGTTAATTTATCAGTTTCCTGTTTAAAAATCTGTTACCAATCCCTTATTACGCCGGTAAAACCTTAGGGTCCGGTTAGCTATCTCGTTTAATTTGCCAAGCATCAGCTTATAATGAAATTACGAAGAGGAAACGTGGTTCAACGTCAAAGTGCACATTATTTCAAACACCGGCAAGGGTAACGGCTAACGGATGACAACGGTTCGGCGGTTTTTAAAACAATGATCATACCTGCGCTTCTCAAGGGCCGACATCTGTTCGGGTGTGACCTGGGGTTTAGGTGGAACTGGAGGAGCATTGGGAGAGGCCGGTCGGTTGAAGGGGGGACTACAGGGAACAGCGGAAACAAGATAGATGGACAGACAAACAAACAGATACACACCACTCACATTGACCGATCAAGTAGGCTACCTGGATACTGACAAAATGACAGGAAGGAGGATGGGTTATCAAAAAATTTACCGGTACAATATACACCCGCAAACACGAACGCATGCCAGGTAAGCAGCTCAAATTTTCCTCACACGGCACAAAAAATAGCTGCAGTTCATCACTACGAGTTCATCACTCGTACAGTTACCAACTTGCACTGAGTTGCACGCCGATATTTTAAAATATTAGCCATAAAATCGTACAACAAAAACCGAAAGCAAAATAAAAATGTTAAATCATAAATTAAACCATGCAAAGTTAACGTATATAAACCATCGTCCTTGTTAATATAAAGTTTTTGTTCGTGCATACGATAAAACTGCATATAGTAAGTAAGGCTTACGATGAAGTATCGGAGCTGTTGAGATTTAGGAGACTTCGGCGCGACTCGCCGGGGCTGGCCGACGGTGTGGGACTGGCAGTGGGTGAGGGGGACGTCGTGGCCGACAAAGGCCGCAAAGGCGTCGGGGTGGTCGGCGCCGGCGGAGTGGCGGGCCGCGCCCAGGGCGGTACGTTGCCGCCACTGCCGGCACCGGCCGGCGAACGCGGCGGCGGGGCGAAAACAGCGCGCGGACGCAAAGCGTTGCGTGGGGGACCGCTGCCGGTGGGACTGCCGGGTGTCGTTGGCGACACCGGGGAGGATGTCCGGAAATGCGAGTACGGCTGCAGAAAGACAAACCACACAGGCGGTCAGCTATGAAAGACCGTTTGTAGCTACGAAAGAAAGAACCATTTCCATATTCACTTATATATGTACTCTGATTATGCAATTAAATTTAATACCAGGGATTTAAAATAGCTACAGAGGGCACCACATCACGATGTGACAAATGTACTATGATACTGTTAGCTATCAAAGCACCAAAATATTAGCAAAAGCCCGCATGCCATTTTACAGAAGTACACAAAACGAAGAATGAAACCTTACAAGTACCTAGGCACAATTCAATACAATAAGTTTTTTTCGAAAAACGGATTACATACTTCGTGCTTTTTAAAAAAATTTTTCACCGCGCATCAGCAGACAGTCCTAACAGTACGATGTTTCCATAATTTCCTTTATCCAGATTTTACGCGCTCAAATCGGTTGACTTATACAACTTATTTATAACATAAAACAGTAATATTTTCACATTACGTTTGACATGATCAGTGCCAATCGTGAAAATAATATATAGTAACGTTAGACTCACCGAGGCTTGACGCGGTGGCAGGGTATCTCCATTGGCCAGCAACAGCTCGGGCGGTACCTCCTCGACACACCGCCGTCGTAGCCGGTTCTGGCGTTCGCGCTCCACCATCTGCCGGAAGTGGGTGTCCAGCGGGTGTTCCCACGCGGAAACGCCATTCTCCGTGTTAAAATAGTAAATCTGTCCCGTCGGCTGGTCTTCTCTGCGATCAAAACCAAAACACATCGTTTTGTTTCCATAATTACCGAAATCACTGTAAAAAAACATTAGCAATTTCAAGCGGAATTCACTAACAAACATTCTGAGAATTTCCCAGCAAAAACTCTGGTCAAAATACAGACTAAATTCCTCCCACAGAAGAGGACATTTCTGGCTGAAAGAGTAAGCTGATTAGTGTAGCTGTGTTGAACGGCGAATCATCACACAGCCGCAGCGACGTAAACAATCTTTTCCACCCACAGAACGCCGTGGATGACGCGCAGCGGTGATTTGAAGGAGAGAGAGAGCGAGGCCAAAGAGAGTCACGGCGCATTGTACATAAGTGTACTCACACTGCGCGCCAGCCCGGCGGAAGGGATGCGTTGAGACCTTCACGGGCAATCCACACCAGATCCACTTCGTCCTTCACGTTAATGCCCAGCGCACGAGCGTATTCGGCGATGTCTGCGGGAATAATCACATTTAATTTTTTAATTAATTGAACAGCATTTCCGTAATTCAATACAGCAGTGCACGCACAAATGTCCGTAGCAAATCTTGCCAGCAGCATTTTGAACGTAGAATCTGATATCACTGGCATTCGTGAATTTCGAATCAATACCCGCAATTAGTTACTATTACATCATACCTAGAAAAACGGCCAAACAGACGTAGGTTATTTTTTTAAAAAATATGAAAAACATCATTTCTCCGATACTTTAATTTATTAAATTTGAAATAGTTGTGAAAACAGTTGGTGCAGAGCACAGTTGTGCACTAGATCAGTTAACGAGTAGATGTACAATGTATATGCGTATGGCATAAGTCGACTTCAATAACCCGAATTAATTGAAGCTCCTTTATAGCATCAATAAACCGCACCATAACAATCAACTGCTAAAATTCGGTTTGGTTGATTTTATCCTCAGAAATATCTTTACCAACAAGATTGCGAAAGTTATCTTCTTAATTTGTAACTGTGAAGGAAATTCCTTGAAATCAGAGCTGTAGAAGCGAAAACCGTAACGGTTAACGGATCAAAGTAAACACAGGCTTGATCATCATATGTAAACATTAAAATTAATAAAATGTGAAATCTTGTTGGTAGTTGTAAGTTAAGTTTCCGGTCCGGAAAAAGGTTGATTTTGTTATCCAGCGAATAGTCGAGCCTTCGCACACTACATGTCGAAGAACTGGCAGTTTGGATCGGATTAGCGAACGATATAAATTTCACAATCCTCAAGAAATGCATAAATACTCTCGGTTATGTATGCGTACACACTTGATAAAAGACTACAGTGAAACATTTCAAGCTCACACATTCCAGTAATAATATTTATAAACCCAATATAGGGCCAAATCTTTTGCACGAGTACTTGTAGTGACCCTCGTGATAAGGAATCCATACAGCAAAACGAGTAGCCCCGTTTCCTCTGGGTAGGTGCGGTTTATGAGGCTTGCCGAGTGGTCAATACAAAATTTTACGTTTAGCCCAAAAAATCCCGTGGTTAGTTAATGGTTACTTTTATCTGCATAATTGCGAACCATAATGCAATTGATTTAACGCAGTTCGTGAAACAAATGCGAAGCAGTAAGGAAATATTACACTTCGCCTGTCCGTAGATACCAGAATTATTACAAAAAACTAAGTGCTTTTTTACGATACATTTTCCCCAAAGCATTCGAACCGCTATACGAACGCCAAGAAACGATGGTTAAGGCTTAAGGGTAATTCCTTAAAAACCAGCGATTACAACAATCTGCGCTTTACCCAGCTGACTAATTTCAGCACCGTTCTTTTACGTTGCAGGTGTTAATATTTTATATTTTGTTATTCCGTAATGTGGAAAGAACAGAGTAAATCTAAGTTGCGAAAATATTTTAAAAAATTGAAGAAACCAGTAATAACCGTTACAAAGGGTGAGCGAATGGACACTGACCGTCATCGGTGGGCGCCTCAGTGGCCTGCACAGCGGCAACATCCTCCAGTAACAAGATCTGCGGTCTGGCTGATTTCATCTTAGTCCAGCATGGAAACGCGGCTGCCGCCTGCTGCTGCAAGGGATCACACTGCTCTTCTTCCAGCCGCAACAGCCTCATAGACCCGGTTGTCAAGTGCAGGATAGTACAGTCCAGCAGATGCCACAATAGCCGCACCGTCCCGATCCAAACAGCCGCAATCAACCTGAACCAATGCACAATTCCTTCATCATACTTTCTTCCGTCATGTTCAGAAAAACCATATAAAAATCCAGACAGGCTGCTGGCAAAACGCGCCAACGAGTGCTGTTTCCGGCGACGCGCATGTTGTCCAAAGTCGCTTGATTCTATACTCTGATTCGCTGCGGCCGAGTAGAGCAAGCGCGCCGTGCTGCCAGCGCCGGAAGAGTGCGGTATTATCAAATGAAAAGCGGCCCCGTTTATGAACTATGATGGCGCGTTCGAATGTGTTTTGTGGATATGTGTGTATGTGCTGGCAATATTTTATTATATTGTGCTGTATGGAAATCGGGAGCATGCTGGTTATGACTCGACCGGCAGGCGCATATTTCTGGCTGAGTGTGTTGCTAAATATACAGTGGAACGCCGCTCGTCCAAGAGAAGAACCGCGGGAGAGTCGCGCGCGCGGGTGTGTATGTGTGTACGAGGCATCGATGCATGTTGTATTGAAACGGCAGCGCCAGTTTTGCCAAAACATATGCGGTATCACTCGCTCGCTTACGCGCCGTCGGCAGAATTGTTGACAATTGAAATGTCGGTAATTTATTGCCAGCTAATTGTTGGGATGCGGCAAGCGATTTTTACGGGTGTGCATATCCCGACTTCTCTGGTGGATTTCTTTGAAATTTTATTCAGCAGTTTCTTCTTAATTATTTCCATATAAAACGTAATTAAACACGTTCTGTTTGGTTTTCTTTGAATAAATAGCAATTTTTTTATCGTAGCAACTCTCATCAAAACTTGCTATTATCCAAACTAGCAATGGTAAAGGTGATCATTTCAACTTCCTCTTCATAAGAATATAAAACCAAGAGAAATAAGAATAAAACTGGCACTTCAACAAAATTTTAAATAAATTTTCCAATCAAATTATTCAGCTAATTATCAGGATTTAAAAAATTAAGCAGGGAAACATTCAATCCATCAATTAATTAACTCACGGGAAAATCGGGAACAGTTCCGTTGCTGCCGGCATAATTCACCAATAATTTCCGGATAACCCAACACACAGTAAATTTAGACCATTATCACATCCGAGTCAATTTGCACAAGATTACGAAAGGCGCAAGAAAAGCGATGGCAAACTGGGGAGGAAGCGATGCAGTGCGGCAGTGCAACGGAGAATCCGCGGAAAAATCATCCGATTGCTCATCTTTTCTTATTTGTTTTCCACCGGCACATTAACCAACCCCATCACTCTGGAAAGGGCTTTATTTTGTTGACTCAAATTACGTGCATCTGGCAACAGTGAGTCTGGTGCTAAATATACACCCTGGCCAGCAAACAAAACTCTTAAGAAAAAATCTCGGAACGATTCGCACCTCACCTGCACCGCGTCAGCTGTTCGTTTTAATCATTCTGACAATATTACATAAACATTAACGTCAAGGAATCTCAAGAGGCAAGTCGGAGAATGCTGTTTTTTGAACCGCGACAGGTTGAAATAATCGATCACAGCAGCTAGAGTAGATATTATTAATAAAAGATACGATTACAAAGGAAAATATCGCAGCTTTAAACTTCGATCGTTTTTATTTATCTATTGCATTTATTGATAATTTTGAAAAGCTTCGTCCGGGTTTTACTAAACAGAATAAGCAATGAAGCTTGCAAGTGTCAGTGGAGGGTCAATCAGAGCCAAAGCTGGATTTTTGCAAGAAGTAGAACAGGTAGGAAAAAGGTTTTTGCACTCACCACAGCACTGTTGAACACTGCTTTAATACAAGAATCAGAAATCTATGCACACATTTCACAAATCCGGATTGAGTTGGCGGTCGGAGAGTGTGATCTGCTGGCCGGGTTGGAATGGCGGCATGCCCAGGTAGGGACAGCTGGCGCAGCGGAATGCATCACCCAGATAACACTGCAACCAAGCGTTCTTCCTTTAATTTCAGCCCATGATTTTGCGCTTACAATTAGAATTAATCTTTTTGCTTTGCCTGCAAACTGCATGAATCCGTACGATGGAGGTTAATATTTGCGGGAAAAAATCAAAACTTATCAGACACAAAAATCGTAGTATTTTTCCAATAACCTTGCAATTATCTTATTATTACAAGTACCGTTATAACTTATTATTATTATTATTATTAACCAAGATAACATACAACGGAAAAGCACCCCTACTTGATAAATGAATGCCAAAATTAACGAAAAAATGTTTCAGTCAGTGCACAATAACAAATTAAACAATCGAAAAAATATTACAACCAGTTTATTATAACCATCGATTTCAGATCGAAACCGAAAATAATTTTCATGTCTGCAAAGAAACCAGTGCTGGACTTTTCACATTTTCGTTAAGCCTCTTTGAGCATTCAACAAAGACCTTTTTCATGCCAAAATAGAAAGAAAAAAACAATTATGTAAAATTTAGATAAATTCAATCACAACCGATGATCCAAATTACAGATGACGAACAAAAATTTGTGTTAAACGGCCGGTACACGGAATGTTGTTTTACGTTTCTCGAAATAAATGCACTTACACTTCCACATGAGGATTTCACCGTGGCAGCCGCTGCTGTCATTCCCTTCTCCGCCGCCAACTCCTCGGCCAAGCCACAGGTACAATCCTTGCAGGCGCGCTTCTTCCCCGGTCCACAGTTGGCTGCCCACATCCGGCACACGTTTAGTCTTAATCGAGCGGAAACCAATGCTTTACTGCCGGTTGTAAGTGCTCACCTTTCAGGGACGCTGGATCCGGTTTGGCAAAGTCATCGGCATCCAACATCTCGTTGGGATCGATCAGGTCCATATCCGCATCCATATCTGATCCCGCCAGGGTCCAGACACCACTGGTTCCGTTGGACGCCGGCTTTGATGCCACTATATGGTGCACATGATATTAGTTGCCATACAACTCTTATGAGCAATACACCAGAAAACACAACAATAGTTTCTGAATAAATTCATAAAATAATCACTGCAGGTCATTTACATATTCAGTGTCTACTTTTCGTTATTGAAAAGTGTGATACAAAGTATTACTTACACAGCTGACAGTTAGCACCCTACCAAGAAATGAGAGGGGACAGTGCCTGTGAAACTTATCACTAACAACTGAAATTACTAAAACTAAACCATTCATGAAAACATCTCTGGGACAGTTGGCTATCGCACAATCGGCCAAAATACTAGAGGTAAATGATAACAACGCTCATGACTCATATGAATTTCTACACCAACGACTGTCATTAAAGATTCACCGGGAACGCCGCATCAACTCTAAAAACAATCCGAAATGTGCAATGAGGTTTTATTGTAATGAATACCTGTAACATTTTCATCATGCATCACTGTATTATTGGTTATTCATCAATCATCATTATTATGTATTATCATTATTCGAATATCTATGTAATGATATTACTTATTATTATTAGGGTAGCATAAAGATAGTTATTTTTAAAATCCTGAACGATCCACTGGTATTGCAGATCCCACTACGTTTTTTAGTACAAAGGGAGTGACGCTGACAGATAAAAAAGTGATCACACCTACAGTATCTGAATACTGTCCTGATTGCGCATGCCATTCAGTTTCAGCTACTCGAAGTACTAAAATTCTATCATTCAAAGTAGTATTACGCGAATGCACTTTTCGTAACAATGATGGCCTTTGCCCAATAAAATGAGAGACTGAAATTGTAGAGCTCAAGATAACAACAAGAAAATAACTGTATGATGACTTTGTACTGTACATCGAAAAAGCCGTGCGCATCCGTATATCTGCGGCATTAATAATTACACCGGTGACCGGATTAACCGATTAATCCTCATGGTAAGTGACAAACTTCGTAGTCCGTACCGCCACTAGCAAAAAACTACAATGGCTTACGATTGAGTTTAGCCGAGGGAAGAATGGATGCTGATCCCGTTTCGTAACTGGGCTTCTTCACAATACCCTGGCACACTTTTAACGGCAAAGAAGTTGGAATTTTCAGGACTGTATGAAGATTGTCCATGTATGACGCAGAAAGTGCCACATCCGAAAAATCCTGCATAAATCATAAATATAATACACACATGGCAATCACATAAAAGCAGAAGGGCAGCCTAAAAATTTAACTGAACTAATGTAAAAAACGCAAGACAACATAACATTTACGAAACTCTTTAAAGCACACATGGTCCCATAATACATATGGAGTAAATTGCAGAAAAACAAAAGAGTTATAGATTTCCAAGGAGAAATCAGTTTTATAACACCAGACAATCTACAGAGGGTTATTCAGCCAAGTGTGGTCAGCGCAATAAAAAAATTCCTATAATTCAGCTGTTTCGCAAAGTCAGATTCTAATACTTGTTTTATTATGACAAATTAGTTTGGACGCTTTTTGCAAATTTTTGTGACAATCGAGCTTAAACAGCCCGCAATATTGGCCATTAACCTAAAGACTCCGATTCTAAACCTTTGACCAGGCAAAATTTGGCTTTCGATCATCTGGCCTTAAAAGGATCGTCTGTTTTTCAAATCTGCATGGTTTTAATTGTGAGAAATGGCGATCCGAATGTTTTTTATGGCAAAGACAGTGTCATATTCTTGCGCGTTCTTGTGGTAGGACGGTTGGAAAAAACGCGAAAACAGGAAGAGACCCGCAGGAGCCATGCCCATTTCGAGAATTCTTATGCACGGAAATAAAGCTGTCCTTTTCGTTACTTTACAAACTAAAGTTGTAGCGCAAGTCTTTCTTCACCATTTACAATTTTCAGTGGTCGAAAAAGACGCTCCAGGGGTCAAGCCTGGCAGAGAAGAACAGGTCATCCAGAACCAGAGATGTGCTCCCGGGAGCACTGCTGACAAAACAAGGATGCTGCTTTCCAATCGAAGAAAACTAGTAATTCCTTCTGAGAAAGGATTGTTCGAAACCCCTGACAGGTTTCCAATGGATTATTGCGAAAACCCGAATTTTAAATTATTTTTGAATAAAGGGAATCCATTTCCTATAGCTGAACTGGTCAACTGTTGCCAACATAGGGGATATGAACTTAATTTTTTCCTGGGCTACAGGTTAACGAAATCTTGACTCAGTTGAATTCAAAGTATGACTGAATGTTGTGGCTATCTGATAAAATTTTTAAAAAAGTAAAATGAGCTTACGACGGCTAAGCAGAAATTTTCCAAAAAGTGACCACACTTGGCTGAATAAGTCTGTATAACCATGCCGCGATAAACCCATTAATCTTCATGTGTGACTTGAGCCAGCCCTCGGTCTTAATGGGGAAATCCGGCGTATTGATGGGCACAACGACCTCCTGGAAGACGAAGCGCCCCTCGGGTCGGACGATGCGGAGGATTTCGGGGAGAATTTGGTCGTCGTGCACGAAGGTCCACGGAGGCAACACACCCGAGATAACCACATCGAACGACGAACTGGAATAGTTAGCTGTAAAGACAATACTGTGCATTAGGATCACGCGCAGCGCACGGCAGGGGGATAAGCTGCAAGACATTTTATAACAAGTTGATTTAGTTGAATAACATAATAACCCACAAATCTTTAGACGCTCCACGTTCTCCACCGTTAATCGACTGCTTGCGCCGATCTGTTCCGTGAATCCCCGGGCGACATTCTGCAGGGCGTCCGTGTTGACGCCGCCGTACCAGAGCAGGAGTACGTTCTTGCCAGCCAAGTCCAGATGGGAGAATGAAGACATTGTTGTCCGGATTCTGTGGAAGATTCCTTCACCGATAGCCGATAAGGTAGTGTGTGGTGTTCCTATCGACAGGCGCAGACTCTGACTGACTTGAGTTAAGTGACTTAAGTCTTATGGAAATGTGCTTTACAGAGAAAGTGCAAAACAAACGTCTATATTACTGTACTAAAATTATGACATCAGATTCATAAACATTTGAATGATCAAATACTTCGTCATTGACTCATTTATAACATAATTTTGTGAATTAAATTTTACATGATGCAATACTAATGCGCTTTCATAAACTACTATAAAGTATAAACTGAGTATAACCAGTTTACGGAGGACTACATCCGCAACCAATTTATCGGCGTCGGCTTTCGGTGAATCATTAATTTTGTTTTTGTTCGCATCGAGGCCGCTGGCCGATGCGTGTCGTGTCATTTACGCACATGGGAACAACTTGTCCATGTATGTCTATGGAGGCCCATGGTAACAACTTTCCTTTCCGGTCCCTTTTTTTCCCTCGAGGCGCATCGTCTCGGTAAGAGCGTAACATCCACCGCGTCGTTGCAGCGGTTCTGGCGCACTTGACCGCGTTGAAATCGGCCTACCCGTTCTCCCAAACATAGGTTTTTTAACCTTACTCTGTCACGGTTGTTACGGATGTAGTTAAATATAAATAATAAAGTACTGTAGTATTAAAGCTGACAAAATGCCATCAGAAAATGATGCGAAGTCAGATCATTCTTCAAATTCAACCGAACACCTTCTTGAGACAGTTACCTACTTACTTGTTCACACGAGTACTGTACTACTCGTAGAATTAACGATAAATACTATACGTACAGGCACGGCCCAGTTGACTTTTTAAATAATAATTATTATTAAAAGATGTTGTTTTAAGAAGTATGTATACATTGAATTTGTAATTTTGCTCTTGCCATTCGTGCAAGTACTTACTTTTGAATTTTCCAAACGATCGTAGTCGTGCAATCTGCAGTCCACAGATGTCACTGTAGGCTGTAGTACACCGGGTCACGCAGCTTGTGTCTCGCAATAATTGTTTTCTCATCGCGATAATAGGAACTGTATGAGCAAATTTAAATACTGTACTTAATAAGTACTCAACAGTACTCAACAAAAGCGGTATGAACCACATCAGGACAAAATTTTTTTCAACTGCCCAAGAATTAACAATAACTAAAAGAAACCAACTTTAAACATGCGCCGGAAACATCGTGCATGACTTGATTAACACTTTCATAAAAAATGCGCGGAAAAGCACAACGCAAACGAAATGTCGGCACAACACGTATTCCAAACACAAGCATAGCAAAGCATTTGTATATCGACAACTATCGCGCATTAACTGGTAAGTTGTACATAAGTTCAGGGTTATTACAGACCGGCGCATTGGTAACCTTCCTGTAATGACCCAACTATTTGCAAGGAATCTGTCCACTGGCGACTCTATCTTTGCCATATTGACGTATGAGAAGCTTTTGTTTAGCCTTTCGCCGTTCTGTGTTTATGAAATCTCTGATCGTCATCAGCCTCTCATCCATTTCCGTGGACGTCCTTTGAGAAAGGTCATTACCTGCCTCCCCCGAAATATGAAGCAGATCATCTTTGCATGTCTCATCATTGTCGACAACTACATCCGCACCTGAAATCCATGAGGTATTTATCGGTATGTATATGCATTCCATCGATGGTTAATTTAATTCCTGGTTATTTTGTTAGAGCAATCATTAATGATGATTTTATTAGCACAAAGTCAAGACATTAATTAATCAATCATTAATTCATAACTTTGGTTTCTCAGAAGGAATATATAGTAAGAGTATGCACTGGATGTCGTCAGCACTATATTACTCTGTATGCAGCCACGCCTTGATTATGAACATGCGGAATCCACTACATCTACCCGGTATGTATCTGTATAATTTTACCATTAATACGTATTCCATTCTTACCAAGGGTTGTAAATGTTTTATTGGCGTGCTTTCCCATTGTACCGTTATCAATGGCCACAATGTCGATTGCATATCGCGTCCCTGGTTTCAAGTCTATAGTGCAATAACAAACAAATCAATTAGAAACCAACCAATTACGTAGAAACAAAAATATGCACATAATTCCGCATGCGCTTCAGAAGCGCGGAATTGAAAAATGCACTTTTCCATCTGTTATCAAATACCTCTTCTCCCGGAAAACGCTTCAGTTAATTCTAGACGGCATTGTTTATTAGGCGATATCTTACGACAAGTAGTGCCGATATAAGCACCCAGAATCCATATTCAGGTTTAGGTTACAAATCACACTTTTCGCATAAACACAGTCTCAGAAGCTGTACTTGGGCAAAACTACCTGAAACTGTCCATTGACGGGGCTTCGAAACAGGGACGATTTTCATCTGTGAGCGGCAATTAACAAAAACATCCACGCCCTTGAGGAACGCAATATAGGCAATTGTGAGCCGGCTGGCGTCTGTTGGAGGATCCCAGAGAACTTGCACACGGCCTGCAGTACAGCGGCTGGGTACAATCCGTAAATTCAACGGCTCAGTGTTGGAACGAGGCTGGGCCACTTGCAAATGCACCGGCACACTGCGGACAACTGGACGATCAAATCGGGAAGGAATGAACTGCACAACGCAGCGATATGTTCCCGCATCTTCCGGCTGCAGATCGAAGATGTCCAGGGTTGTGGAATACTCGTCAGTCCGGCCGCTCGCCCCATCCGATGCGACGCTCTGTCGGCTTCTTATAAGACGAAGTCTGCAAGTGCAAAGTTGAACTTTACTGTTCCCCGTTTCACGTATGTTATATGCTACAATTACGCATATCTGAGCTTCTGCTGGACTTTTTAGATTCTTTTTTATGAACACTTAAACAACCTAGTTGACAAAATGGGAAAACTGATCCAACGATGAATTTTCCCACTCAAATAGCGCACGCGGGAAAGGATGATAAAGCACCTATCATCAACGACACTGAAATACTCGTATCTCCTTACTGATCATGGTGAGGGCTTACTCGCCAACGCCCTTGATATAATCGTACGCAATTCATTGCTGCATTGGTTTGCTGCGATTTTATGCGGCTCCTTTCTGTCGAATTCGACGTATGACGTAACACAACAACGACAACACTCTTATAATTAAAATTTTATAACGTTTACGAAAAGTTTTGCCGGGCAAAAAAGCCAACCTTCAGCCAATGCTAATCGGTTGCGAAATCGTGTAATAAGAATTAAGGGTCATTTCGGCATGTGGTGGTTTTAAACTTGTAAGTATGAAACATAAAGGCCCAACCTTCCGCTGATATCGTCAAGCACCCGCTCATTATTCCTCTCCCAATAGAGAAGCACCCGTGACGGAGTAGCAACTTGACAAGTCAGATTAGGATGACTTCCCAACAGCTGGGCCGTAAAGTCCACCGTCTGGTTGGCATCCAGCTGGCCGGGGTCTTGCCTGAAAGGAACGCGATAGGCGGCACTCAGACGGAAGCTAATCTCAGACGAACGGTCCGCGATGGATCGCCGTGCGACGATCTCGGCCGCCGATGCGGTCGACAGACAACTGGAAACTATGAACAGCCACAACATTATCATGGTAATGGAGCTTATACGAACCGAAGTAATAACAGTAAGAAACGCTAAAGTGCGAGGCGTGTGAGACTGTGGAACGCAGAACAAGTTTAGCACTCGGATAACGCACCCACCAAAAACCAATATCACCTCAGACCCGTCAATGTTAAGTAACCCAAAATCCAAACCAACTGTTGCTCTTCGTCTTCTGTGCCTGAATCTCGCCGAACAACTTAAAGTTTCAAACTGCCGACTGCGGTAGAGAGTGACATACAGAAGGTTTACACTTTACAGTAATAAACTGCACAAGTGCAGTTAGCACAGGAAATAATAATTAATTTTCGTCACTTCCCAACATTTTCTCTTTGACCTTTTCTTTAAGTGTTTTATTTTGTTTACTTTGTTACGCGCTTCAGTACAGAGTTTTTGTTGTTCTGGCCCCATTTTTTCAGCAATGCATATTATGGTTCATATTTGAGCGCGCGATGCTGCGATGGTAATATTAATGTTTGCTAGGAACGCGAGGTCACCAGCTGAACCCTAGAGTAAGTAGTACAATTACGCACAATTACGTACTAGTATATGTATAACGTAAGCTCTAGCTTCAGCTGAATTTCTCGAAACCGGAAAGTTTCTAGTTAATTTAAATGACTCGTGAACTACAGTAGATAGTAGAGAGTAGAGATTCACAGCGATGGGTCCTTTAATTGTGCTTAACGACTGATGTTTGACGAGAGCGATCTGAGGGAATTGTCAACCACTGACCTTGAATCCTGTGCTAGAGTAGTAATACAATTGTTGACGTTTGTCAATATGTATCCTTTTTGGTAGCGATACCCTGACGGTTTATGCCATTTTTAAATAGATAAAACCAATCTAAGAGATATGCTCATACTTGTGAGCCAAAAAGCTCAAGTTGTCGAGAAGAACACTGTCTTTTTAATTGTTATGAAATTAATTTAAACGCTCGTTTGTTATGCAAAAAGCAGTTGTCACCGCGTCACACTCATGATAAAAATTAATGTTGCCTCAGAAACGTTTCGCCTTCTAAACTTGCCCTCCGAAAGATGTTATAGTTACGATAAAACGATTACGCTAACAATAAATTCCCCTAAAAAAGTGAAAATCGTTAATGTAAGTATTCTTGAAAAAAAACTCATTCAATAAAGCGAAGGTTAGTTTAATTGACAATTTATGAGAGCTTATAAATTACTGCAATAGTAACCTTAAACGTAGAACGCGCTCGTAATCTACGAAATAAAAATTTGCATTTACTGCAGGGTTTCAAAGTTATAACTGAATTTTATTGTTGTGATTTATAGACTACGGGTGACTATTCAGTGTTGCAAAATTATCCGCGCGTTATTATGCCAAATATTAATTTTAATTTCGCTCCAAACAGTAGTCAGCGTTATAACTTACAATCAGCCGTATCAGCATGACCTCTAGCAATGCTACCACTGGTGTGCAGTTGCCAGCACAGGGTCAGGCTGCTGTGAACCCAGCCCAGTCAACTCACCCAGCAGTCCCCACTATTGATCGAGCGGATGGTCGGACGCCAGTGACCGGCGTCACCGGCATCCAGTCCGATTATGTCGTGCTAGTGTCGTCCGACTTCCATGAATTCATCATCACTCGTAGCGCGGCCTATATGTCCGCCACCATCCGCCGTATGCTTGAGGGCCGCAATAAGGAGATCAGTCCGTGGAATGTCAACGAAGTTCTAGTTAATTACCCGTACGTACGACATCGGTGACCACTAGTCCTGCTGTATCAGGCACGTGTTTCATAAAGCTTCCGTTTAATACTGTTTGCAAGTCAAGTACTTCGAGAAAGTATTCCCATCCTGTGCAGCAATGTGGAAAGGTCACCTAGCTGCACAAGTTGCTTTTGCACTGCATGTTAGTGCAGCTGACGCCTTTTTCTCAGCAAGCAGCCATGCTTTTTCGAATACGTACCTAAATATTAGGCCCCACGAGTATTTAACAAAACCATACTAGTAGTACTTTATTATTAAAGATATTCAAACACTGAAAGAGCAGCATGCATCGCAAATAGTGCTTCTAATGGTAGTTTCTCATTTCTCCATCTAAGGTAATCGTAAGCAACGACCAACGAGCATGAGTATGTACAGCAACCTCATGTAATGAACCGTTTTTGCATTTAAATTATTGATATTTTTGCACCGCTACACAGCCTACACTTATACAGGTAGTTGTAGTGATCCGAATTCAATAAAATGATTACCAGTTGATTACAAGAAATGCTAGCTGGTCTTTCGGCTTAGGTATCATAAAATGAGCGACAAATCATAATTCTGATCACATTTCGTAAAGGTACGATGCAAGCGCGCACTGTTCAACTAATTTTCTTAATATAGATATTAGCTAGAAAAGCCGTTACCAGATTTATGTAAGTTGATGTCTGCAGCGGTAACAGCAGTACTGCTCAGAAGTACAGAGTGCACTCTGTAGTGCACATGGCGGTATACTACTACTCGAGTAGATCTAATGAAAATTGCAAGTTCAATGCCGCATTATCTGATCCTTATCTGATTACGTAACAAAACTCAATTTGCAGGTCGATGATCGTTAGCAAAGTAGCGGAGTACATGATTTACAAGGAGTATTACGAAAGAACGCACGAAGATGCGCCGGGATTCACCGTTCCACCCGCCATCGTGCTGGAAGTCCTGATGGCCGCACAGTTTCTTGATATCTAAACCCATTTCAAAGTGTCGTCGCTTCTGAATTATTGACTACATTAATTTTTATTGAATCAGCTATTATTCCCGGCCTGCTCTGTAAATTGGGTGGCTAATATAAATATAAAATTAAAACCACACCTATCACTTTTACCGGTTAATTATCTTTTCCTACTTTTCGTCTGTACTAACATTTTAGTTATCACGAGCAAAAATATTCTTACTAGTACTGCCTTTTGAGAATTATATTAAGAATTCTATGCTCACTTCTAAAAGTAAACGAACACGCACAGAGGAGCTAAACGTTAACCAAAATGGCGATAACCAATAATGTCTTTTATGCGTCATAACAATCGCGTTTGCGCACCCTACAAAATTAATGTAAAAACTGATTGCAAATTATACCAATTAACAAAACGGCAATACTCGACTGCATAACCAGACAACGTCATGCCCGTTGGAAGTAGACTTAACTGCATCCTTATCATTTAAGCACACAATTCGCAGCGTAAATAAACGGGAGATGTTTGTTTATTGTGCGGCATTGTGAATGGCTGCGCGCTTAAGGAGCTTTTCGTCAATCCTTGTGCGTGGCATCGCCAGCATGCATGACAAATAGCAAACTGGGAATTACACGCGCGTACATGCACCAACAAGCCGGCTTCTGCTCTGCGTATCTCGATGAAGAAGAGTTGCAGTGCTGGCCCGCTGCAGTGCCAGGCAGTTTAAGCCCGCTTAATGGATGCGCCACGGAGACGCTATCCCGCGGAGCGCAACTCCACTTGGCCGGGGCGCTCCCTGGCCATGGCATTGATCAGTCGCCAACTTTGCGTCTAATACGCCATCCTGCTCAGCTGGCGAGCGACCCGTGTTTCCAACTCAAGATGCATAAAGTTCAGCAGCAACATTCCATCCTATAAAGTTCACTTTTCAAAGCTAAGCACGAAACTAATGCGCGCAAATTCTTATACTGCTTTTATGCGAAACAAGTGGGAGGTGAGATTTAGTCGTAATTGCAGGAGGTACGAAGAAACCTCTATGTAAAACGTTGTACTCGTACAACAGTAAGACTACAGATTATCCATTTTGATTCTGTTATTAAATGTTTAAAACTGATTCGTTTAAATACTGCAAATCAGCGATGGCTGTCGATTCTAACTTAGGTGAGTTTACACGAAGCCGAACTGATGTATACTTAACATATCAGTTATATTTTTCCACAGTGTTTTCACCTTGAGCCCAACTGCGTAACTTTGCGTCTGCATTTTCCTGCGCCTTATGTATGAAAAGACCGCAGTGTCCCACGAGTTTGAATAATGCATTTAATATTACACAATAAAGACGCGACAATCATCGTCGGCATGCAGTAATAGCAACCTAACAAGTTGTAACAATTTTCTGGTTTATCTTTCCCGGTAGAGTAATATTTAAGCATAAATAAATCAATGCAAAATTGACCGGATCGATTCGGGCACAGCATCCACTGCGGGCGCCAACCCGTAGATTTATATAAATCCCAGAAACTGCATCTATCCTGACAATATGACGTCAAGAAGATTACCGTAGCTGCAACAACTTGAAAAGCCAAGATAAGTCAGTGTCTCCCAACATCTTCCCCGCAATCCTCATCCGCTAACGCAGCTCCACAAGAGTACACACGCATACACACAACAGTTGACAGATGTAAAGTGGCTCAGCGCTGATTCGGCCGGCCACAGCATACCAACTACTACACACAGGCACATATAGCCGACCACGCGTAGTATTGATTGACATCCGGGTGCAGAATGCAACTTGCAGGCCGCTTATGTGTACCGAGATTCCGCTCCAGTGTTTGCACAAATTCCAACTTGGTTTTTTCTTCCTTCACCACACGCAGTCGGTGTGCGGAAGAAGCTATTTCTGGATGTGTATCAAGGTGTAGTTGCGAATTAAGGTAGCTTTTCCTGGCCGCAGTTGTGTGCGACGCTCATTGATTGTTAATCGCCGTACGATGACCGGAAACCAGCCATTGCTCGGTAGGTGAGATGCATACATGTACCACCACACACGGGTGCGGATCATACGGATACGCTTGTCTGTCTGTCTGTGTTTATTCTGTATTGTACAGCGGCAGTGATTTATGGCGCTAATATGCTTAACGACTTAACGACCTCCATTAGCCGTGCTGTGCACGATGCATACAAAGCGTATTTATCGAAATACAGTAAGTAGTAAAATTTTATAGAAACGCTGAAGTAATAATAAAACATGGTTTGTTTTTTTTTAATTCTTGAATTCACTAGTACCTGCAGAATACTCAGCCAGGATAATTTATGAAAACGGCAAAGTTTGTCTGGGTCGGTATTGTTCAGACCAAACCTTAATTTGTAAAAAATTGACGTTTTCCTGAAGGTAATTAATCCGATGCGTGCATTTCTATATGATTGAGTGATAAATAGCAAATTCAGAAAACAGCAGTTAATCGTGCCGGCGTTTTGACCGTCTCGAAGTATGAACCGTGTACAGTACGAAGTTGTCAATGAAAACCTAGTAGAAATACAGACGTAAAGAGGTAATAAAATTCGCTTATTTTGGTGTTATTTGTATTACATCTAAAAAACCGTCAACCAAATGAACGCATGCGGTTTACTGAAGCAGCGCAGGCTGCGTGTAAATCGGGCCAGCCGGAAGGCCGGCAGTTGTCCGGAAGCGGCCAGATGGGATGTTCTCCTAATGAGTTTCCTTTTGGAATTCCTCGTACCCTTGCTGTCAGCTGCAGCTAATCTCAGCCAATCATAGTATAATTGCACACAAAAACTTTCGGCCCAGTTGATCATGCACAAGCGGCACCGATGCACGCTTTTACAATAATTATTGCTCTGCATGGAGTTTGATGCCAAAAACGATTAAAAGCGTTGGTAGATTAGCGGTGGTATTTATTAACCAGTTTGGCAATGTGCAGAAGGAAGATCTTAACTATGTTTTTAGTTGCGCTTCAGAAATAAATCAGATAAATGTAATATTCGTATAAAAAAACTTGTTCTGTTATTTAATGGTTTTGCATCTTAGCTGCAATAAAAAGTTTGTTTTTTGTACAAATAAATTGCATGGATTTACATAAGGCTAATGGTAATGGGAAAAAATCGGCGACCTAGGTAAGCGAATAATTTCTTGCTCCAGTAATGGAATAATTACAGTACACATCGGTATGTCGTCGTGACGTCCACTGTCGATTATGCGTCGCAAATGCAGTGTCAAAAGCCGGCACATTCTGTGCCGATCGAGTGCTTCGGCCCTGCAGTTAAAAAAGAAAAGCTTATACAAAGAACAAAGAAGTTTCGAATTTTGTAAATCAACATTCTAACTTTAAACCTGCCAAACATGTTCCGTATAGCCAAAGTGCTGCTACTTGTAGTTTCGTATATCTATTCCTTTTATTCGCTGAACATCAAAAAGTCTTCTACACCAAATCTTCACCCAAATATCAATAAAAATACGCAATGGAATGACAAATTTCCGTAGGGGACATTGTAAAACAAAGTGTTTTCCTGTACACAGTTTTTATAAAAACGCATATAAAGATAATAACGCTTTTGAAAAGCTTTAATATCTCTATGTGCCGCGTCTCAAGTGCACACCGGATATCGAAACGCTTTGTAACCGGCATTCAGCCTCTCTAGTCATTCCAAAATAGCCCGTCGAATAAAGCAGGAATTTATTATATTTTCTTTCAACTATATATAGCCGCTATCGTGCGCGTGACGCTCCAGTATCGACCACGGAAAACAGTAGCTTAATGGAACACAGTGTTGTAGCTAACATTTTCTGCAAGAGCGTAAATTGCCGCCAATAAAATTTCCATTCTTAAACGGTGCGCTGGTGTTACGCCCCGCTATATTGGAGCAACTTTTTTCCCGGTATTGATTTTTTTTGCGATATAAATTGTTGTTGTATAAGGGTGGCGTTAGGTGCATTGATATGTTGGCCTGCTAACGTCCAACCCAGAAATATCTTTAGAAAATTTTCCGTGCCTTCGTATCCGGCGAATAATGCCCTACTTTAAACGTATTGTAGCATTGTAACGTTATCCCGATGCCGTCGAGATGCAATATTTTAGCCGGCTCGAATATCCCGTAAATTGACTATCGGTTGATTCGGTTGGTCCAACAAACCGACCACTTGACGTAACGGAATAGATTTTCCTTGTTCCTCTGCGACGATCAATGTGTCCAGAAAAATCCGCGATAGCTGAATGTACGTAATGCTACGTATACCGTATAATATGCTAACGGTGGGAATGGAGAAAAAACCGGCGCATGTACCCAGCTCTGTGATTTGTTAGATAAACGCTGACGGGGATGCGCTGGCGCTGGACTGAAACACTTAATTGACAGCCGGGTCTGTACGTCGTCGGGTTGAGTTTATGTTTTATTCGCCGGAGCGCGTACATATTAAGCATCAGGGAGTTTCCTCGGCTGCGCGTGAAACCGGATGTGGGGCTGTTGCTCGCACATTGTTTTCTGATTTCATTTATCCAGTCTGCATTGTGCATTTTGATGCGTACTCGATGCGATTGATGATTTTTTGGAGAATATAAATTTGTGCCTAGATCTGGTGCTTAGTATATAAAGCGTACTCGGATATTTAGCCAAATGTAAGTACAGGCGTTGTGATTTCAACAAGAAAGGTCACTACTATAAATATACTTCGGGTGTTTTTCTGATCGGTATTTTTTAATACACTATATTAGACTTATTAGTCCTAGCAAAAAGCGTTATTTTGATAAACCAGCGTCGACGAAGCAGGTAGCTACAAAGTTTTTGGTTAGCAAGATTCATCTAATAATGTTTAAATACAGATTCTCGGTGGCATTTCGCGTTCAAAATTAACGCGCTACTGCGGCAGACTGTTGAATAAACTTCGCCAGTATCTAAACTGGGGCAAATTTTTCTAGCTGTTTACACTGCTCTGAGTGGCTTCTTAATGTATCCACACTAATGACATATTACTGACATTTTTTCCTCATGCATCACAAACGCAACAAAACTAGCGTCAATGTAAAAAATTGCAGATGATTAAGGACTAACATTTCCGGTGCCCGGTACATATACCCTGAAGAATGGCCGACCCGGAGAAATGGGTCGGCGAGGCGGACGCCCTCAACATGGATACCGACGAGACTTTGGAGCAGGAGCTGACAGAGGATCCGGCCGATATCCAACCCAAATTCTTCCGCACCCCCTCCGTCGACCTGATCCCAACGGCAGCCGCCGTAGCCGCCGCCCGCCGGCGCAGCTCGGTTCGCTCCATTAAACGGTCAGCGGCCAGTGCCGAAGCGCGCCGGCGCAGCTTCGCTACGTCACCCCACAAATCAGCGGTGCCGCCGTTTGATGCCGCTGCCGGGGAGGTATCTATTGAGCTGGAGGACAGTCGACCCTACCCACCGCGCCTGGAGACCGACGACGAGGAGATTGCACGCTTTGGGGGCCCGTATACGTGGCGCGATCTGAAGGAGGAGATGAAGGGTCTGTGCACGCTGAAGACACTCCAGCGGAAGCTGCCCATTACGGCCTGGCTGCCTAAGTATTCCCGGGAGGATCTGATGGGGGATGTCGTGGCCGGATTAACTGTTGGCCTCACAGGTATTTATCCTCATTAAGCAATGACGGTTTTTCAATTGACAAGCTGCTGGCCAGGATAATCTACGGCTATATACAGTTGCCATTGAGTGCAATGGCCCGACAAACACCTAATATTGTACTTCATGTTTGTTATTTTGTGTTAGTAGTATTGCGCTTTATTAAACCGGCATCTGCTGCTATTAAAATTTAATAGTATTAATTTTAAAAGCGTACACGCATGCCCTGTGTTTGACCATCACAAAATCTCAATAGTCATACATTCATTATATACATATATAAACACTACTCAGTATTCGATACTAAATACGCAGTTATATATTTAGTATGGTTATGGTTCACTTTTTCTAAAGCAGGTTAACGCATATAATGTGCAGGAGTAACAGAATTAATACAAAGCATGATTGTGCCGCAAACACATACCAATGTTTTGGATAAATTGATGCACTTTGGTTTTAAATAGCACTTCTGCCTTATTTAAACTTATTTAAGGGTAACAATTTTGGTTGTTATCCAAACAGCATGCGCCATATATGCAGCATCAGAATTGTACGTTTACTACCATTTATGACAAATGTGGACAAAATGAATATAATAATATTAAATTTTCTGTATCATAATATCATTTAATGTGAAAATAGTCCTGTTCAGAATGGATGTACAGTGGAAAACATGAATGTTTTTATAAATTACAGTGGTGCCCCAGTGCTTAGCCTACGCCCAAATTGCCGATCTCAATTTGAAGGTACACATGCACGCGTTGTCCATTACCGCATACAGATATTCGACAGTGCATATCTTGTAAAGTCGTTGTGAAATGCATCCCGTGAATTAAACATTTACAATAATTATACATAACGGCTGAATGTGTGATTGGGCTAATTAGTACGGACTGAATTCGGCCTACATGGGCTGCTTCGTGTACGCACTGCTGGGCACCTCCAAAGACGTCACCGTCGGACCAACGGCCATATTGTCCCTGCTCACCGGGGCGTTCGTTGTGCGGGATGCCGGCCGGGAGGGCGAGTGGGCGGTTCTCCTGTGCTTCTGCGTCGGATGTTTTCAATTGCTCATGGGATTTTTACGCTTAGGTAAGCCGGCAACCGAAAACATACGTTGGCACATTTATACACTCACAGAGAGAGATAAGATAAATATTGTCCTATCGGGATTACGCCGAAGAGGATTTTTTGTCAGGATTTATTGACAGAAGGGATCGAGTTTTACTATAAACCATGTCTTATGGCGTTACAACACTGATGGTGAGCATTCAAAACAGAGAAAATAACTCAATTAAGCCCGTTTTTGTTATAATCAAGCAATACTGTATTTCATATTTTCTGGCACTGCTGCAGGTGTACTCGCACAGATATATAATTTTAATTATTGTTCTCTAATGATTTTCAAATTATTATTTTACTCTTTACTTGAAATGATTTAGGCTTTTACACGAACTTAATCGGTCTAAAATTTTGAAATGCTCAAAGTGGATCAGTTTTATGTGCATAATTAAGCAAAATGAAACGAATATATACTGATACAGATAGTGAATTAATTGAGGCTTTCTAAACAATACAAACTTACAACTATTTATAATTGCTCAAAATCGTTTCCCTAATGTGCTTGCTTGCTAGAAAAATGCGATTTAATTATCGCAGCTTCTTTGAGGAAACATTTTTCCGGCTTTTGTATAGAGCAAAATACATGGCGTTGGGTTTTTTTGTGGAGACCGGTGGAAGTTTCCTGCTAGTTATATAATGCGAGCGGATTACACAGAGTTGCCAATTATACTGTACATTGGATGGGGCACAGCTTGAAAAGATAGATCGATAGCAATCAGGCATAAATTCTCTCGTAAGGAAGTGATGTCAATGGGAGTGTGGCGTTGCAGGATTCCTTATTAACTTTATCTCTACGCCGGTCGTTTCGGGATTTACACAAGCCGCGGTTGTTGTTATAATCCTCAGCCAGATAAAGAACCTCATGGGTCTTCCCAGCTTCGGCAGTGCCAAGGACAACATCATCCAAACACTCGCCGGTTACTACAGCAAAATCGACCGCACAAAGTACGCAAACGGACTTTCTTATGTATAAACACGCACAACTGTCATATAAATAAACAAGCGTAACTGCGCAGGCTGCAAAAGATATAACGATTTTATTTCACTCAAAATAATAACAAAAGTCGATGCCGATCAGCATATATTATAACATTTAAAAACCTGCGCTTGTATATAATAAACAACTACTCTGCCACACGCGTTTTTATTTCTATGTACACTGTACAGTACAACATGTCAACATATGTTTTTTATTACTAATGTATTTCTTGGGCTCAGGATGATTTTCACACAGAGAATATGTTTCAAATTAAGACACGTACAACAATATTATAATTTTATTTACAACTAAATGGCAACAACAGGATGGTGCGTTAGGATGTGCGTATTTTGTGATCTTAGCAAAAACCTATAAATTTCTCGAACGAACATCAATCTAGTGCATGCGTTAATGGTGCCAAATTGTTAATGACCGAAATATGGTAAATGAGAAAAATGTGTTGGCAGTGGTTGGGATGTGCTGATAGGCAGCATCTGTATCACCCTGCTGCTGCTTATGCGTGAAATGAAGATGCCGGCTTGGAGAGCGTCGGAGGGTGCGGCCGCTGGGACACCACCGCGATGGTGGCGGGCGCTGAAGGAGACCATTCGATTAATGAGCGTTTGTAAGTGTTTCATGGTCGATTATGTGCCAACGATGGCGTGGGTTTAATTCGCATGAGAACCGACATAAATGACAGTGACAATGATGGAACGTTGAGATAAAATGTCAAAAAATCTTTGTAAAAATTTACCTGGAAAACCGCTACCACTGCTGAAACGTTTTAGAACGCCTAGTTCTGTTTGTTCCCACGGTTGTCGGTCTTGGAAATTTACCTTAACAACCAAGAAAAAACTGAAAGAGTTTTTGCTATGTGTAACACTAATTTCACTGTAGCACTTCTTGTCTTCAGCGCGCTACGCCATCGTCGTGGTGCTGGCCACCGCCCTGCAGTTCGTCTTCCACCACAACAACATTAAGGGACTATCGGTGGTGGGCGACGTTAATGCGGAGTTGTCGCCGCCTGTCCCGCCCAGCTTCAACGTGGAGGGCCGCTCCTTCGGCAATGTCCTGGCCACCTTCGGCTCGGGCCTGGTGCTGGTACCGCTACTGGCCACCATGGAGTCCATCGCCGTGGCCAAGACCTTTGCTCATAAATTCCGCTACAACATCGACACCACCCAGGAGTTCCTTGCCTTGGGCGCCGGCAACCTCATCTCCTCCTTCTTCGGCTCCTATCCGGTCACTGGCGCCTTCACTCGCTCCGCCCTCAACGCCGAGAGCGGTGTGCGAACGCCCCTGGGCTGCATCGTCACAGGTTGGTGTGACAGCGAGAGAAGCAAGGCAACATTAATCTCTCAAAATTCGAAGTACTAATAAGCAAACGTTGAATAATAACGTTTGCCAGTGAAATAGCGAGCTCAGCGAGGGCACACGCACTTGTGTTTTTTGTCTGTCTTAATTCACTGCATATTTTATATATACGCATTAAGGGAGCGAAATTTGCTAACATGAGCAAGCCATCGAAAATTCTTTTTCGGTGCGGAAAGATCGCCACAAATGTAAAGCAAAGCGAAGAAAGGAAATTAAGACCGTTTTTAACTCGATGGGACAAAATAGTCTGTCGGTGTGGATTAGTTATCGGGTGCCTGTTTGGGGTGATTTTCCTGACAGTTCCGATTACCGGCTAATGGGACGGCGCAGGGTGTAGCGTAAGAAATGTGAATTGTTAACAATAAGTAATGCGTGTGTTCAATTACAGCGGGAATTCCACAGCAAATGTAAAGGCTACTTGAGATGAATGGCACGCATACTTGCCACAAAAAAAACAGCGCTTATGACCGTTTTAAGCAGAACAGATGAGTTGTAATGACTGTTTTCCGTGCCGGGCGTCTCGAGTTTGAACAGTTATGAGCGTTGCACATCATCATTCTTTGAGCCCAAGTGCGCTATCCAAATATTCGTTAGTTTCAGTCTGTGAATTCTAGCGCACTGGCACCGCTTATTAAGAAAATACATTTAGGAAATACTTCAAGTAGGTCGTTTAAATTGTTTTACGAGCATTAACGAGTAGTACAAAAGTGGTAATTGCAAAATGAAGGATTCGCAGTACGTGCATGTTATAAGAAAAACATAATGAACTGTGTCAGTTATTAATTTCAGGGACAACCTAATGCTACTTAAAACCACCAGTCCTAATTTAAATCCTAATTTAAATTTAAATCATAATTAAAACGACCAGTCCTAATTTTTAATCATTTATCATTTGCTAGTTTTACTAATTTAGATTTATGTCTGAATGTATATAGTACATACTCTCCAGAACAGTGACTTTGATTTTTAAACGGTAACGTGCCACAGCTTTGCATATGTATGGATTACCGTGCGTGGCAAAGGTCATCTGGCAATTTGTTACAATTATCTCAAAATCAGCCTTAGACGATGAATCTGACATGCAGTGTGATACTTATACGGCTGCGCGCGGTAAACATCTGGCCATATTAAATTTTTACGACTCGTGGATGAATGTGGCGGCATGGGTGTTAGACATTTAGCAAGCCGAGGCTGCCACAACAGAATCTTACGCTATATCAACTGCCGAATGCCGGAAGTTGAACCGCTCGCGCTGGGCACCTCATCCCCTCTCACTGCACACTGCCGGTTCAGAGCCGTCTCAGTGTTCACTGAAGACAATAGTCAGGGAAGATTTATCGCTTTCGCCGGTCGGCCATGCTGTGAGATCATATGTACGTGACTGTCTTACGCTGCCGATATGAAAGTATAAGCCTTCAGTAACACAAGAAAAATGAAGAAACCTGGCGGTAGCAAATAAGTTTTCGAGTCCGAAACAAGGACAAAAATTTCGGGAAAGTTTTTAGCATTGGTGCAAAGTAAATGCATGATATAACGTCCAAACTTTAATTCAATTTACGCTGTAGCTGTATACAATAATTACCGTTAATAATTATACAACCTAGCACATACCAAGTTTAACATACCCGAATATTATGAGAAAAAGTGGTTACATCATGACATGTTATGAGATATTGTCATGAATGTCACGATATGTCAGTTTATTACCATTCGTTATAAATTTACGCTTTAAGTACGTTTTGTAGAACTATCATCCTACAGCAGGCCGTAAAAACTACGACACGTAAAGGTCACCATGCATCATGTTTGCAGGTGGTTTTGTGGTGGTGGCCATCGTGGCTCTGAAGTCGCTCTTCCAGTACATTCCCAAAGCTGCACTGGCGGCGGTGATCATCTGCGCCTGTCTGACCATGTTCGACTTCCAGATCTTCCGCGAACTGTGGTTTATTCGCAAATCAGAGCTCTTTGTCCTGATCTTGACCATGGCCATGTGCCTGTTCCTGCGCGTGGAGTACGGCCTTCTCATCGGTCTGACCGTTTCCATCCTCATGCTGGTTTACCCAATGGCGCGGCCGGTAGTCATTGTCCGGCGCCGGCGGAAGTCCCTGTTGAACCGCAGCCCCAATATGCGGCTGGATGAATGCCGCATTAACGTCATTCCACAGGGCGCCATCTTTTTCCCAGCGGCCGAGTACGTCAAGGAGGTTTTCAATGATCCGCTGTTCAGCGTGCCGGTAAAGGCGCTGACCACCCCCCGGGAGTCCAACGCGAACGGGGAACTGCGCGGTGGGATGGCGCTGCGGGACGCCCTGCCGCCTATCATCTTCGACGGAATCCATCTGACCAGTTCGGATTATTCGACCCTGCGGGCGCTGCGCAGTGTTTTTGTTAACTGCAAGGCCAACCATCGGGATATTGTCTTCGTCAATACATCCGACGAAATCCTGGATATTATTATGCCCTTTCGCAAAAAGACGCTGCCAGCTGTTGCGGCCAGTGCCGGGCCAGATGATGCAGAGGAACAGCAGCATCCGGTGCCCAGCAAGCACCCCAATTAGGATCGTCGAATTGTCAACGGTACGAGCATATATAGCGAAGACCGATCTCTGATGATCTCCATGAGCAATCAAAAAGCGTACTGCCACGCTGCCACGTGCCGAAGCAGAGTTTAATTATAGGGTTTGCCGTGATATTGTGGTGTTTGCCGAGATATGATGGATTTTCCCGGTGGGGGAAAACAATTACGAATGCATAGTATTTAGGTTACTGATGGATTTCCTGATGCAGTCTACGAATTCACGATAAAGTGTGTCGCTGCCAATTTTATCGCAAACGTTGTCATGTTCAACAGTTAAGCTGAATGCGATACCTATAACGTCTAAGCATGTTACTTCCTGTCGACTATCTTTAATTTACTGGATTTGTATTTGGTAATTTATTATTGGTCTGCAGTAGGGTTTGCGTACCAGACTGGTGTTGTGAAAATTGAGGATCTTGATTTAGCAATAAGAGGTTTCTGGCCAGATTGTCATAGTGTGTGCTCTTTGTGTCGGTGCTGTAGTGATGGTTGTTGCTTGATGCCTGACTGGTAAAGTTGAACCTGGTCTACTTTATTATCACTTCAATGGTTAAAACATGTACGTTACATAAATGACACCTCATCGATTGCGAACCTCATATTCCAGTATGCACTCAAATTTCAAAATCCCAGACATAATTACAACGATACACTTTACACTTTGGACGCAATGTTGCTAAAAAAGGTCACGAGGGCTGTTTTTGGCTCGCATGCAACGAAAATGCTGCAGTTAAGAAAATATTTCAAACAGCGCGCGTCGTTCAATGTTTGTCCTTTATGAAAAAGAATAAAATCGTGTTCAAAGGTTGTGTCTGCGTGCTCACGGCAAAAATAGCTAAAGTCTGAAGAAAACAGACATGTCAAAGTAATATGAAGGTATTTTTTCCGTAGCCCAAATACCTACAGTTTGATGAAAGCATTTTATGGATTCGTAAGAAAAATCAATATTGGGGAGACTTCCAAAAAACTACCACGCAAAATCTATGAGAAGCGGAATAGCCCAAACGTTTGTAAATTTGACTGTCAACTCGTACAGCTGCAATACATGCAGTTTGCGCTGGGTTGTGACTTTTTCGTTCGTTAAACTGAGGGGTTCAACATTTTCCAAACAAATCAGAAAAATTAATGATGCTACACGGGTACCTGACGGGTACAGTTCCCGAGCAGGATAGCATATAAGTTTTTCTGTTACGGCTTTGTTTTGGTACTTATATTGTACTGGTTTCGTGATACTTATTAAAGGTTCAGGTAATGCTGCACGTTACAAAGGTGCTATTTAACATCTACTAACGCCTTCATCTCCTGGCTTCTGTTTGTCATGGGCTTCGCAACAAAAATCACAAGTATTTTCGCCCAGTTGCAATTGTGGCTGATCCCATGGTTGCTGTTCCCCTGAACCAAAAATACAATACACCACCGCAGCAAGCGTGCTGCTGGCAGCAGTAATATAGAACACCACCCTCCAGTTTTCCATGGTCTGCCCATGCGGCCCCCCAGTCAATACCCCGATGGCGTAAGGTGCCACAATTCCCGGCAGCATCGCCGTCGTCGTCGACATCCCCAACAGCAGTCCAGCGTACTTCGGTGCCAGATCAATGAAGTTGGCCTTAATTCCCGCGAACGCCGCACCACTCAGTCCCACACCGACCACCAGTAAGGTCACAGCCATGTAAGCATCGCATGTACAGCCCACACCCACCAGACACGCAGCCGGCGATAACAAACCAATCATCTGCGTCACTTTACGCACATTGGTAGTTGACATGTAACCGCGCTGTCGTAGCCAGTCAGACGCGATGGAGAATATTTGGATGCAGATGGTCACCGCCAAGTATGGCAGTGCCGACAATAAGCCGTTTGATTTTAAACTAAAGTGAAGAATTTCGTGAAGATACGTCGGGAGATTAGTGAGTAGGGTGACGAAACCCCAATTGCCGCCGAAATGGGCAATGGCGGCGGCCAGAAAGGGGACGGAGGTCAATGGCTTCCACCACGGTAACGGTGACCTTTGCTCCGGCTCGCTGTTTTGTGCGTCTTTGGTTATCAGTTCCAGTTCCACGGACGAGATGTCCGGGTGTGCGAATGGTGTCTCGTAAATGTAGAGCGTCCATATGGCGAACCACAAGCACGCGGAGACGCCGAACACGTAGAAGATACTTGGCCATCCCCACAAACTGATCAAGTATCCTGAGACGGCGAACATCAGCATCTACAATTCAGTCCGTTCGGGGTTTTTCGTAATGGTAATATTTGGGGTGTAACGCAGCGCTAAATTGCATCCATGATCGGATGATCCAACATTCTCAAAGTTAAAGTCGGAAAAGAAAATTATTAATGTAACGCCAGATTTGTTGTATGTACTATAGTACATACAACAACTATAGTACATACAACAACGTTTATTTTCTTCTACAATTAAAAATGCCGGATTCGTTACCTGTGCGAAATAAGTAAACTTTCGCACAGGTAACGAATCCGGCATTTTTAATTTTAGAATGTTTTTAAGGGACGTACCATTCCGATATGCATACCGGAGAAAATAAATCCAATGAATTTCGTCCGTTCTTCCGATGGACTCCAGCTGCTGATTAAGGTCTCCATGGCCGGAAAACACACCCCCTGCAAAGAACGTTTATATTCTTCAGTCACGACTGGACTCAATTAACGACAGGCTTTATTGAACTGGACGCGATCATAACACTGCAGTTTTCTAAATATCTAATTTTTAGACGTAGAAACAATCAGTTAAATGGAATATACTGAGGCAGGAGAAATCGTTAATCTTTTTTTACTCACATTGATAATCCCTTGAAGAACCCGTACAGCGATTAGCACGCCGTAATGTGTGCGTGCCGCCCATGGTATACACAGCGTCAGAACCCCGCCAAACAGCACGCTAAATCCAAATACATGCTTCCCACCACAACGGATGGCCAACCAACCACCCAGGTAGCAGGTGAAGATGTATCCGTAAAAGAACGATCCCAATACGACACCGCGCACCGTGCCGTTCCAGTTGAATTCCCCGTTTGAGGCCTACAAACATACCGTGACCTTTGCATGAATATCACGGTCAACATATGAAACTGCCCAACTGTGGTCCGTTCTATTTGATCGCAAAAAATGGGCACTTTTGTATCAAACCCTGAAACAGACGGATCATGGCTTCTGCTTGTTCGATTGTCAAAGTTCTTGCATGGGCTTTGTTGTTAGTATTGGTATGAGTAGTACTGCATGGGCTTTAGTATTAGTATTGTCTTTGTGATCGGTAAAGTTGTTATCAAAACGTACAATGTAATAGTCACTGCTTTAGCGGATTATGACAACTTACCAAAACGCCGTGGATGAGCGGCATGGCGACAGGCAAGGGACAAGTTGTGCCATAGCTTTTTTCGGTTGATGCTGTTAACGTTTGATTCCTGATAGCGATGGATGTAGAATTGACCATAGCCACAATCGCTACACTCATGTTGACCCGCAATGCATATAAATGCAGCATTCCGAAAAATGACGCCAGGGCAAAAACGTAGCGTGTCGGTACTATACCGGCTTGCCTTGACCCTTTCCGCCAAAAGTAGATGACACGCAGTCACGCATGTATTGTATGATATATAGAATAAAGAATATTAGTGCCAATAAGGAGCAATAAAGAATATTAGCGCCAGTTAAATTAACATGCTTCTCATTAGACGCAGTCTTAGTCATAATCGTATTTTTGTAGGTACAACGTAATTCGGCAAGAAAACTGAAATTACATGAAAAGTTTAACAACAAACCCAAACGAACATATATAACATAAAAACCAGCAATACTAGTACAATATATAAAATAAAACTAAACATACCTTTTTTAGGTGCTTCAGCGATGCGTATGCTTTTAGCCAGATCCATCATGTAATTTTTTTAAATCAGGTCGCTAAAGAAAACAGTCTGTTTCGCTCTTTTAATTAAAAGCGTTTAAAATATTACTTTATGGTCATTGCTGTTAGCAGCGACGGTTATTCGCTTTAGAGATGAAGAATATCTCTCCTTGCCATATGCTCTTTGTAATAATTGTATTACATCGGGACAAATCGAGAACAAGTGAAACATTCTAAACAAGCCTTGTTTATGGTAGTCCTGGAGAAAGAAAGACGCTACAAAGAAATCGGCGTTTTTCTTTGTGTTTGCTGTTTTGATTGCTTGATTCACGTGAAATCCCACGGTCCGCTATATATGTAGAGAGGCGGGTAGCATTGTAGTTCGACGATTGGCCGGCGCTGCTTCCGCACATACGTATTTCTAATACTGTGACGTTATTACGAGTAATTAATTATGAGCACGAAGAGGTGCGAATTTCGAGCGCAAATTGTACCCTAACGCCTTCCGATCTTTGCTGATCGGATAGTCTCTGGGAGTTATCAATCTCAAACAGCCTGGTAAAATGTCCTTATTAGCGTTTACTACTACTAAAAAATTAAAGAAATACCAGTGGGACTAACATAATATTTTATGACACCGCTTTGTAATTGAAATTAATTTTGCAGTCGCAACATTGTTTACTGGGAGCCTTATCGTATTTATGCTATTACATACGAAATTAATAATAGATCGACCCAAGAAGTCTCACCTTTATAAAAGTTAAGACTAGAAGACAATCCCATCGCCAGAAAAAATTTGTTTTCCCTGGTGAAGTGCTTAAAATCGTTGCAGAGTGTCTTTTAAAATCGCTGAGATAACCTTGAGAAAAATCTAGTAGATGTGCTTTCGGCAGATTTCTCCTGAATCGTACGACCGATGAAATTGAAGCTTCCTTAGTATGACCTCCCAGCACTTTCAACATTTCCACAGCAAAGGAAAAAACAACATTAATACCGATTCTCTTAAGAATCGGTAATTATTTCGTTTCTCGTTTCCGGCAAATCGTAATAGTTGTTAAGCTATCTACTGGATAGTGGCTACTGTATGCATTACTGCAGTACAAATCTGACCGATGACCAATGCAGAACGCAAGAAACGTATTACCTACTTACAGGTTACCTATGCAGTATACAAATACAAACCGTTACTTAAGCAAATACAAACCGCTACACGGCCAGCGTGACCTTTTGGTAATACAGATAGCAATCGATTTTAGAAATTTGTTGGTACAAATCGCCATTGTGAGAGCACTAGCAAGAGGTACAGCGAACAAGATATCTCTGATTTCGCATCACTGATACCGTAGTTTACTTGAAAACTCTTCTCTGTTCCGTCCACCCGTACCGGCACAGAAATGGAAACAATAATGCGTGGTTCCTGTAAACATGCTCGAGATCATAAAAGAGGTAATAAAACGTTTGTGAAATGCTTATATACTGAAGGAGACTATAATACACTCTTCACGAACGCGCACATCGAATACTCTCCGACCATTTAACACGACTTAAATTTTAGTATAATTATGATTATAAGCAAAATGATCACAGATTGTCTCGGTCCAGGCTCCCGACAATGGCCGATCGAATATCTTTTGGTTTAATGACCTTCCAGTTCCCGGCAGAGTGTGTGTGCAACAACAGTTGATTGTCTCGTTTTGTTAAGAAACCCGACATCTGACAACATATAGATAGGATAATCCACAGAGAAATGCCGCTGTGAGCAACAGCCAATGGCACATGGCGATCTGCGCTGAACTTCCATTGGGCGATTTCTTCTTTGGACTGCCTTTGGCATTGACCGCCAGATTGTCCTCGTCCATTTGTTGTCCGTCATATAATACTGAATTAAAATCTGCCAATGTTACACGATATTAACAACGTTAACGTAACTTATTATAATAGCACATCTCAGCCTTAAACGTTCACAGTCACTACGCTTAATTCACTCAGAGTCAACAAAACAAGGCATTTGTCGATACTCTTACCGGCATCATATTTTGGCGATTCCTTTTCTGCAACGACAGAATGATTTTTTTTAAAAAACTTATTTTCGAAATTATAGTATAATCCGAAGATATTTGATTTATCGTGCAATGCCATGCAGATGCAGCATGAATAACTTATTACGCACCATGTAACTTGATGACCTCTTCCTTCTTCCCGTTGTGATTATCCGCCGAGCATGTGTAGGTATGTTTATAGTCGTTCTCGTCCACCTTTTTGATGGTGAGGATGAACTTTTTGCGGTAGGGCGGCGAGCCATTGCTAATTTCGGTGCGGATATCGAATTTGTCGCTGTTAGAGAGAACATTGCTGTCCTGGAACCACAGCATCGCCGCCGGAGGATATGCTTCTACTTCGCACTACACAAGCATACATAAAACAGTAAACGTCAGTAGTAGCGGAATAATATAGGTACCCTACAAAGTAGTTTAAATCTGGAGTATGACCTTTAGTTCTATGGAATCGCCCTTCCAGGCACCCATGTACTTCGGTTCCACCCAAAGCTTTGGCGTGACTGTAAGCGAAATTTTGCATTCAGTACGAGTCTGTAGACATAAATATGTACAGTACATTATTTTAAAGGTTATCCATGCGCTTACATTCAACATTGACGCTGATGCGTTGGCTGACCGCCGGCGGCACTCCGTTGGATGCCATACAGAGGTAAGTACCCATTTCTACAACGCCAACACAAAGTGAAGTGTCTGCTGTTAATAAGTAATTTCTGGGTGTAATTCTTCACTTTACGACCTGGAGCAATGCCGATCGATCGGACGAATGGATGAGGTTAAAAATAAGCGAGAAAATTAACGCCAGTAACTGTACCTGTTCGTTTTATTTTGGGGATATGCAGAACCGAGCCTTTGTATGTCCGCACTGAAAAACAGTTTATTGTAGCCATGTATGCGAGACAACACAAGGGAGTAATCAATTTTCTATAAAGTAGTACACCAGTATTAGTTACAACAAATAGCCCAAAAATTGAAGGCCCGGTTAAAATTCACCTCGATCATGACCGCGGGTGCGAATCAGTTCGCCGTCTTCGCGCTGCCACGTGATGGTGGGCGACGGATGACCGGTGGCCTTGCACTTTAGAATGACGTCATGCTCTTCATGGGCCATGACGGTGTCGGTAGTATCAGCGGCGATTATTACCGGGGGTACTGCAACAGTTATCAATATTCTTCAAATTTTTGATTTGGGCAAATATGATTTGCACTGCACGGAAACGATATATGCAGTTTAATAGACTTTAACATTACAGTTTTGTTGGTTCATTCTTGAATTTGACTCTCTAAGTGTGTTGCGAAGCTGTCACTTGAATGAAAACCAAGTAAACATTTTTCTGTTTTTGTTTACATAAATTGTTTCAAGGCGCAAACTGTGACTCGCAAAAGACACTGATCCAAAAGCCGTGCAGACAATATTCATGTGCGTTATCGGTTTTTTAACAGTTTTTACTATGATTAAGCGTATGCAAAATGTTTTATTTTGTTCTAATGAATTATAAAACAAAACTTCCAAAAAATCAAAGGTGACAAACTGGAAAAGATTACGTAAATAGATCGAGAGAAAATGAAACGGAGTGGAAAAATGTGAAGAGAAGCGATAGATATACAGATGTATGAGAGGAGACCGATTGGACGGCCATTAGTGGCGGCGTTCAAAAACAAATTATTGTTCCTCGAGGATGAGAGTGCGCAGTATGTTACACTCGTATATATGACGTACCACGAACATCCAAGGCAGCTTTCATTTGAGCAAAGGGCTTAGTGTTGATGCGGCAGGCATAGACTCCGCTGTCTTCCGGTTGGACGTTTTTAATATGGAGAGTAAATTCCAGCCGGTCGTGCTGGTGTACGCTGATACGGGGATTATCTTGAACGATCTGCTTCTCAATTGCTAAAATTGTTTGCGTATCCAGTCTAATCCACACTAACTGCAAGCGAAACAAAAAACACGCTACTCTTACAGTATCATTTTATACATAATATGTACACGATCGGTCCTTTTTTACTCTGAGCGGCAACTAACCAGTCTCCACTTGATAAGTCGTCACCGACCCATCAATTAGTCGTGCCGCATGAGTATGTACCAGGAAAACCGATGAAATAAGTATCTACCAACGGTTTTCCATTTACTTGGACAGAAAATATCAGAAACTCTGCCGCAGTTATTAAGCAAACTGAATCAGCCTGCACGGCATAAAAGTTAAATGAAAAATATATACGAATGTACAAGCGTTATCCTGGGAAGAATACTATTGGTAAATAGTCATTATTGCAAACATTAAATCAAATTTATATAAAGTTTAGTGCATGTGTAAACAGAATTTCAAAAACTAATTATCGGTTGCATGCAATTCGCACTGCGCTAACGAAAAGCCGAGAGTAAGTAAATAGAGACCAACCGGAAGTGTGAAGCGCTTACCTGCAGCTTATTCTGGCTGTTATGGTCTTTGTGTATTCTGCCGACTTTGCAGAAGAACTGAGCATCTTGTCCCTGCTGAATTGTCAGGTTTTTCATATGGGGCATGGCGAATTCCAGTTCCCTCTGTTTGTTCAGCACTTTACCTTTCCCGTTTTTCTTCCCTGCCACAAGACGAACGCACAGTCAATTCACCATCTCTGATCATTTATACTTGTACTGATTGTGAGTGACACTTATACTGAATTAACGTTCGAGCTAGTTACAAAATATTAACAAAACACGAACCCGCTTAAATTTCAATATGATATTTTTGTAAATTTTGGACGTACACATGCGGAGAAGCATAATGAAGAATATTCTTCAGTATTCTTCATTGCGGTAGAAGTATCCAGTAAAACAGAGAGTAAGATGGAAAAGCTTTTATATAGTATTATTTTGTTTGTGTACAAGGAGAACGGTTTAAGTAGCACCTTATCTTTTAACTAAAGAGAGGATAAAGAGCTTGGTTCTTTTTTCGTCTTGGATCAAACTTTTATTGATTATGAAGTAGGTATTGCGATTTTTTGTTATATGGGCGGCTACTGCTGATTAAAGTTTATGTAATATGAGAATTGTTCTCATGCATACGTCGTGACCGCGGAAGGTAGAGGGAGCGCGCGCGCCATTTGAAAATGGTCTAAAATTTGAGCACCAGGGAGCGCAAAAGTGGCTCAAAAAAGCGAATGCTTCTTACGGAAAACTTCTTTGCAAGTTTCTATGAAATTCTGCTCTACAAACAGGGCTCCCCAGCGAGCCCAGCTAGCATGCGTACGAAAAATAAGCTGGGAATAATGAACGACCATAACAATTGAAAGATACAGTATACATATCAGCATTCTCTTACCGCAGGAATGCAAAAAAACAGTCATAAATTCATACCACTTCGAAAACTTGTTTATGATGGACTGCATACAATTAATTAATTTCTTACCGGCCGGAGTGTCATTTATCTGTTTACAGTCAGTCCATGATTGGCTGACTTTTTTTCAACCCTGACCTTGATAAGAAGTTTGACTACAGGCAAATGCCGGCGAGCGTGTCTCGCCTGACACGCCAAACGGGAAAAAACTGACTATTTAGGTGATTTGCCAGTATCTACATGTGCACAACTGCCGGTGTAGATCTGATTACCGCATGTTTACACATGTCCCTGCCAAAATATTACATCATAACGGCCGCGACGCTGCCCAGTTGACAGAACATTCTCCCTTTTCTTTTTTATCGGCATATGAAATATTTATGCTACACCTTCACATATAGGTGGTTAACACGGTGTGAAACGCCGGCTGTTGAGTGCTGACGATGCCGGGCTTGTGTATACATGTGTGGAGATGTTAGTGTTTAAAAAGCCACTTTAGGCCAGGTTAACCTCTGTACCGGCACAGGAAATGAAAGTGGCTATTGTTCCCATAGAGGATGCCGTTAGTGCCACTTTGATTTGCCGGCCGCAATCACATTTTCACAACCCAGTTCACACTCACACAGGTTCCCTCTTCCCATACAACAAATACTGCATCCAGTTAAATCGCCGGGCACCTGTTTTCAACCAACGCATTAAGCAAAAAATCACCGTGGACCGGGTAAAAAAACACACATAGAATGGCCATTAAACGCAGGTGTGATTCATTGATCTTCTTTTCACAAATTTTCCAACCGACCTATTTTCAAACTATGCAAACAAGGGCACATTAATTCTTGTTTCTTCTGAATATTGTTTTTACAAACTCAACGTTATTTAAGGCCATTTACATTTAAAATAACTCTTTTTTTGTGTAACACAAAAACCTTTATAAGCTTATATATACTAATTATTATTTTGGCTTTTTTGTGCTGTATTTTCTCTCTAGGATTGATATATTTTTTAAAATTATAGTTGCTCGGATAAATGGCTAGAACAATTGGAAATCGCTTTCCACATTTAAATTTTAACTAGTAGACCCCGCGCAAACTGCGCGGAATAAATTAACGATAAATTGTTATTTACGGAAACTACAAAGGACAAACCCATGACTACAAAATACAAATTTAGTTTAATTGAGCGGAGCGTATAATAATAATAATATAGTTTCACTGGCAGAGACAGACAGTATTTGCCATATACCGTAGCTATTTGGTTGACTACTTATCATAACTTATGTGGTAAGTTTATTGTTTATTTTGGCCATAGTTCACTGACATATAAAATGTATTACAGTTTACTTATTAAATGTTTAAGGCCGCTTTGAGAAAGCATTGTCGCGTTCCGCTGACTTCAGATTTAACTTTAAATTAGACCCGAAAAATTTGACAATTTCGAGGAATACATGTATGCCTTTTTTTGCAGTTATAAAACAAAGTTTTTAAGCCTTTTCCAAATCAATCAGCAGCATATGCTGGTCAGTTGTCAAGAACTACAAATAAGAAAGACTCCATAATTACCGGAATTTTTATAGCCGTATTACAGTACTTCTATTGGTTCAGATACCATTCTGAGCTTTGTTAAATTTTAGCCAGTGCGTTGTGACCGACAAAACTATCCAGTGATACGACGGTACGACCACCGATGTTAACCTTTAGACCACTTAGAATAAAAATACTTTCCGGTGTCCAGTTTCCTCCTTCTGTTTACACACAAAACAATTTAACTTAATGAAGACTTCAAAATTTCGTTGTTTTCTTTGGTGAATCAATAATTAACGTCGACAACTTTAGCGCAGTGTCTTGGTTGCGACCCCCGCTGCAGGTAGGCGTCGCCTGTGCCTCCGCTTTCCGTTACGTACTTATAAAATTTTCCCGTGTTTTTTAGTTTTGACCTTTGATGGGAGATGATCTGACGGATTGCTTTATAGCTGGCGGAAAAAATAGATTAGAAAGCGGATAAGTTCGAGTTTTGAATCTTCTGTTTGTTTTAAATTTTTTAATGCTAAAAATGCGTTTTTTGTTTTAATAAAACCGTTTTTCTACGTTCCTAGGCCCGGCGGGACTGGGACTCGTTGTTTTGCCCAATGGTGTGGACTCATCATTTCCAGTCGAACACCAAAATTCTCGAAATCGACTTTCAGTCTCTCACAAAATAATATGTTTATTGGCCATTTCCAAAAGAATGTTTATTGGCACGTCAGCACGATATTATCAAAGCCAACCGCCCTGTGGAAGCAGTTTCAATATTAAATCTAATCAACCCGTTGCGAAAGGCAACTACGAGGGTTACTCGGAAAGTAATGATAACTATCGCACGATTTTTTATTGCATCAGCGCTTTCCTCGTATTTTCTCAAAACAATGTCCCTTAATCTCTATACAACGCAAACAGCTAAACAGCCACTCATCAAACGTTTTCGAAAAGAAATTAGGCGGTATCTTAGAGATCGGTGTACTGATATTTTCTTCCAGTTATTCATAATTTCAAACTTTTTGCCCCGCAACAATTTTTTCAAGCCAGGAAATATTTGGAACAGATAAAGGACTAAGGTAAACTAAGAAAAATAATGTGGAACGATAATTTTACTCCAGGCCGAGAAAAAAAATAAATCAGGGACGGGGTGCTTATCTGTGGATTTTCGCGATATTGCACCACACGGATGATACCGTGCCAGAAACCATTTTCTTCTGCGTTATCAGTAAGCAGCTGCAGCACACTCTCGACACCTTTCCTTCCATAATGATTAGACCCTCTGCTATTGCTTCGGGGTCGGAAAAGGATCCTTCTCGATCAGGGTTTTGACTATGATTACTTTTCGAAAGTGGAAACTCAAAAAAATATTCCAAAATTTGAGCACCGTTGTCAAAACGGAGTGCTCGGTGGGAGTTCGCTGGAACCAACTGGCAACATCAGCAAAGAATGGTCCTTATTAAGGCGACAGAACAGGCAATACAGCATGAAAAATTCTACACTTCTCTCTGCAAATCAATTTTTCAAAATAATATCATGAAAACTGGCCAGTAATTAAGGCAACGCTTTCAGTGATCAGTGAAAAATCAGCGCTACCCAGCCATGTTCAGAGCCTTGCTAGCCGCCAACCTTAGGCGGTATGGCCACGGCCATTGCCCTATGATCTAGTTATGAATGCTACAGTTTTTAAAAAATCAGTGCATAATTTTATGATTATTAACTGATACTGATTATCATTACTTTCCGAGTAACCCTCGTACTTTATCTTTGAAATTTGAGTCGATCCCACTTTCCAGAAGATTTCGCATCGCATGTTCAGTTTTTAAGAAACATCACTTTCAAAGCCTACATTTTTTGAAAACTAACTCTTAATAAAAATTTTATGGACTAAAGGTAATCGGATACCTAATGGACACCAAAGTTCCATCAAGTGTAGATGAATGCTTTTCCTGTGCTGTTCATGACGGTGGTGGCGTGGGTGGGTTTGCAGTGGTGGGTTCTCCACTTTTCCCATAAACTTTGTATGTTAAGATCTTTTAAGATTTTCTCTGAAACTTCGCACACTTTCAAAAAACTGACTGGTTTCTGCAAATCTGCAAACTAACGGCTATTAAATGACATATAGACATCACAGTTTGGTTCAGTGGCTCGCTCAAAAAAGGGAGACAGAAATGGAATTCGCTAAGGCTTATTTTATTAATATATAGGATTTCAGATTGATTTGCTTTTTATATTTTTTCTAAGTACACTAAATTTGTTTAAACGTAACCATTTGTACAAAAGTTCTTATTCGCATAAAACAACGTTTTTGTGGTAAATGCCCAAATTTGTCTTTTATCATTTGGCGCGTTGAGGATTAACCGAGATTTAATGTTTTCACCCCCGAAAAAGGAGAATCCTTTGACCAAACAGTTTGTGGTTGAACAGACACTTTGAAGAAAGGTTAAAGAAACCGCGCGCGAAAAGATGCCGAAAATACGTATCAACTCAACAATGCAAGAAAGGGTAGCGCGCATTAATGATTACTCAAGGCAGCCGAGCGCGTTAGCCGTCAAGTCAACACATCTATTCAGGCCTCTTAACTGTTTACAGGGCACTGAAAAGCGCGGGAGCACTCGCGGCGAGGAAAAGAGATGGGAAAGATAGATAAAAATTAAAGAGTGTTTCTTCTTTAGCAGACCGGCCACAATTCCGGGAAGACCGGCTTCCGGTAGCCGGCGCGTAAAACATACATAAAAGCTGGCGGAAATATTATGTGTAAGATGAAACTGATATTATATTATTGTAGTGCTGGAGCACGGGATCCCCTTACCGCTTCCCATCCAGTCAACACGGTAATTGGCCTTTATCACCCGGTTGACGATGGCCGACGCCAGGAACCCAAACGGACGCGTGCGGGCCAATTATCAAATTACCGCGCGCGCGCATCTCGGTGTATCAGGTCGGTATGCACGGTTACCTGAGCTGGGCTGCGGTGTGTGTTTATGCCTTTATGGACAGAGTAAGTCAGCGACAGGCTGCGGATAGTCGCACACGCTAATTTCGCCGTTTCCGTATCGGGACACGGGCATGCCGGCTAATTATAGTTCATTTCACCCGATGGGGCGGAAAAATTTGTTTTTCTACCGGTTGACGTATTCAGAAACGATTTTCTGGCTGGTTGCATGCAAAATTAATTAAATAACAACCGGCAATTTTAGCCCGATATACGAGTGCTAGTATGTGCTTGTTATAACATGACCGCGTTACCTAACAAAGTAAACGAAACAAAAATTTTCAAGAAAACCTAAACAAAAAGAAATCCCGAAATATAGCAAACAACAGAAGGCAGTTTTATTGCAGAAAAATACATGACAAATTAATTATTTTGGGGTGATATCTGACACAAATCCATGCAACTAAGTGATGTCATAACTTACTCCTCTCAGTTAAAAAAATATTTTATTACAACATTTGATTTGCAAGGATTGTAAAATTGCGAAGGAATTCCTTGCTGTGTCATACTTCCCGGTTAATATAAACACGATAATTGACGAAATACACAAGACTATAATTAAATAATCCGGTATATACCGGTCTGATTATTTCGCTCCAGTTACAGTGGGCAAACGCTGTGGGCTATGCAAAACGATGCCGCTAATTTGGTGGCCACAGCGCACATGTAGAACTACACACCAGCAATACTGCGTCGGTTGTGTTGCCGGCTGCAGTGTACAGTGTATGTATTCGAGTACGTACGAGTATTATCAACATTAGCCGGTGTAAGCGGAAGGGGACACGCGGCTCGCCGGTCCCCGGGGGCCGCTTGGAAATCAAGACTAATACATCTTTCACCAGACGCCACTCCGGGCTTAAAACCGGGAGCGCCGGTGGTCCGGTATACACGAAATAGGAAGAAGGGATCTTATTCCCGTTATTTTTGCTGCACAAGCCGCGGACGGCCATGGCCCGATCCGTTCACCCGGCAGCAGCGGCCACGCTAGAATAAGCAAATGCCACCCACCTTCGGAGTGTGTTCGAATGGGATATATCGGCATCGCTAACAAATGTAATCAATGCAAAAATATTTGAGTGAAACTCTTTTTACTCATTCAGATATTTTACGGTGCTCATATTGCGGTGTATTTGTTTCGTGTTTTATAACACGTAAGAAATTCTGAGTGGCTTCCATTTTTGCGTGCTTCCTTGTTCGAATCTTACCCTGAAGAACAGCTTATTAATTTTCTTAATACATGCAAAACATGCGAACGGGCTTTTATCAGTTTGTTACTTATACAATTTTATTTATTCTCGAAATTTATTCTGTCTGTAAACATGCATCACAACGATGGGGATCACTGTTTTACATTGCGCAGCAAGTACCATATACGTAGTTGATTAATTTATTATTCGATCCGATTTCCAGCCCTCCAAAAATATAACTGAAATCTTAAAGAAGTAGAAGTAAAATCTTAAAATCTTAAAAGTAAAATCTTAAAGAAGTAGAAGCTTTTTATTTGCAAAAACAATCGTGAACTTGTGACAATCATGAATCTGCGGCGGCAATTATATCAGTAAACTATACGAAGACATTTTGTACGACCCACGAGTAGCACTGTAATTGGCATAACGTCAACAAAACGCTTTCCATGTCAGCAATATGGTGCTTGTGCGTGACAAAGTTAAGCAACAGTAGTGTAGTGACTCTTGAAGATTGTCGAATGCCGCCGGGGAAAAAATCAACAAAATCAATACACTTCAACAATTAGAGGCAGCAGTGCTTGGCGCTTTCCTCCACCGGCATTCGCGAATTCTGGCGCCTCCAACAATATCGCAGTGAGCAAAAGGAAGAAAATTAATATTTCGAACATGCCCAATTTACAACTGCGCAAATGGACCATTTACCAAACAGGAAATTGTCGCCTTAAAAATCTCTGCGAGATAACCGTCCAACACCAGCCGCCGCCTGCTGTGAACCGTCAGCATTCCGGTAAAATCGTCTACCGGCGAAAATACCTTTGCGCAACAGTGCAAAAAATTGGCAGAAAGGACAATTTTCAAACAATCGTTTTAATCAAATACTTCTATACGTGACCTTTAATGTCAAGCATGCAGACTGCAAAACAATAGCTTAAGAATGTCAGATACAATATATCAAAATTTCGAAGGCTGAATTACTGTTTTTCTGCTTAAATAATTTTGTTTTAAAAGCTATCTTAATTCTAAGTAACAGTAAGTACAATCCGATGGGAAATTAAATGCAGTTATAGCAGATCTCTCTTATAAAACTTTTATTGATAAAGAGACGAGTTTTCTAACGCCAATCAGCCTAATGCGAGAGCGGTTTTTTCGGTTTTTTTGTAGAGTAAGTGTTTAAATACCAAAATGACATTTTTTATATGTTTATTGAAAGATGTTCATCTATAATTAGCGTACCAGTACTCGTCTTTCGCACCACTGTCGTACAGTTTTAGCGTAATGGCCAACATCTACTCACATCTGCGCGGCACAGGGCATTTGTAAGGACGATGCCCAGAATCCAGATGCATGTTAATGTAGCAACGGAGCCGGAACGCTGCACGCATAATCATGCAGTCACCAGGGACAATTTAGCTTTAATAGAAGATTATGCCATCCTCCAAATAATACATCACGTACACTATGCATTAACCGTCCCGTAACGACTAAATCTTCATGCAAAATGACCGGTTTATATAACGTAATTATCGTCTTTATATATCAATGCAAACCAAACCAATGATTTTGGGGTTTGCTGTTTACAGTCATTGCGATAAGGTCAATCGCTCGCCATCATATTAGCCAATAGATTTCTGCTTATATCAATTGTATGCTATTTCTGGAAGCGAATATCGATGTAGCGATCCAACGACCCGTTAATTATCACTGCAAAAACTTAGTTTTATAACTAGTTAGCAGTACCACGGGCAGTACTTTTGTATCGCTTGCTATAATTTAATTAGAAGACAAACTTAACTACATATTTTTTCATGATTTTACTGAAGAAATCTTTTGCCATCCCGAAGATCAATTAACTGAACCCGGCATTTGGATTATATTATGTGATCCTTTCCGTAAGTTGTTACGTGGTTTGCATTAATAGGCGGTGCATTTCGTTGCAAAATCTTTGATTCTTACCGGTAGTCATTGTCAGCAAGACGATAAACGATACACACTGAAACAGTCTCCTTATCCACATGATCCACATTTTCCAGTTCCCTCAGGAAATAACAAAAAACCCAATCCCTTACACCATGAACGGCGCTAGTGACCCGCTTTTCGCGGTGGTATAATCTTTAATTGGCAAAATAATCAAAAACCGGCTAACATGCCCGACCACTCGTCAGTGCGCTGATGCGCAGCAGCGTCAACGGGCACAGACCAAGAAACGGGGTGAAAAGTGCCCGGCGATTGGTTCCGGAAGACCGCCGACCTGTTCCCGGCAGTTCTCAATGAGTGACCTAATCGGAGTGCCAAGATGCGGTACGGTAAAGCGGATTGTCAAGTTGGCGAGGAAGTCATTAGAGATCCGATGCAGGCGCATTGTAGCCTCCACACACCAGCAGAGAGAAAGTCAGAGACGCGCGCTCGCAGACAAAGAGAAATCTTTGAGCAAAACAAGGCGAAGGCTAATAGCCGCTGCTGCGATGCGGATGTATATAATATATCTGTACAAGTACGGGCGTATATATGAGACTGTATTTGCGTAAACACTGGCGCTGGGGATCGTGTTGCAGGCACCGCGAGTGATATCCTCTGGATCTATCCCGAGTGAGTGAGTATGCGCATTGTGTGAGGTGGGCGGGGCCCGCGGGATGGCTGCCTCCAGAGCAATTACGCCGGGCGCGCTGGCACTGTGCGCTGCCGCGTAACCCCAACTGCCGACCTCCTTCGTGATTGCGGCTGGCCTCCTCCGCGCGCGCACTGACAACAAAGCCACAGCCATTAATCCCCCTTGTCGTTGTGTCTTTGCGTGCTGGTCATGTTTTCTGCATGGTACAAAGAAAATGATTTATGGTTTCTCGAGACAATTAGTAACCTTCGGCTGGATCGTTAGCGAAAAGAAAGAACTTGCATCCAATTAATTAAACGGGCATTTTTGGTCAACCGTAATATATAAATTTTTATATTGGTGTTTCCTAGTTTTCGTCGGTATTTTTTCCACAATGCACAGAATATTCGGATGCAGATGCTCTTCTAACTTGTTAATATAGATCTGTTAAAGTTATATTGAAAAAAACATTGTTTGTATATCAAGCCTGAATAAAATAAATCTTTTAACGACTTTTAAATTCAGATTTTTCTAAAAGATGTTGTATTGTTAGAAACTTACTTTTTGTATGCTGCAGTCTGAACTACTTATACACTCGTACTACTCGTACAGATACACATAAATGCGGTCCAGTCGAGGCGCAAATAGTTTCTTGGGAACGGCACCGCGAATCTCATGGTGGCTCATAGTCATCGCAATTGGCTTAACATAGACTCCGGCGGCCCGAATTGCTGGACTTTGATCCGCGTAACCGCCAGTGTGCCGCGGTGTCCGGCCAATCCATCGCCTCCCCACCGAACGGAAGTCAGCCCACGCCGGGGATCCGTCCAGCTGACAGCCTAAGCGCGAAGGGGCGGGACGTGTTGGATGGCGTGCGGCGCTGCTGACCCGGTAAAGTATGATGTATGAGAGGAACACACGGAGACACCAGCGGCACACACACGGACTGGACTATATATATCCACTTGTCACAGCCGGAATATATGACGGCGTCCGGGGAATCGGGCGGCAGTCAGGAGATCCTCACTCACTTGTCACAATTGCCAGTGTTCACCCGACATCCTCTACAGTCTACACACTGCCTGGAATTGGTCGAACTGGTGTGTTTTAATTGCCCGTATATGTGCGCTGCCATAGCCGGTTTAATTTCCATATATGCTGCATATACTGTGGCGGATGTGGGTCAGTGGTTCCGTTGATTTCGCTTCGACGGTCGCACAGCTCCGCGGTCCCACTCAATTTCGGGCATTATTCGCCGGTTAGGGAAATTAGAGCGGGGATTAAGGTTTTAATTAAAGTGCAGATGCCTTCGCATGTAAATGATGCTGTAAAGTGACACATTAAATGCGCTTAACAGCGCTAAGCGGCACATTTCCAAACATTGAATTAAACTGGAATCAGCGACCATTACGCTTCGACAACTAATCCAGTTACTAAAATACTCCTGCTACTTCAATAAATAAATAATTCACATTTAAAGTCTTGTAATACGTAATTCAATGTCTTGAATGCGTTCCTATTAATCCAAAATACGTCTACTGTTATATTATATAAATTGATCAATAAAAGGGAACAATCCATGGGTATATTTTTGATTTGTGTTTTATTTACGTAATTACTTTTGGAGAGAATGCTATGGCACCACAATGAACTAAAAATCGTCCTAGCAGTGTGTGACGGAGAAGTCGTAAGCGGACAAGTGTGCACAAGGGATAGCGATGACGGGCGTGGATATCCGCTGTAAAACTGATTTATCACTATCAATTTCACATTGCGCCAGATCGGAAATGACGATTTCATATCCATTTATCCCCTTATAAAACTGTCAAGCCACACTACTACTTCACCGGTATTCTTTCACTTGCACTTTCTCCTTATTCAGGCGCTTGCCGACACGATGGCGCATGTTTTGCATGTCAAAGATTACATAATTATATTCATGTGCAACGGCACAGTGGTTGAAGGTTTCAAAACTAGTATCTGCCAATTGCAACATATTATGTTGGTGAAAAGTTTAGCTTGATCGCTTCTCTTAATGAGACTTTTGGTACACCTTATTGCATTTAAATGTCTCAGGATTTTCTGGCAGCCATAATTCCCCAACCGGATGTTGAGCACAAAAACGGCTTTTGCGTCATTGTGTACATATAAATATTTGTACAAATCACTTGGTTGCACATTGCCATAAGGGAATGTAAAAAAAGTGTTTTTGAGTGCGCGAAAGCAAAACTTTTCGTTGATATACACGGATTTGGTGCCACTTCCTTTAACTTATACTTTACCAGACGTTTTTAGAATTAATGTTGGGGCTAGCCTAAACGTTGTTTCGACTGCATAGCAATACAATAGTTTAGATGCCAAGCAAGGTTTAAAAACCTCGTTCACAAAAGATGTGTACATTTGGTACATTTGTATCGATATCGATACGAGTGCTTTCCTAAATGTTCTAAAGTAGAGCAAACGTTCTTCTTTGGAAGCGCTAACAGCTGGAGAGGAGATAAGCGCAGCGTGCCGGACCGAGAAGAGAGCCAGAACCGGAAGCGGCGCGCCTGGCACTGCCGCTTGGGTTATCTATCGGCAACAGTCGTCGTTTACACAACAAACACCATCTACGATGCTTAAGCGGCTCTTGTGGATTAGACGTAAGCGAAACCCAATTGTCCGCCTTTTCTCCGCGCCATTACGTACTTAGATCGATTTTGTAGTGATATGTGCTCACTGCTCATCATCGATTTAACTTACTGACTCACTCAGAATTCTTAGCATGGTGTCTGACAGTTTTATGAGATGCTCACAAAAACCTATTGGAATCCGAGACGTCATGAAGGCGGAATCGTCTGTAACTGAAGCGTCCTAGAGGTGCGCAGGCACTTAGCATACAATTTTATCTGCAGTAGAATCGTGACCTTTAGTGATAAGAAAGTCTTGCTGCCAACCAAATGGATATCTGCATGCACGATGTTGCGCTTTGCAGCTTTGGTGACTGCATGCCTAGATGGGGAAAATAACACTTAAAACAACCGAAATTAAAGTATAAGAGTACAATAGCTAATGCATTTACTCCCGTAAACCGACATGGGAATTTTACTTCTTTAAAAGGCTGTTTTGGGCAACTATAAGCTGTGTATCCGTAGAATAAAGTTAATGTCATAATGAAACTATCTGCTGAGCTATTAGCTGATACCTGTTGGGCATTTAAAACCAAACTTTGTTCCACTTTAAAATTGAACTTGATGTCCAGACAAGAAAAATTTGTCTGACTGAATGCATGATGCGGCTGAGAATTTAACGGCAAAAAGAACTAGATTCTGCAGTTTGCAGGACATTCCGGCCCGAGGAAGAATGACACGATTTTCTTCAGTACTTCCGTAATCTGTATTTTTAGTTATGGCTTCACACAAGCATCAAGCATCGTTGCATGTGGTGTCGGAGGTAGCTTTAGAATCCTGCCAGTTAACACAGGCAGTCGCAGAGGAGCCGTGCAGTTGCTTATTTTACCAATACATGTATTGTACATGCACAGTAAACTCCGGATAGCGATCAATGACTTCGGCGCATCGTCGCCAATACGGACAGTTATGTCCCAATCTTTATTTTTACTGTCTTTGATTAGCAGTGGACGTTGATAATGCTTTTGCGGTACTACTTTAGTGACAACATTTTCTGGCTTTTGAGTTCGATGGCCATTAGTGACCTTTGGCATTCTGTAGTTGCTGTTGCTGGTCCGCCTTATCTGTACGAACAAGTGGGCCACTTGAAATAAAATACCGGTATAGCTTTCACTGCACCACAGTTGGTCGGCCTGCATGACCTTGTCGTAGTGACGTGCCATTGACGCCTTTGCGTCGTAGTGATCGTGCAAAAGTACGCAACCCGAACTGCGTAAATGAATCCAAATTGATTTTAGTAACTACGCAGTATATGGTACGTGACCTTCTTATAAGTCACCGATGTGGCATTTTAATACTGTATTAAAGCAACTGGCTTGGGCACTATACTACAGTACTAGTGCTGTAGTAAATTCTTCGCTAACCAGAAGCAAAACTTCAGGTGATGCACCGCTCATACTGGTTTTGCACCTCGGAAAACCAATCCGCGACGGCGTTCCTCTATGTAGCTTCACACTAAACAAAGTTGTAATAACTTTTTGGTAGGGCGGTGGGAGCGAAAGTCGTTCCTCGGAAGACCGCCGGAGGCCAAGGTATGGCGAAAAGTAACACGTGACACGACAACTAACGTCTCGCGTGGTACCGCGGCGACCCGGCGGACCGCTCTATGTTGGCCCTGCCGACACGGTTCGTTGGCAGTTGTTGGGTGTATTTAGACGCAATAAGCACCATGGCCGGCTGTCTCCACGTACAGGGTTCGCAATGTTATCCGATGCACCGGTACAGGTAGCCGAAGTAGTAGCTATAATGATGAGCGTACCGGTGGCTCTTACCGGGTCGTAGTAGAACCACTGTGTAAAGACATGAAAGAACTGGTTGGGCAATCGGCGGCGCCGCGTCGTGGTCGTAGTCGGAGTAGTGGTCGCAAACTTGGAGCAGTCGTTGTTGCGTTGCTAGTTGTTTCGGCGAATCCCAAATTAAGTGCATGGAACTGTCGCAGACCGATACGGAACTCCTGCACCATCGTGCATTACGCCGCGCACGGGCATTTAGTGGACCGGGCGTGGCCCCTCGACAGCTGTGGATAAGCGTCCGCTCTGCTCCGCGCTAAAACTGTAACTAACTGCGCTCGACGAGAACGCTCCGCGTTCGAATGGACGCACTCCGATTCCCTCTATCGGAGAGACAGGTAAACTGATTGTAGCAGAAACACGCGCCACTGCCCAAAAAAGCGCAGTATGCGCTGTGCCTTCCGCGCCAAAAAGGTCACGCTCGATAGCTGTGATGAATGAGCATGGTATTTACTTGCGCCAAGAGGATAAGCATTAGTCACCGTCAGTGGATAACATACTCTTTAGAAATGCTCGGGTTAGTCTCTGACGAGAAGAATGCGAGTGTATGCCGACAAAAAAGCAAGAAACTCATGTTACTGATTGCCACCTATATTGTAGTGCACTACATAATGCTTAGCGTTTGCGGCAGTCCGTTCCTCACTTCAGTTTCTATCCCATTAAAGTATCACTGCGATATTTTGCAAAATATTTCCGTCGAAACCGTTTTGCCTGATTCTGATCGAACTGTACATGTGACAGCGTTAAACTGTTCGTGTACGTACAATCTTTTCCAAGTGTAGCTTTAAAAGACCCTCTTTGTACATATTTGCTGGTACGTATTATCAGGGCCGTCGCGAGGTCCGAGGGTAGGGGGGGGGGGTCGCGCGCCCGACGCGCCAGTTCGAAAATGGCTCAAAAATTGAAAAAAATCGTAGAAAAGTGGCTCAGAAAAGCCACTTTTCTGCGCTTTTCTATTGTAATTTTCGGTATGTGTATCGGTTCATATTCTTTGACGTTGAAAAGATGAAACGAATTAAATGGCCAGAAGATGTTCACACAGAAGGCTGGTAAATAATGTTCGGAAATTTTAAAGGGCTATACGGCACATAATTTACCTTCTGTTACCAGCTCTAATGTCCTGTGGCAGCGCTAACTAGCGGTTTGTCGGTGTATGCGTATAAATATTTTATATATTATATATTAGTTACGTAATAATCACATTTTATGACTAATAAGATGTACAATTTCATTTACTGTCTACTGCATTAGTGTACAGGTATATTGTACACGAGTATCGTACTGCTGCACGCTGGCGTTAGATAACCGTATAATTATATGCCATAGACTCTCCGACGTCTCCGTAAACGAGACTCTCTCTCTCTCTCCCTTTAATAAGATCTTTATAAATTGTTTTTGTATTTATGTTTAAAACTTCATTTTCTACATACAGTTTGCGCAGAAAACGCCACGGATTTACGTTCCCTTATAAGTTCGGCTTGTCGGCTTTTCCGCTAAAAGCACCACTGTAAACGGACCGTGCTTTTGCTGCGCTTGTGCTGACAATGCAACAATTTTTCCACATTTTCTGCGTATTATGCGCCTCCCCGTGCATGGTGTGTTACTAACGATAACTCCTTCCATTTTAAAAGCGCTGTTTAGTCGTGTCGAGCCTGACCAGGCTGTGTTCACACTATGAGTTCTATTCGTACCCATTGTTTACTCGCTTTGTCCGAGTATATTTAAGAAACTAGGGTTTGCATGCATTTCTTAAACACTCTTCGATAAGCGATTTCTATTCGACAAAACTGTTTACATTCTTGCGTTGCATCTACGATTCACCATGCTTTCCGCATCTGTGAGTGACCAAATGTTCTCCGTCCTGATATTCTTAATGATCATTCTAATGTGCGGCCAGCCCGAAGGTCAGTCTGTCAGCATCGCATGGAGCAACGGGACGCATTACTATACCTTA